ATTGCCGCTCTGGCAAGAGAAGCGGCTGATAGCGCGACGGAAGCAGCGAGTGCAGTCAGCGAAAGCGTGGAAAGCATAGCCAGCGTGGTGAGTAAGTCGGCGAGCAGCGCGACCAAGTATGTGAAGGACGAGTTGTGAGTGAACAGGTGACTGGGTGGAAGAGTCTAGAAAGAGACACAGGGGCAAGTCTGGGGGAGTGTGTGACAAGCGCTGGAGGAGAAGAATGGACGAATACGACATGACGAATCGATGTGAAGAACGAGACCAAGTCGCCTCCCTCGACCTGAACCAAAAGTATTTGCACAGTTGACGAGTCCGAAGTTCGAGGTCAACCAGCTCGAAGGAAGCTGGAGTTGGAGCTGTTGTCGGGCTACTGGGGGAGTCGGAGAATGTGTGTCTGTATATCGACGGTGGTAATCTCTCTCTCTCTTCGTGGCCTGTCTTGTCTGCCTGCAATCAAGTCTTTGCTAGTATTGGAATCCGTCTGGATGGGTTGTTATCGGCGTTTTCTATCCGTGCCAATGATACCACCTTTCTGTCTGTCTGTCTGTCTGTCTCCATGTTTGTATGTTTGTATCTATCGATGTATGTATGTATGTACTCAAAATGTCCCTGACGATCTCGCTGTGTTCTTCTGGCCATACATATTGAATCAATTACACTGCCTAGTCGAGGGCGATGGTGAGGGCGCTCGCTGTACCCAACACGACACAAGTACGTCCCCGAGGTAGAGAGGGAGAGAGAGGCATATAAATAAGATAGATAAGATATACCTCGTACTCGGTATAGACAAGGTACGCGAGTGGTCCGTCTTGGTCAGGGGCCTTAGTAACATATAGACTGAAGACTGAAGACAAAAGACAACACACTGTGGACTGTAGACTGCACAAGTGTAAAACTGTGTATGCCTTTTAGGATTGTGCATATGTGCATGTGTCGCTATGGCTAAATCAATGCATGCATAATGAATGCTATTGCCATACCACGAGCACTACCATACCATGCATGTCCCATGCCAATGCCAATGCCAATGCCAATTCCATACCATGAATGCTATGCTATGCCATGTTATGCCTTTGCTCCTCCCATCCTCACGTTCATTGCTCACCCCCGGTAAAATGCAAAAAAAAAGTACAAAGACGCTGCTGGGGCTTCCAATCCTGCTGGGTAAAAAGCCATGCTCGCAAAATCCACAACTCCGCTTCCATAAAACATCCTTAGGCGTTGTTTTCAACACAGGCCCATAAACCCGCCGCCAGTGCCTGTGCCTGTGCAGGTGCCTGTGCAGAAAGCACAATCACTCCCAAGTGATTAGGCGCCTCCCGTTCCAACACAGAAAAGACCAGAAAAGGGCATCAAGAGGATTGTTTTGCTGTGAGTCAAACAATCCGAAATCAGAACCTCTGATTGCCAATGCAGAACCTCAGAGCATGACTCCAAAGCGTCTCTTGCAGCAGCGCGTCAAGTGCTTCTGCCGCCAAACGGAGATCTTCCTTCCCATTCTTTTCTTCGTTTCTTCTATAACCACATGTGTCGCGGCATCCTCAAAACTCCACGGTTCGGATTCATCGAATGAACCAACCCATGAATTGTCCAGTAAACATTAAAATGCTAAACTCAATAAGTGCCCAGCGCTTACCGCGGCAATAAGGACGGAATTTCTGGACGTTTGGTAGTAACCCATAACACATTACCGAGTCTGACGACGGTAGGGTCTCATCGGCCAGATGATACCTTCCCTCGGGTCCATTAAGGAGGTAGGCAGACCACTTTGGGGACGACAAGGAAGCATCGAGATCATCATCATTCCATATCTTCATCCTCGTCATAATCCTCGTCGTCATCGTCCAAACTCTCCATGGCGTCTTTGATGTATTGCGCAGCCTAATTCCAAGTTAGTCACTTTCGAATCATGCGAATCTTGGAAAGCATACCTTTGGATCCAAGTTCAACGCCATGGTGAAGGCCCGCACAGCATTTCCTTTGTCTCTCAAGGTCTTGTAAAGGCGTCCCATCAAAAACCACACATTCGCCTCGTCCGGGACCACATCCCTCAATATCATCAATTCGGCAAGCGCTTCCCGCGGACGCCCTAAGCTCATCAAACATCGTGCTTTCTTGAATCGACTCAGGGCCGATTGAGGCGCGAGGCTGCATGCGCGGCTGTACATGAGTAGCGCATCATCTGGATGTTTCTGTTTTTCCAGGACCAGGCCAATGCAACATATCAACACTGCGTTGGTAGGATTGATCTTCGCTGCCGTCCGATAATGCTGCTCTGCAATATTCCACTTGCCCATTTTCTCGTACACTTTCCCAAGCCCGTACCATGCATTGTAATGTCTCCCATCTGCAGCGATCGCGGCTCGATAGGCTTCAAGGGCTTTTTCAAATTCCTCATTGGCAATGTATTCATGCCCTTGGAGCGTGAATCCGTACGCAAACTGTGGGTCCAGTTGAGTGGAGCGCTTGAAGCATTTCAATGCTTGTTCGTGTTCCCGCTGGAGAGAGAAGGAATTCCCGATGGCGCACCACGCTTGAGGCGATAACCGATCAATCTCGATAAGCTCGTGTGCCAGGTAGGCAAGTTCAATCTCTGATTTCAAGTGCCAGAGGACTGTCGAGTAGACTTCCATGTCTTCGAGCCGAGTAGGCGCAAGTTGACGGACGCGGATGAAGAATTTCTCAGCCTCGGCGTACGACGCTTGTTCGTAATAGGCCTTGGCGATTTGACTCAGGATGAAAGGTGTCTCGCGTTGTGACGAAGGAAGAGCATTGTACATCTGGATGGCGGTTTGGCAGTCATAATTAGCCAGGCAGAGTTGAGCAGAAGCGATTCTCCCGCAAAGATCCAGAAGAGTTTGGAGAGCTTCTAATTCTCGGTCCGCAGTGGACGGTGCTCGTGTTTTGTGGTTTGGTAGAGGTGGTACCGGAGGTGCGTTTGCATGAGGATTTTTCTGTTCTTTTGAGTCCACGTCCATTTGGTCTGCCGACCCGGTCCTGGTTCTATTTCCGCTCACGACTCTCCCTACCGTTGATGCGTTGGCAGTTCTGCCCTTCGCAGCTGGGGCTTTGGCTTTTTTGATATCTCGTCCTTCTCGGAGGCCGAGTGTGTTTGCCAGGGACGAAATCTTACTCCCAGCTGTACTAGTCGCGCTAGGTGGTCTCGTTGTGTTCAATAGCCGGTTACTTCTTCTCGTTCCCTCGGTGATACTTGAAGGAGCAGCGTGAGACGATGTAGGGGCAGGTTGACCTGAAACTGTTCTCTTAGAAGGTGCTGCTAGCAGTGGCTGCGGAGGAGGATCTTGCAAGACAGTGGTTGAATCATCCGATGTACCCTTTGCCTTTGCCCTCATCCTAGTAGATCCTGATTTCCACCTAGGAGGAGGATCCGCGGATGTTTCGGTCAAGGTCTTAGCTTTTCTGATGGGTGCTGGTGGTGCTTCGTGATAATGGTTGTTGGCTTGTGCCCTTTGAACGACACCCTCGTCCGCGTCTGCCTCTGTTGACGGAGTGGCAAGACCCTCCTCGTCCAAAATTGTGCTGACTGTGTTAACGCTCATCTTGCTGCCATTAAGCTTTTCCCATAGCACTGAGTTTGCCGGGTGGTGCTGCGTGCTTGACTTTTGCGTCGTCGAAACGAATGGATCTGATGGTGCTTGCGAAATCGTGCCCGGTACCCTCTCCGCCGGCGCATTTTCAACTCTTGCGCTCTGCTGCTGGGCTGAATGTGTCGCTGCTACCATCTCATTGTTCAGCTTATAGATGTTGGGTACACTGATCTTCGCTCCAGCATCACATAATCCCATAAATGCATCCCACATGAATGGGTTCAGTTTCAGGGACGCCGCCCAACACTCCACAGCCATATCCACGTTTTTGTGCGCCTTCCAGAGCTTCCCTTTGAGACATAGCACGGCAGCGGCATCAGGAAGGTGTTGGCGTCTTGACTCATTGTGTTGACCCCACGTGTTTCTGTTTTGCCAATGGTGTTTGCACTTCTCCAACGCATTGAGACCTTCCACGATCCGACCGAGCTCTAGAGAACACTGGGCGAAAATGTAGCCACATCCTAGGTGGATACCTTTAACAGCTGCGGCGCGTGAAGCATCCCACGCAGCCTTTAAAAAGCCCGATTGGAATTGACAGTATGCAAGCAAGTAAGCAGCTTCGGGGGAGCGAGGTTCATAGGCAACGAGACGGGAAGCGAGGAAGAGGGCGTTTCTGAGCAGGTTGTTGTCGAGGTGGTAATAGATCAGTTGGCGGAGCTGGGCGGCGGCAATGTGTGGTTGTGTAGGCGCCATGACAAGATCAGGCGACGTGCCAGTCAAGCGAGAGAAAGAAGCTGAAAGATATGTCGCGAGAGTGCTCAGGTCCACGGAGTAGGAAGGGGACGCGATCGAGAGGTCATGAGTTCCACCCTTCCAGAGGCTGCTCTGTCCAAAACAACTGCGCCACCGCCGTCAAGGTGCAGGATGAGATGGATTAATGCATGGAAGGCGTCGTCTGGACAGTAAAGGAACGCAAAGCCGACAGAAGAACGTATAAGGAAGGAGAAGTGAAGATGGTGTTGTGGATGAGTATCAATAGAATAGATGCGGCAGGTTACTTGTGAGTTTGGGCTGGTGTTGTTGTTCTGTTTGCAGCGCAGACACTGCAGTGCCTTATTAGTGAATGCTCTCGAGGACCAGCCAGACAGCCCTGCAGTGTCCTGGTGGCCCGGCAAAACTGTGGCTGGAACCTGCTCCACCGTCCACCGTAGCCGCCGCACCGCGGGGAAGTTCACAACTGCTTCGAATTGTTAATCAATAATAGAGGATTGCAAGTAGATTGTTGTGATTGTCCTGATTTTGTTTCCTCTTTGGAGTCTACTACGGTACAAACACCTGCTGCAGGCTAGTAGGGAATCTATCTTCTGCGCCATCCACCTCCTTTCGGTTCATGTCGAGCAAAATCTCTCCCGACCACCTGCCACCTAACTGATCATTTAATTCTCAGTCATGGCTCAGGTGAGTGACAATTCCCCGTCCCCGTCACCGTATTCCTGTCGCTGACTGAGACTTCCACAAAAGAAAGCGGCCAAATCACTCGCCACTCGCAACACAGGCCGCCTCCGGCAAACACACCTTATAACCCTCTCAATCCACATCGTGTTTCTCTTTCTCAAGTTCACCCTCCGCCGCTCTCTGTCCCTGTGGCCCTATCTCTTGCTCAGCGCTCCTGCCATATTTCTCGAAGTATATCTAGACATCCTTGCCCGTCCGACATATCATCCTAACGGCGACTTGAAGAAGGCTGGGGAGGATCTAGACGCAAAAGGCCTGACGGAGTTCATGTGGGACATTCTGTACTGGACCTGGATCAATCTCATCACAGTCGTGATCTTTGGGAATCGTGCATGGTGGCTCTATTTGGTCGTTCCTGCATATGCTGTATATTGCATTGTCGGGGCTGCGAAGGGCGTCAAGGGAATGATGGGAGGACTGGCTGGCGGAGGCGCAGAGGGCGACGACATGGCACAAAGTAAGAGACAGACAAAGATGGAGAAAAGAGGAGGACAAAAAGTCAAGTATAGATAGACAAGAAAAGCAATGTTTCCAGTCTTGGTACGCCATCGGTCAAACCTGTGGATATCTGTTATGTTGCACTCCTACCGCTCAATGTACGCCGTCCTCCATCCGCCAATTTTCTGCCTTTACATGGTCCTCTTAAGATCCCTTCCTATACGTATTCCTTGAACCAAGAAGCCTTCCCACATTGGTCTACACGAGTAGACATCTCATCTCTCATCACTCACCTTGTCGAACCACCTGGACAACCCCACCGTTCCATACAGCTCCTTCCACTTCTCTCCCAACTCGTCATCTTCCTCCACATACTCTCCCACGAATTCTGCTGTCTCATTCGCTTTCTTCCCAACACTTTCCTTGACTTTCTCGGCCGCCTCCTCGATCTTTTCGGACGCCCGGGCCATTGCCAGATTGTAGTATTCGACACTGGCTTTTGCTTTCTCTGCCAGGCGTTTCGCGCTTGCGTCACGGCGCTTCTTGTAGCGTCCAAGAATGACCGACACGAGGTAATAAGCTCTGACGAGGAAGCGTTGAATGATTTGCTTCACCAGCATGGTGATTCCGTGGGAGAAGAATGCCCTCAATACTTCGACGTGTAACCCCTCGTACAGGGCGGCGACACCTTCAGTCTGCGCGATTGTGAGGACAGTACTGAAAATTGTAGCTCGTGCGGCTTTCCTGGTTCTTTCATGTTTGAAGTCTTCGCTGATAACTTCGTTTTCGTCCTGATCCTCCTTATGCGAGGAGGCGCCACCAGCCTGGAGGCGTGACTTTGCAAGGCTGAATGGGTATGTGATTGAAGACGCACAAGCTTTGCTGATCGCAGATAAGAGGAACGTGAGGCTGGGTGGTGGGTGTTGCCTGGATTCTCTGCGGAGGAGAAGCTTTTTGAGCGTTTCAAATAGAAAGAAAGTTATTGTCGGATTGAGCGTGAGAACCAGACTCGCCGAATAACCGGACCAAAATCCCAAAGGGCCTTTCTCCGACAGGATGTCCCGGGCAATTTGTCGGGTGGTGGGAGTCGTCGTCGGCGTCGTCCCAGTTGACTCTTGCTGTCCTTCCTCCGAAGCTCTCAGCAGAGCGGCGGCCTGTTTCCTAGTGACTATGTTGGCAATCGGGGCTGTTGCCAACTTCGTTAAACTCCCAGCGACGAATCCAACACCCAACTCTTCCAGCGCAGGCAGACTGACTTTCTTGCCGCCATTCAACCTCGTATGCTTGGCGATCCGGCGATCCCTTAAAAAGGAATATATCAAAAAGAACAGAAAAGAATCCGCAATCGTCTTGCCCGTGTCTTGTAGCAGCCCCGTATATAATCCTGCGACTCCACCCTCGTTGTGGTAGATCTTCTGTAGGCCATCAAAGAATCCTTTATACTCTTCCTCGCCAGGACGTGACTGGTCTTTGCGGAGTTGGCGCTGGATCTGGAGGCGTGTTATTATGAGGTCAATTGGATAGAGCGCCGCATTTGAGATTGAGGCGCCAAAGGAGCCCGACAGGGCGTGGCCCAGGGCTTCCAGAGCATGAGATCGCGGCGGTCGCATTGACGAGCGTGTCGCATCTGCTTCTTGGACCAGATGGAAGAGTTCAAAGGCATCCTGCAGCAGGAATCACACGGGGGTTAGCCATTGCTTCGCATATATTGAGTGAGAGGAGGTGCGAGAAAGCCAAGTCGGGCCAACCGAGGAGAGGAGGAGGATAGAGCAGCAAACATACGAGTTGACTGTTGTACACAAAGTTCGCCATGGTCACGACATCAAACTCATTTGCAGCATAGTGTTGAAGAGAGGTATCAAGTTGACAGGTTGTGACGAAGGAGAGAAACACTAGGAATTTGGAAGATGGAAGATGGAATGTGACGATCGTGCCTCGGTGAGCGATTCGATTGAGCAATGATGTTATGTTGGCTCTTTACCCCACACTTGGTGCTCGGCCTGGTTAGTCCTTCTCAGCCTAGGATCACCTCCCTATCACGTGCGAGGCTGCACCGTCTGATACTCCTTGTCCTAGTACTGATGCACGAAGAGGAGGTCGAAGAAACTTGTGAAAATTTGTACATTGGAAGCTCACGAGAATGCCCTCAGGTATCCTTCGCTTCCTGAGGGTATCTTATTGAACGAAAGTCACACCCGACAATTCCCAAGCCACCAAAATATTGCGCCTTTGTTCTCAATGTGTGCGCACAATGGCTTTTCGCCACTCAATCGCATTGGATCCTAAGCTCTGTCCCTTCTTAACGCCGTCATCCTTCGTCATATCATCATCAGCCGAGGCCTCTCTAAGCCCTCATACTCGTCCGACGTCTTAACCCATTTTCTGCCGCTTGAAGTTCTCTAGCGAACCTCTCGTCTGCATTCACGTCACTCTCTCCACCCGTACTCCCTCTACTAACAGGTCGAGCAGAGGCATCCAGGGATGGACTACGTTTGCTGGTCATGATGCCTGCCATTTGGTGCGTGGTCCCCGAAGTGTTGCTCGATGAGCGTTCGGTCTTGATACTCGTCACCACCGTATGCGCGCTCGCAGCGCTTGATGCTCGTCGATCGTTCCTTTGAGGCTTGGGATACGGCTTGCTGGGAGATTTCTTGTCTTCGGGAGTGTATCTTTCTACTTGTTTGGGTTGCCGAGACGACTGTCTTGATCCAGGCGTCCAAGTATAAGGACCAGAAAGCTCGCCGCTCGCGGCTGTGCCGTTTTGCCCTGCATTCGGAGTGGAAAGAGTGTTGTTTTGTTGCAAGGCGCTTGGCTCCACTGATCCTGCAACTTGATCATGCTCACTTTTAATGGGTACCGCTTCTTCCTCTGTAGTCCCTAAGGCGGGGTCGATCGGAATTAATTTCGAGTCGTCCTCGTTCGCGGCAGAGACGTCCTCCCCAACATGTTCGCCATCGCCAGCAGGGCTCCTGTTGTTCACCAGTCCGGGGGTATGAAAAGTTTCTTCATCAACATCGTTGGCCAAGTCCGAGGCGTCGCCATTGGTGAGGGCGGGGTCAATTAAATCCTCAAAATTGTCAATTTCTGGCTCTATTTGTTTCGATTCCTCGCTGGCAGTGGTGGCACGTTTCGCACTCGCGGATCCACGAGGCTTGGAGGGCTCTGCAACTTTCGCTGGATCGATGCGGCCATACTGATCGTGTACACAACGACGCTGGATTTTGTGAGTAAAAGACAAGTTTCCATATCGGGATCGCTTACCTTGCTCTTCCTGCAGTCCTCACAGGCTTTGCTCCGGCTTTTCTTCGACGATGACTGAGGATCAGGCTGCGTAACTTCCGAACCAACACCGTCTGATATGCGTGCTTCCGGAGAGACAGCGTCTCCCATGGCACCATTTGTGAACGCTGCCGCCCCCGCTACGGAATGATTATCAGCACTCGAGAAACTCCTTGGCCGAATCTCTGGCGTTCGACGAGGTGTTTCGCCACCTGACTTGTGTCGGCATTTTATACGGCGTTTCCGGCAAGGTTCACAGGCGACTCTCAATCCGTTTCCTCTAGATCCATTTTTGGCCGGAGGCGTCTGAGCAAGTGGTCGAGGTTGGGCTTGTGCCGCCTCCGCCAGAGCCTGAGCCTGAGCTTGAGCCTGCGCAACTCTCCGAGACGAAATTCGTTCCCCAGGCACCCGGAATGGCTCGGCCTTTTTGGATTTCTCTCCTCTCTCCAGCTCTGCTATGCTATCCGAGTGAACCCAGTCTGGTACGGTGGTGTTGCCAATCTTCCATGCACACCAAATTGCGAATATTTTGATCATCATGAGCGGATCCCCATACCCCTTAGGTATGGATGCCTTGACCGCGTCGATCTGTTTTTTGGTGATATCTGGCACTGGCAAACCTGCATCTATCCGGGCTGTCCGATAAAGGAAGTCTCTCAATGCCGGCCAACCATTCGCCTCAGACTTCGGGTAGTATCTTGAATTGTAAGCCGGATCACCAGGCTCTGCTGTATTCTCAAACTCTCCGATTTCATGCCAGATTGGATTCGCTCGGAGGAAGACATAGTCGGGGTCGCCGTGGAAGTCATCCAACACCTCTTCCGGTACCGGATCATCGTCAAGATATTTGATCAATGCATACCACATGACCTTCTGGAAATAAGGGTAGCGGAATTTGGGAGCCACTTTAGTCGCCTTCTCGATGCTCACAACTTTGAGCTGCATCTCGTAATCCAGACGGGTCAAATAGTTGCCACCAATTACCAAGCTGTCTTCCGGAGTCCAAACAGAATGGATCCAGCCCGCAGGGATAAACGCTGTGTCTCCCTCGTGGAGGTCAACTCTTGTACAGTTGCCACCGCAAAGGTCTCCCAGCCAAGTCTCATTTTGCGAGCCTGAGTTGCACCATTCTTCGTATTTTTTCAGGTATCTGTCTTCGGGAGGGATGAAGAAGAACGTCTTCGTCCCTCGCAGGATATGGTAGTACACGGAAGAGCCTCCGAAATCGATATGGAAGTCCGTGTAGCTGTCAGCAACAGACATTAGGCAATAAAACGATACTGGCCTTTTCTTCAACCGGGTATCAGCGTCAGCCTCCCAAACTTGGTCGTCCAGATCAAGATCTCGAACTACTTTGGGACGCCGGATAAGTCTCCCAAGTGGACTGTGTGAGACTTCAAGACTGATAACATTGCGGATAGGCTTTTCCCCTTCCAATTCGTAGTAGTCTGCCCACTGTTGGAGTGTAAAGTATCCCTTTGTCTCCTGAGACTTTACATCGATCACGGGCACGGGCTCTTCAGGACCATAGAGCTCGGCCACTTTTCGGACTGTTAAATCGCGTGGGATCACCATATCCAGCAAATCCTGGTCGCAATCAATGACCTCTTCTTCCTGGAGGTCCAGTGCGGACGTTTTGTCGGGACCCACTTCCGCACCGTGACTGTCGATGAGGGTGAAAGCCGCAGCATCTTTGGTAGGAAGTGCTGGATCGCGTTGGACGGATACGGGCCTCACACCAAACCGAGGATTCCATTCAGCTGGAACCACAAAGGGGCGTTTGGGTCCCTCAAAGCTTTCCATGAACTCCATTGTAAGCAATTCTGGCCTGATTCGGGCGAAGTCATCGGGTAGAACGTTGATCTTGCCCTCTTTGATCGGTTGGATGTAGTGGTGGGTCGAGGTTTCGACAGACGACTTCACCACACCCTGATTGAGGCCAGCATAGTCAATGGCAGTCCTGGGACGGGATGACTTCCGGACGTAGGTAGTCTGGCCATGTATAGGTTCACAGTCTTTACAAACATACTTGTCCACACTTCTTGCATCTGCCTTTGTCTTGAAACCGGCGCATTCGGCATGGAACCAACGCTTGCAAGCGTCACAACTGATCCAGAACGTAGACGTGTCTTCGTCATTCACGGAGTCCAATTGTAGACGCTGGCATGCCGCGCAAACCTCGGCTTGCTGCTCCGGCTTTATGCGACGCTGCTTCTTGGGTAGTGGCTCTGCTTCAGCAACTGCAGAATCCAGGGGTTCTTCAGATACAGGTGGCAGAGCATCAACAGCGGTTTGAGGTCCTCTGGGCCCTCGTGCTCGAGCATCCAGAGCGTTTCCTTCATACGCGGTTTCCTTGTGGATAGACTCGGAAGCCCTGGCTGTTGAGACCTCCCTCGCATTGGGCAGATCTTCGGCCAGGTATCGTTCTCTAGACCGGCTCTTGATGCTCTGTCGTAAATGCACGACCGGACGTTCCTGTTGCTGCGGGTTCTGTAGCTTCGAAGGGGACTGGGGAGAGCTGGGGGATGTCGATGGTGGATACTCGGGCATCGTGTCAAGCTTGGGGGTATTTGCATGATTTTTAAAATTGACCTCATTCTTCAATTCAAGCAATAGAAGTGCATCTTCGTGGTCAACATCGGGTATACTGCTATATCCACCGCTTGTTTTTGGTCTTTCTGCACGCGGCGACCACTCGAGGGTCGGCAATCGTTCGGACTTGATGCGTTTCGCAGGCGGACCATTTGAGGGACCTTCATGACTGTAGCGCCGAGTATAGGAAGTCAAATGGCGGTTGTTATTGTAGATGCTTCCCTTGGAAAGAGAAAGAGTGGTTGCGCTAGCCAAAACGGGGCTTGTTGCAATTGCGGCGGTCGCAAGGTCATCGATTGTAGAGCCGGAACGCGTATGTCCCTTTCCATGAAGGCGCCGACTGTCTTGTAGGAAGCCGGAGGTAGGGTTGGAGTTTCTAGTCGCCCAGTCCAGTGACCCAACTCTGGAGCGTCCATAAACTGTGCTCGTGCCACCTTTTATCCTTGCCGCAATATGAGCGGCACCGTCCTGGTCGTAATATAGGTGATCTGGTTGTAGCGCGGAGTCATTATCCTCGGACGATCCAATGTCGGACAGTCCAAGTCCTCTTGATGAGTAACCATGTTGAGGTGAATATCGCAGAGGGAGCGATGAGCCTTCGAGGGTAGGGGTTTCGCTTGCGGGATCAGGGGAAAGGCGCTCGATGACTTCGGCGGATGGACGGACAGGGCTTGCACCCCGGTGCCCTGCCAGATCGTGGTTCCGGCGCCAGACGGTTGAGGTAGGCATGATTACCGTCGAGGACGAGGTTTAAGATCGCAGTCGCAGTCGAAGTCGAACTGGTTGCGGAGGTGGGGTTGGCGAGTCGAGAGGCAACTGAGCTGTGTGCGGGAGGATGGCAGGAGGATTGGCTACATTGGTGAACAAGCTGATCTGACCTCCGACAGGAGGCCGCACGCAGGGAGAAAAGGAGTGAGGGATATCGGATGGTAAATCAAGAGGTTGTCACGGTCGAGGTTGTTGTTCGGGACAGGATCGAGGTTGACCGCAGACGCAGATGGGAGTCGACTTGTGACAATACAACACGTACCAAGATTACCGAACAATTTTACAGCACCGCGTTTTCTCCCTGCGCCGCCTGCCTCTTAACCTCACATTTCACTTCGTGCTTGAGGTCCGTCTATTTTCCGTGCCAAAGGAGCGCGTTTAACACAGACGGATCCTATCCCATTCGTGTGGCAGGCGCACAAGAGCCCAGATTCCTTCGAGCCTTGATACACGCCCTTGTACGGACACTTACCAGTCTGCCGTAAATTCTCCTCGTACATCTTTTCAACGTCCTTCAACGCAAGAGGCACACCGCTTCCCTTTCAACAGTCGCCGTCGACAACTCCTTCCGTTTCACCAAGCCGCGCCGTCTTCTCACTCCTTTCCTCCGCAATGTCGCGAAGTAACAAGCTCGCGCCCGAGGCAAATCGGATCCTCTTTGTTAAAAACCTTGCGTACGATATCGACACCCCTGCCCTCTTCGATCTCTTTGGGAAATTCGGTCCCGTACGCCAGATTCGCTTGGGTACATCGAATTCTACAAAAGGCACAGCCTTTGTGGTCTATGAAGACGTCTTAGACGCGAAACAAGCGTGCGACAAGCTGAACGGGTTCAACTTTCGAAACCGGTATCTGGTCGTGCTATACCATCAGCCGGAGAAAATGAAGATGGAGGTCAAGGAGGACATTGTGATGAGGCAGGCAAATCTGGAGAGAATGAAAAAAGAGCATGGCATCGAGTAAAGGAGCAACACCGTCGTACGCAGGCTGATTGTCCGCAGCCGGAGTGCTGAGGGCGCAAGGGCGCAAATGGAATTTTCCGAGGTTTTGCCGCGACATAAAAATTCAAGTTGACGGCCGAGTTTTCACACAACAAAATGTCCAGATACTTCGGTGTCGAGGCCTCGTAGTCGACTCAGGCTATTGCAAAGTCAAAACTCTCACGGGGCATCAGGAGAGTTGCTGGGTCCCCGGCAAATTCACAAGTGGGTGATTTTCGTTTACTGTCCGCGTCACTGGCACGGTTATATTCCCTTCTGAATCACCGCCAAAACCACAACCATGGACGATCATATCGTGGGTGTTCTTGGTGGCGGCCAACTAGGACGTATGTTAGTAGAGGCCGCGAACCGCCTCAACATCCAGGTTGGAGTCCTTGATGCCGACAGCGCTCCCGCGAAATATCTGGCAAACCATGACATGCATGTTACTGGATCATTCGCCAACGCATCCGACGTTAAGGCACTCGCTTCTGGATGTGACGTCCTGACCTACGAGATCGAGCATGTCGATACCGAGATTCTTGAAAAGCTGGAGGCGGAGAAACCGTTTATCGAGGGCACCCAGTGGTCGAGATTTCAACCCAGCTGGCGAACGGTCAGGACAATTCAAGACAAATTCACTCAGAAGCAGCATTTTGCAAAATATTCAATCCCGATCTCCAAGTCCATTGCGGTCAGCCCGTCACAGCAAGGACTGATAGATGCCGGCGAGATACTTGATTATCCATTCATGTTGAAATCTCGAACCCAAGCCTACGATGGGAGGGGTAACTTTCCGGTCAAGTCGATGTCCGACATAGGACCTGCCATTGCGGCCCTCGCAGAACGACCTTTGTATGCCGAGAAATGGTCTCATTTCAAACAGGAGCTCGCAGTCATGGTTGTCAAAACCGCCCAGGAAGACGATCCAGACGCGTGGGAGCAGCATACCTTGGCGTACCCTACTGTGGAAACCGTTCATGAAGACAGTATCTGCAAGCTTGTCTATGTTCCACCCAGGGATGTCTCGCAGGAAGTCGCACGGGCAGCCCAAGATCTGGCTCGACGTGCTGTTTCAACCTTTCGGGGAACTGGCGTCTTCGGCGTTGAATTGTTCCTCCTTCCTGACGACAGCCTCCTCGTTAACGAAATCGCGCCCCGCCCTCACAACTCTGGGCATTATACAATTGAGGCATGTCACATGTCCCAATTCGAAGCACAGATCCGTGCTATTCTACCTGATCTGGCCTCAAAGATCCCAGCTGGGGCGACGGATCTAACGGTCAATGCGGCAATCATGTTGAATATTCTCGGAGGTCCACAGCCTGATTCCCATACGCTGGTCGCCAAAGCCGCACTTGACGTGCCAGGGGCGAAAATTCATCTCTATGGGAAGGGTGAGGGTCGACCAGGACGGAAGATGGGACACATTACAATTACCGGGTCAAGCTTGTCGGAATGCGAGATCAAAATGCACCCTCTGATTCAGATGGTCGACGCCATACGCGTGCATCGCCAGGATCGATCTGGTGAGCCATCTGCATCCTCGATTCTCAAGACTCAGGCCGAGCTGCTCGGTGCGAATCCCGCACCGTCTGCTCGGGCTGTCGTGGGCGTGGTAATGGGGTCTGACACCGATCTGGCTACACTTCGCCCCGGCCTCACGCTACTTGACTCCATGAACATTCCTTACGAGGTGCACATTACCTCGGCTCATCGCACGCCGCAGTACATGCTAGACTTTGGCAAATCTGCAGCTAGTCGTGGGTTGAAAGCTATCATAGCGGCGGCTGGTGGTGCAGCACACTTGCCAGGTATGATGGCCTCGGAAACGCCAGTGCCCGTCATTGGCGTGCCCGTGAAAGCCAGTTCTCTGGATGGACTGGACAGCCTGCTGAGTATTGTGCAAATGCCGCGGGGTATTCCTGTGGCTACGGTGGGTATCGGGAACTCAGTCAATGCAGCGATTTTGGCAGCCAGGATTGTGGGATCAAGCGACGAGAAAGTACGGAAGTGGGTTGCAGACCACCTACAGAAGATGAACGATGAGAACATGGAGAAGGAGTATCGACTGCAGAGAGAAGGCTGGAAAGTTTACAAGAAATTGGACGGGTAAATGGTGCAATGCTTGAAAAGACCCCCGATGTTGTCAATTTTTCCAAGAGATCGGACGGGCGGATAGAGATGATATTGCTTCTGGAACTCATTCCTGCACCGCCGATACTGCCTGTTGTACAAAGTTTATCCTTCCGGCCTTTCCCAGAAGAAATCGTAATAGAGGGAGATCGAAATACCAACTCCTCCCACGTCACACATCATCTTTTGAACCTTTATCAGCCAGGACCACGGCTTTGCCTTGTCCACCGTTGTCGACCAAGAAAACCAGGAAATAGTCGCCTCCGAAATCTCACAGATTCCCGGAGCGTGCCTCCGGGGAAGGCAGACCATGGTCTGTTACACAGCAGACTTTGCTGGATGGGCAGACATTTTGGGGGAGTCACAGCATCATCGGTCTGTGACTTTCCGGGTTGGGAAGATCAAGGTCAAGATTGCATCCGAGTCGAAGAACAGGTGGCACCGTCTAACGTGATCATGGAACACAAGCTGTGCCTAACGTAGCCACTGTAGTCAGGACGTCGAGGTGGTTGTCATTGAGATAACCTTGATTTTGCATCTACACAAGTGATACCCATGAGGAAGGCTACCGCCGGGTGGTTGGATAAACACCATGTACACCTTCGATCACTTTCACAGGTATGGACAGTGTGTTCCCCTCAAGCTTTTTCTCATCAGACCGTAATATTCCTTATTTTTGACTTTGGGTGCAAGGTCGATATGTACGAACGGGGTAAATGGCGGCGAAACACGAAAAAGCGCGAGAAGCGAATGCGGGCCAGGCGAGGAAGTCGGGACAAAATAACAATCGACTACGAGGTAGACTTCTAGATCCCCAGAGTCCAGCGGCCACGGAGTATCTGGTAATTGTGGCCAGAGCGAGATGAGAGATGTGATTTGATGGATGCTTGATGTCAAAGGGTGACACAAAGGACGATCCCTTGAACTCGCCCTCGTTTCTCCAGTCCTGCCGCGTCTGCGCTCCCTCACTTTTTCCTCATTCCTCATTCCCCGGCCCCCAAATGGCTTTGCAACCTGACAATCACTGCCTGCCTTGGGCCCTTGTGAGCAAGGGACTGGCTTGTTCTCGCTTGAGTGTGTGAGTTCTTTTTGCGGAGAAGCTCGCATTCCCAAGCATCTCCCTTGCAATGGATGAATGCTGTGTGTCCATCTCCCACCGGTCAACGTGTCCAGGCCTCACTCACGCCCACCAGTCATTCCACCCTTTTCACCACATTTACCCCTTCTAGAGTCACTTCCCCAGCCTTGACCGCTTGGTCGGTGTATTGGGCATCAATGCACTTACACTTGCACCTCCCCCGATTGCGTGCGGTGGTGGTGATGATGCAGAGCATAGTTGGATCTCCACAACAGGTCAAGCACAGCATACAAGAGTACAACACACAAGCACAGCTGAAGGAGCCTCTTTGCTGGCCCACATCTCGCTTCCGACTAAGGACAAGAAGGGAGAAGTACTCGTAAGAGAAGGAAATGGGGCGCTGGGGCGCTGGGCACATCCGGCGCCAGGAATCATCCCCCCGTCTTGTGGTGATATCCACCTGCATCCTCTCCCCGTGGCCGCCTTCTCTTCCATGCCCTTCTTGCATTGCTGGTTTCCCGGGTTGCTCATTCCGCGTGTGTCACATCCGCACGGCGGCCGAGGAGAATTGGGGGCAGGTTTTCTCGCATTTCCAATCCACCAGGGTGTCCCCCAGACCGACCGGGGCATACGAGATGGCTGTGAGCCAACCAAAAAGAAAAATTCAACAAAAAACTTGGAAAATCACAAAGCCTACCAACCGGGATTCGGTGATAAAAACTCTACTGTGCCGGGATAATACGAGTGCGGGATGGACACGATGGGAAAAGCGAATTTTGCATCAAGTAAGCTGTTTGTGACTTGGCAGCTCTGCAAGCCTCCAAACGATGGTGCAGCTCATTGTGTCTCTCTAATCACCAACCAGTGGATTAGGATCGCAAGTCCGTACCAACGCGTAGGTAAACTCCTGCATGCCTCACACCGGTACGAGTAAGTTTCCAAAGCATCGGAAATGGATTTGCCCACTTTGATTAGCCGAACTATGGGACTATGGGGAGGGCGAGAAGTTTGCTTGCTTCGGATCCTCTTTTCAAATCGATCGAGAGCACGTCAACCCCTTCGACTTGCAGCGTGCAGCACGAAAATAGGGGGCGATCAATCGCCTCACGGATCCCACCGATGCATACCAGGAAAGGGCGATCAATTGTCTCAGTCAAGGCCCAGAATAACAAACCACAAAGAAGGGGAGGAAATCCAAGGGTGGAAACTCACGGTCGGGCCCCGTGTGCAGAACAAACACCAAGGAATTGGATGCTCCTGAATGTCCTCCAGTCAATGACCGAATGGGCTTCATTGAATTACCATCGGCTCGACTTTTACGGCCTAGTCTTCTCATCCTGTGGCTCGGGTCCATTCCATCACCCCCTGCTCGATGGCCCGGCGCGCCTCGTGGCGCTCCGGGGAAACCTCTGGTGGCTTTTGGGGGAGCTTACAAGGTCCAGCCGGATTCGTTTGAAATGCGACAATCCCACGTCGCCTTGACCGCTAGATTTTTGGGGGACCCGAGCATTTGCTCAGCACTCCCACTCCCACTCCCACTCTGACTTGCGAAGGGGTATATTTGATCCAGGCTCCCTCAGGAAAAAAAAATAAAGCTTCCTTGAGATCTCTACTTCCTTCTTCTTCCATCACTGTACCCAGAGATAATCATCAGCCATTAGTATCAGTTCGTCGACGAATATTAACCATTATCTTGTTCCATCCTCCACCAGCCTTGGACCTTGTTCATTTGTACCTGCAGCAACTGCCGATCAACGCGGCTAGCGAACATATCAAGTGCCGACCATCAGGACTTGGTGAGTTGATCATCACCTCGATAATACTGGGTCTATTTGAATTAGCACTGACCAGCACTTGACAGCTCAAGCACAGCCTATCCTTCTACATTTGAACCCTGCTATAAACCCGGCCACCATGCAACGCATCTCATATCGCTCTACCGTGCTGTCGTCCGAGACGTCAAGCCGCGACATGCACAAAGCCTTCGAGGCATCACCACGCCCCAAGTTTGTCTCCTATACCGATCGACGACAACATACTGAGACTCATCCTCCTCCACCCCCACCATCACCAGTCCATTGGACCCGTGAGAAGCAGAGCCGCTAGGTGTCGGTCCTCCAGCAGGGTGTTTCGGGTTTCATTGAGTCTGGTTGGCGAATAGAGCGTTGTGTGTTCAAGGATTTGGCTTCCGCACTGTCATTCATAGGGACAAGTTGATTTTGCTTTGTGCGGCTTGGATATGGACTAATGGCAGCAACGTCGTGAAGTGAGCATGGTTGTTTTGCTCCTGTTATATAGTTTTGTCGGCCTCATCGTGGGCCTCTGGAAGTCTCTCAGACGACGCGCGCATCTGAGGGGCCTTGCCATCAGATTGAGAATAAATTTCCTTTAACGTTGAGCGAGTGTCTGGAATTCCCTGAACCATTTGTTCATTAGGCTCTTGAATGTCGCCACGCTGTGTTTCATGCACCGCTGCAGAGTCGACAGACGCAACATTTTCATCCACGAATGTGCGAACAGCATCTGTTTCACCACGGTCTCGTTTCACTTTCATCAGGTTTTCCAGGAACGCGGCCTGTTTTCTCATCTGATCATCTTGCCAATGCTGGGCTTGTGGAACCTCGCCACTTGCGCCTGCTGGGTTATTGACAGCCTGCCCATCCGGCCCCGCTTCTTTGGATGATTTCTCCTTCTTCAGCAGTTTAGCTGCCTGGCCGACGAGCTTGATACGTGACATGCCTATCAGATCGTAGTCGTCTGTTGATCGGAGAACCTCGGCGGCATCCAGCACGCCTGAATGGGTGAAGAACATGTTGGTACCCACCATATCTGCCCACATGCAGCTATACACCTGGCCTTGGTAAGAGATGATGGGATTTGCCGTGGCTAAATCGAGTACCTGCAGATGTGACGGCGAGGGCAGATGGGTATTCTCGTCACCATCTCTGTTGGTGCGGGAGGGTGTTTCGCGTGGTTCCTGAGCATCTTCAGCACCGGACTCTGCGGCCTCGATAGCACCGGTCTCTTCCGGACCAGGGGTGGGAGGGCCAGAGTTGGTTATTTTTCTTTTGGCCGGCGTCACTGGCTTGGGAGGCACGGGGACGTTGGATTTGATGTTAGAGTTCCAGGACGACAGGTCAATGTCCACGAAGAAGGTCTGCCCAGAAGAAGAAAATGTCAAGGAACGAACGGCTTTTGTGGTATGGGAATGGCAAAGAGAGCGGCTCAGTTTCAATCCACTGCAAAAGATGCCCTACCTCTGTCTCGGTGTCGTCGTATTCATATTCAAAATCATCTTCCAAGGAGTGTTGGGGTTGATTCATGGCGGGTGATCATAACGACAGTGGTCATGCGCCCGTTAAATTGGATTCTGAGATGTCGAAATGCGAGTCCTACAGTAGGTGATGGGATGGGGGTAAGATAGGATGACAGAGAGTACCTCTCCTTCTCATTGCTTCACTCCCATATTCAGAAGCCCAGTCCAAGTTTTCTGGGAATCACGTGATAATGACAAAAGGATTTCAAATGACACGTCAGACGGCCTTCACTCTGCATCTGCGTCCCACAACCGTCTCTCTTGGCCCCTCGCTCTCTCCCGGGCCTCACCCACTCTGCTCGATCTAGAACCCAAATTCAGAGTGCCTAGTTCTTTGACGATGCGATCCCTTGCTTGCTGATAGCTACATCTCCTCCATCCCATCCAACGTGCTATAAATTCCTGACTCCATTGGAGGTCTCACCCCACCCTTCCTGGTCTCACACCGGCAAGGAAAAACAAGCCCAGAGCTTGGGATGAAACAGCCAGGTGCAAGCAATGAAACAAGTCAAGATCAGCGACTGGACGAGGTGGTACATCGGGGCAGATGGATTGGTCTACCTTGACCGACTCAAGTCCGGATCAGGCTTTCCTTTTGTTGGGTGGTTGCGGGCGTCGCTACGTTTAACCACTGCCTGCAGGGTTGACACCGGCTAGCGCCCGGATTCTGACGAGCAAGTGATGAAGTCATTGGCGGCATTTGGGTCAATGACAGGTCAGGGCGAGCCAAAGGGCAATCCGAGACAATCGAGGCAAAGGGATCAGGGACAGAGGGAGCGGAGGGAACACCTGGTGCCAGTCACATCCGTCATTATTCCCTCTTTCTCTGACCCCTCTCAGCTTCTCCTTCAGCCCGTGCATTCCAACTTTCTTTTCACTCACAATCATCACATGTATCCATCTCTGGCATGTGGTACTTCGTCTCTTCCCTTGGATATTCATTCATTCAGGACACCAAGCTTGACTGACCTGACAGGCCACTGACTAAAGTAGCCGCCCCCGCCAATCACTCGTCAGACGCAGATAAGGTACCATCGAAAACAGAAAACACCCCCAGCGAAACCCCTCAACACAACTCGCCCCGGAGGCTCGGACATTCGGTCAGCCTGCGTCCCAGTCGCCAATCATAGCAAAGAGTACGTCAATGCTTTCCTTTTCCTGGACGTTGATACCTGTCTTACACATTCGGCGCGCGGAACTTGGCGGAATGGTCTCTGTATCACAGTATTATTCATGCCCCCTTCACCAGCGGGACTCCCAGCAAACCCCCCAAAGGCAGCTTTTCGGTCGCTTACGACGGCGGAGAGTAATGCGATGACGCTGAGAGTCAATGGCATTACTCCTCCCGTCGTAACCCACTGTTGCTCCCCTCCAGCACCTTAGACGCATTTCCCTCAATGCAGTCACCGCGCTGCCCTCCCGGGGGCCTTGCTGGGCCGCATTCCCGCTCTCGCCGTAACATCCGCGTGGGTGGATGAGGCTGTGGTCAAATCACATTCCTTCCCTTGTTGTCAGCTTGCCTTCCTCGTGATGTTCTGGCTAATCATTTCGGGTTCGCTCTTATGTACAGTGGCCTTAGCCTTGGGGTCCCATCATGCTAGCCAACCACCGCTTACTCGATCATTATATACCGTTACGGCGGAACCCTCTATATTTCCCATCACTTCCTCCCCCGCGGCCTGGGTCCCTCCAGCACACGACCAGCTTCTCCTCGCTGCACCACCGTCCCCAGACACAGAACTTGATTCGGCAACGTCCACCATCATTGTTCCCGTCGACCCCAACACCACTGAATCCAATCCTCCATATGAATCGGTGACTGGGAAGGCCCTGGAGGGAGAAGAGCAGATGGGTCCTGTCAAGACAAAGGCCACCATTGGTGTGCTGTCGACACTTATATTTTACATGTGCGCCAACAGTGTATTGCGGGCCACACGTCCAGAGGTATTCATTTGGCAAGACGAAGACCGAGAGGAATCCAGCTGGATCGCTACCTCGCGGTATTGGCTCGACAGGAAATGCTGTCGATGGCTGGGTGTCTGCGGTGCATTCCACATGCACTATATCTCGGAACACGACAAGTTCGGCCATCGTCCCTCAATTGATCACCGAGAGCGAGTGGTGGTACCCACGCCTGACTGGGACTGGCAGCATGCCTGGACTGAGGGCAACGACCGCCCTGAAGATTGGACCGACGATGAACGGGTGCTGAGGGTGATCCCAGACTACGTGTTCGAGTATGCTCCTCTCGTCCACCTCTACTCGGGAGAGCAGTTCTGGCCCTGCGACATTGCTGAGCACCTCTACCACATCACCCCAACCTTGAACTACACCCCGGTCCAGTCCGAGCAGCAGCATCCATCACTCCAAAACTTGGACGAGCTGAACAATTGGGACAAGGGCCGGTGGCTGTTTCTGACCAGCAACGACAACGTGGAAGAACGGCCAGACTGGTTGGAGGGAGAGAAGAACATCCCAACAGGACCGTCGAGACCAGATGACCCGTTAGAAGACAACGAGGGCTGGGTCCACAAACCAGGACGGACATATCTACAAGGTGTGAAGGATGCATTGGACGACGCGAAAGAATGGTTTGCACCGGACTTGGATGACTTTGAGGATGGTGATGATTTTCAAATGACAGCCTCGGGCCAATCAGAGCAGACACAGGCCGCACGCCGGATTCATCATGAATTGAGACGCTCAACAAGTCGGGATCACGCGCCGCCGGACAGGCTGCGAGGAGGTCGAAGTGATGCACCTGCAGTTCTTGTCACCGTCAACAAGGGCCATGGCATCGTCGACGCTTTTTGGTTCTTCTTTTACAGCTTCAACTTGGGGAACGTGGTGCTCAATGTCCGGTTTGGCAATCACGTGGGCGACTGGGAACACACCGCCATTCGATTCCAACACGGCAAGCCCAAAGCCGTGTTCTTCAGTGAGCACAACTTCGGATCCGCCTACAGCTACGATGCCGTGGAGAAAATCGGCAAACGCCCCGTGATCTATTCCGCTTACGGGACTCATGCCATGTATGCAACTCCTGGCACCCACCCTTACATCTTGCCATGGGGGATCCTCCACGACCTGACAGACAGGGGCCCTCTATGGGATCCAGCTCTGAATTCACACGCTTATACATATGATTACAAGAACGACACTCTGCGGTCTTCGAACCGCACGCCGAATGCCCCGACCAACTGGTTCCACTTTGCTGGACATTGGGGGGATAAATTTTACCCTCTGGGTGATAAACGGCAATATCGATTCGCCGGACAATACCACTATGTCAATGGTCCGCTCGGCCCGAAATTCAAGCATCTGGGGAGGAAGAAGATCTGTCAAGGACCAGAAAGTTCTCCTTGTGTGGTCAAGAACTGGCTAGGCAGTGGAGATAAAATTGGCCATTTACATCTGTCCGACCTAGAAGCTGAGGAAGGAGACAACAACCTATAGATGACTACGTGGAGCTAGTGCAGACGAGACACGAGTTACGGATATGACTCTTGCTATGTTTTTTGATACTTTTTACAGTCCTTTGATGACCAGCATCATGATACCCTTTGCGATACATTTTGGGCGGACGCGGGATTGGAATTTGTGAATGGCGTTCTGGGATGGCGTTCTTGAGGATCTGGGGGATCTCTGTTTTATTATACCCATCATACCCTCCTGCCATATAGACAGTGTTGGATACCTACGACTAGCTACTGTACCAGTTAGGAAGCAGACATTTGGAGAAGTGAAGCGAGTTGGATGTTGAATGAGAGTGTTCATTATCACAACCACTAGACACAACTGGTCTCCATTGAAGATTTCCCCGCGTGTCCAGCATTACAAATAGCACAGTGCACAAGTACAATGACTGGAGTACATAGAGCCACATGACAGCTCCCACACCGCGCGACGAAGTCTGTGCTTGACTTGACTATGCATACCTGGATACATAAATATCCGGGACTTGACGCACGGCCCAGGATCTCGTATCTCCGGGGTTTCATACATATACTCGGCACTGAGTTGGTACTATCACTTCTACGGGTAGCTCCTCTAGCTCCTCTCCAAGGGATTTCTTTGGGGTCCTATTACGAGTAGGATCTACCCGCTTTTGATGTAGCTTAGTTAGTGGTTCTGAATATGTACGGAGTACCTAGTTACCTCCTCGGTAGTAGGCACTCGTGCGAGAGGTACTGTACTCGGTACTGCGGTACTGTCCCTCGAGGTGCTGTACCGCATCGTAATTAGCGGGTTTTTGGTGCGTCTCACCGAGTCCATCTCACCCCTCCAACTAACTAACTTCCCCCCAACCTCCTCGTTTTTCGATGTATCCCGCCTTGCCAATGCCACTTGCGGATGGTGGTTTCGAGTACGAGGTACTCGGTACATAGTAGAGTTCGCCAAATATAAAACCCCGAGAACTCGTAAGCAATCGGTGGGTGGGTGGTACTCGGGTACTTTATGGCACACGCTAATGCTCCATGGTCACGTCTGTGCTCTGCATAAACTACCTCTATTACTCGAGGATGAAAAAAACCCGATTGCCATTTTACGGTTTGATCCTAGAGGGGGTGAGCAAAGGCCGCTTTTAACCCGAGCTCTAACTGCGCTTTTGGCTGAGCAGCTACTGAGCACGCCGCGGGCGCCGCGGCCGCGGCGAATGGGGCGTCGAGAATAACCTCTACCAACTGGGCCACCGGGATACGTGGCCGTGAAGAACCGGAGCAGGCGATTGTCCCTACACGTACATGAGGGACCTGGTCGAGGGGAAGTATGGTCCAGGCCGATTCCACGGACGAGGATGTCAAGATCAGGAACGGAACGGGGAGCGGTCTGTGGTTTCGAGGACCCCGTCAGCAGAATCCATTGACCAAAGGAACGGATGGTAGACGAAAAAATTGGACGCGCCGTTGGGACACACATGATGACTTGCTCTTTGAAGATCAGGGCTATTACTGCGCTTCGTGTGGGTACCCGACGTAAGGTGGAGGTTTATAGAAAGGACTGACTGATGCGAGGTCTTATTATGACATTGATACATTTGGTTGTTGTTGTTGTTGTTGTTGTCATCTATGACCCTATGTAGCTTTCGCAAAATTAGTTTTGAATGATGTCGCCCTCTAAGTTGTACTCCCGTCGCATATCGGGTATATGTGTACAAACCCCCCAATTCGTGTACTGTCCTTCATTATGAACCCCTTCATACCTTCTCAACATTGCTTTTGTCGTCAACAGCATACTGATCGACGGCGCTGACAATATGCGGGTTGAGGACGAAAGGTAAGCTGCAATGACAAACAATCATCAGAGCCATTGGTACGATCGCCACAGGTTGTGTAATCCTCCATGCCAGTGGTACAAACAACGCCATGTAGATCACGCCACCAGCGAGTGGAAGCATGATAAGGAACATGACTCGAAATTTAGTCGTGATCTTCGGGATCTCCTTAAAAAAGTTCGAATTCTCGACTTCCTTCTTAGTCATCTCCCAGGTCATCTCGTACCCGACGATGTGGGCGATCAAAGCTTTGTTGACGTGAAAGCTAAGGCCATAGAAGTAGAAGCAGTACATCGGCTGCCACCTGAAATTTTCCCAGAGCGAACCAAAGAATGATCGTTCGCCGATGCGGGATCGCATAACGGCTAGGGCGATGTTGCTGAGGATCCAGAACACCAGGACCACGGAGAGAAAGATGGACCAGGACGAGGTGTAAAATTTATCCAGTTCATCCCAGTAAAGGCCAACCAGAACATAGTTAGCAATGGTGTAGAAGAAGCCACTACCGATGGCATAATCTATAAAACAAGGGTGTCAGCTCGTCGTAAGTCGACTATCCGCAAGTGACAATACTCACATGAAGTCATGTATGAGATAATACTAAGCTTCGAAGACCAATGCATGTCGCAAAATAAAAATTGCCGGAAAAGCCGTGTGAAGGGCCCTCTCCAGAGCCAGGTCCAAATGGGATTGAACAAGAGTTCACTGTCGCCGTAAGCGTATCTTTCCCATCGACTGATTTCATCGTAGATCGTCAGAGAGACTTGCTCCTTGAACTCGTCTTGATGATAGGAAGCGTATCGAGTGACCCAGTTGGCGCTTTGAAGTCGAAGGCTCATGTTGAAATCTTCGGAAATATGTTCCTCAGACCAGTAGACTGGGGTGTTCCTATCACCCGTATCTATTGCGACGTCTTGGAGCGCTTTCCAGCGCACGAAAGCGTTGTGGCCGACGAAGGGGGCGCATTCACCATTGCTGACTTGAAACCGAATCTGCGCATAGCACATTTTGGCAAAATACGTAGCACCGTTCTCGAAGAAATCCCCCGAAACTTGGTACACAGAGGTATGGTGTTGCACTATGGCGACTTCTGGCGAAAGGAACATTTCTGCCGCGCCATTGATCAAACAGTCGCGAGGCTGAGGGGAGACGTCAGCTCAATGCTCGCAACCAGGTATCCATGAACTTACAACCCGAGTATCGGAATCACACATCAGGATGACTTCACCTATGCGGATGTTCCCCGCGGCCTTGACTCGACTATCCTTAGCCAGTTCTTCGCTCAAAGCTTGGTGATAGAGAATGTCCTCTTCCGCCGAGTCGATGAAGACTCGGCTTCCATCTCTGACTTGGCTGTGGGCATGCACGAGTTTTGTGAGAGTTCGCTCGACTTTGTTGGCAAAATTCATGCAGAAGTTCGAATTTGAGGCTTTCTTGAATCGGCCGGTACGAAAGTATCCATTCTCGCCGTTCATTGGTCGGGCTACCCAACTGTGGTGAAAGTCAGTCACGGAGTTAGTTGCCAGACAGCTGAGTATGACGCTTACCCAATGTTGTTGGCTTCGTACCATTCGATACGAGCTTGTGCGGCAGCAGGGTCGCTATGAAGGAGGTATCCGAGGCCATCATCCGTGATGAAAATATTGGCCTTTCCTCCTTGCAACTCATAGTCTGAGACTGCAGCCATCAGACTTCGGACCGTTGGGATAACGACCAGCTCTAGTGACTCCTTGTAAACGGCCATTTGTATTGTGACTCGTGGAGGAGTAAATCCTTGATCGTACGCTTGCTTGAGGTTTGGTTTGATGCTTGAGAAGAATCGTGTGTTGGTGAAGAGGCCAGTGATGGGTCCGAAAAGCTGGAAGGCATAAGTCATCAGAGACAGAGAGAAGAACATAGCCACGATTAGGGTCAGTGGCTCGAAGGCAATCCAGACGAAACGCCTGCGATCGCCGTCTGTCAGCATCTCGAGGACGAGATGAGATGTGGTGTAGCCGAAGATGAGGAAGACCAGGAAGAAGATCGAACAGGCCATGATGATTGCTCCATAGAGCCTGACTGGACGGTCGAGGGATTCTTTTTCGAGCTCTTGTTCTTCCAAATCCGAGATCTCTGTGACTTCGGTTGTGAACCTCTCCTTCTTCGATGTGTTCCACAGGCTTAGAGAACTCGCCGTCAAAGCTCTGGATTTGTTATGGGCGGCGGTGAAAGAAGCAGTCCCCCATATCTGTTGTTCAATCAGCACCCTTCTGCCCAGCAGACAACGTCCACCAGTCTCGGTTGTCGGAACTCACTAGTTTCATCAATTCCTCTTCCGTGGCGACCGCTTGTTGCAACACCTTATCAGCTTCGTCATGCCATACTAGAAGAATTCTCTCGCTTCTGATTAATGCTGCGTAGGGAAATCGTCGTGCCTGAGCAAGCCCAATTCGCATGAGGTTGGCCATGCAGTCGACGATTTGGAGATCCAGGCCATCCCCAAGCATGATTCCAAGATCTTCGTCCCCAATGACATCGAAGATGGCCTCTGTGGAATCCGTAGCAATGGCAAAAGCTGCCTGAACGCCAAGTTTTGCAACCGTGCGAACCAGCGTGTCCGGGAGGTCCTGTGGCTCGACGCTCAAGGTGCCATTGGATTGACGCAGGAGGACACCGAGAGGCCTTTTTGGCAGGTTGATGTCGAACCAACCATTAGCGGCACCTTTTCCATAAAGGAACTTTGTCATCTAAGACTCGATTGTTAGCTCAGCTTTCCTAGCATTTGCGAAAGCTCTTACCGTTCTGTGCCTCAGTGCTTCCTCGAAGTTGGCTTTGTCCAGGCGCCTGCTCTGGTGGCTTGACACGGACACACCTGAGGAGTTCGGTTGCGAAAAATGCAGGTATTGAGGTCTCGCCAGCGGCGTCGAGGCACCTGCCTCGGAGAGTGAAGCCATCGGTGTTGTTGGTAGAAGCAAAGACGCTTGGTCTGGACATCAGCCTGACAGGTCGAGGGCACCGAGCCTTGTCATGAAATATTAAGAACGGTGAACGACAGATGAACTGACGAAATTTGTTTACAGAAAAAGCCGGTGGCTTGTCGCCATCTCCCGTCCTGGCCACCGTCCAAGGAGACCCATGAGTGCGAGTGCGAAGCGTAGACTTCCCCCATGTCAGTCACGCACTTTGTCCGGATACATGATTCTGCTCGCCTTCGGCCATGGTCGCGTCCCGCATTGTGTGATAGTGATTTCAACGGGCATAGTGGCGTGCATCTAGCTCAGCCGTTGAACGTAGCGTTGAGGTTGGCAAATCTCAGACTGCCGGGGATGATTGGATGTGTTCGAACTGCAGGAACAGACCTGAGATCCCGCTTGAGATCCACCTTGACGTGCCAAGATGCGGATCAGGAGGCTTCCGCAACTTAAACCTGCCTTAAACCTGGTGGGTGCCTGGAGATCTCGTGGCTAAGACTTTCTGGGCTGAGACACAGCATGGTCTCGCACAATCTCTGGGCCAGCGTGGCAGGCTGGCAGGCTATTCATGGACCTCTGGGCTGCGACACCGCCGTGACAGCACATTGTCCCCTCGCCACGCAAACCTAGACGGGAAATCCGAGGATCGTCATCGATATGGTGGTGACTCTGCCTGCTTTACCAATGATATCTCACAGTCAGAGGGATCATCAACTTGGGTCCGCACTGATCAGAGACATTGTATCTGCTTGCGCCGGCGACATGGCCTGGCACCTTCCTCATGTGCGATAGGAAATGTTCCCTATCTTGTTGGAACTTGATTTCCAGTTCCTCGCTAACGGGGTTTAATTTCAACGCCAACTTCTGAACTGTCCCCATGGAACATTATTGGACAGGGTTCATGCACCCAGAGAAATATTGTGGCGGGCATGGCTGGCATGGCTGGACATGCGCCTCCAATAACGCGAGATCAAACGTTTTCCAGAGCTCGTTTCGGACACCGGTCATGTTCAGCCAGTACCGAGTCCGAATCTAGAGTTTACTGTCCCTGCCCGGGGCGAAAGGCTACTCCCACTTCTGCGCGTCGAGCACATGTCTCACAGCTCACGAGCGTGTCTCAGGAGAACAGTCTGGTAGAGCACATGAAAGTCGCCACCCATGCCGATCTATTTGGGTGAACTGCCTACAACAGCTCGACGCAAGAGTTGAATGCCGCTACGTTATCATTGTCTCGCAGTCACCTTGACGGCCTTTGTGTGTCAGTCAGTCTCGGGCAAAGACGACGAGAGAGAAGATGCCGTCGCCGATCGCAAACTCTCATGACCCCGACTTCGTCTATGCAGCGCATCAAGCAAGTCATCCAAGTCCCCAGATGCAAAGTCACAGCAACGACGAGGTCGCATCGATAGAGAACTATGGCTATGATCGTACCCGAGACGGCTCCGAGGAGGATCTCTTCCGAGGCTTCAACAGCTATCGTGTGAGCGGGATGCGCAACCATGAGTTCAAGACTTATCTGCTGGACGGAAAGTGAGTTGCTTTTCCATTTGTCCCCTCTCTAAGTATTCGAGCATCATTGACATCAAGCAGGATTGAGAAACCTTGGACTGCGGACAAGAAATACAAAGCGCCTCGCAAGGGCAATTGGTATATCCTCGGAGGGCTTCTCCTTGCGATAGCTGTCAGCGCAGTTGTGAACTGGAGGATCGCGGTCGGCGTTCCCAACCACGAGGTTCGGCTTCCCATTTGCGTCTGACTGTGCTTCACTGACACAGAGTCTTCCTTTGCAGTATTGTCTAGTCCTGGACGATTCCTTCAGCACCCTCGATAAATCCATCTGGAGTCATCAAGTCCAACTTGACGGGTTTGGGACGGGCTCATTCGACTGGACAACAACGGATGGCCGAAACGCCTTTACTGATGGAGATGGACTTCACATCGTTCCCACTTTCACAACTGCCACAACCGATATTACTGAAGGCCAACTATACAAGGGGTCAGTAGTTACACGGCCCCTGGGCTGCTGAAAGATTCTAACCTGTGGATCAGTTATCATCTGAACTTGGAACAGTCCAAACATGGTGACGGTTCATGCACAGCCAGCACAACTGCGGAATACTATGCCGATGAATGCAGCCGGACCTCCAACATTTCCTCCCACACAATCATAAACCCCGTGAGATCAGCACGCCTTACTACGCAAGGTGCCAAATCGATCCTGTATGGTCGTGTTGAAGTCGTGGCCAAGGTGCCAAAGGGCGATTGGCTCTGGCCGGCAATCTGGATGATGCCCGAAGATTCTGTATATGGAATCTGGCCGCTGAGTGGCGAGATTGACATTATGGAAAGTCGCGGTAATGCGCGTGGCTACAGAAACGGCGGAAGAGAGGCAGTCTCAAGCACAATCCATTGGGGTGAGCGAATCTCAGTCTCGGTTTCGAGAGTGACCTTGTTGAACTGAAACACGTCAGGTACCTCGTGGAAGACCGACAACTTCTTCAGAACCACACAACAACGCAAGATTCAAAGAACAGACTATTCCGAAGGTTTTCACACGTTCGGGCTCGAGTGGTCTAAAGATTACCTTTACACATGGGTCGACAATCGACTGCAGCAAGTTCTCTACGTCGACTTCACGAAACAGGATCTATGGCAACGCGGCCATTTCCAAGGTGACTACGAAAACGGGACGCAGACCATTAACCCCTGGTACCTTTCAACCAACAAGAATGCACCTTTCGATCAAAAATTCTACCTGATTCTCAATGTTGCGGTCGGGAGTCGCAATGGCTGGTTCGCGTACGTTTTGACTGGCTGCCTTGGTTCTTTTGTTTCACCATCGCTGACACATGTTATACAGGGACGGAGTTGGTGGCAAGCCATGGGTTGACGGAAGAGACTCTGCAGCCTCTGACTTCTATGGCGGTGAGTCCAGTGTGACCTGTTACCTCTCACAATCCATGCTGACACGTCAATTAGCCAGGTCCGAGTGGGAACCGAGCTGGGGAACGGGAAACGAACGCGGTCTGACGGTCAAGAATGTCAAAATGTGGCAGCAAGGTAAATGCAACACATAGAACACCAATGGAATGTAGACTAGTACGCAAATGGGAGGTGGACTAGCACACGAATGGGATGGACACAATGGAAGGGCATTTTCGAGGCTTAGTTATACTCAAGTAAAGACGAACTCGGTACCTAGCGAGCCGTATATGGCAATTAGATTTTTCGTGCTCGATTAATAGAGGTACGAAGAGTGGGCATATACTGTGGTTTATGTACCTCGTAGGTACTCGGTACCAAATACATGATTGCCTAGGGACCTTGTACTGGAGAGGTGTGTCGAGTTACCAGGAAGCATCTTCCTGGGCCCAATAGTTTCGGGTTTTGTTACACCTATTAATTTCGTAGTCTGTGACTTTTCCCCCAGCCTGAGAAGTAATACCTACGTTCCGAGTGCATAGGAACCATACTACACGCCCTCCAAGTCAACGGTTTGCTGCCGTAGATATCATAAGCTGTGTATTGTCTGTTTACCCTGTACGAGGTACTAAAGGCGTGTATGTATATAACTGTCGACGTTCCTGCTCGTCAGGTCACTCCTCACCGAACCTCACCCGCCTTCCCTTCTCCTGTTCTCGATGCACGTACACACCCGCCAGTTCCGCCCTCGGAGGGGCAATCTACAAATCTCTCTTCTCAATAACTCAGCTGATGCGCGGGTGGCGCTCCTTTCCATCTGGGTCTGGTTGGGGAAACGAATAGCCGGACCCTGCTCTCGCCCTCCAGCCCATCGAACGCGCTCGACGGTCGGGTCGCTGCGGCCGCATTGCTGTGGAACAAGCGGTATCCCCCGGATGTCGCAATCAGGGCGGAATCAGTTGTAGGTTTCGTGGTGGTGGTGATGGTGGTGGTGGTGCACGATGATGTCGAGAAGAGGAACGACGCTCGAACAAAGGCGACAAACAACCCCACACAGACGTCTCGTGCACTTCGGCCATCTCGGAACCCATGACTAACCCAGCTACATGATAGTTGATCTCATAGTTGCAAAGGTACCCTGGGTGTAGATACCACAGATGGAAATGCTGCGGTATCTGTATCTTGGTCTGGGATCACTCAGAGCACGCACCACTTCTAGATCATGAAGTGGACGTGGTTTTCTGTCTTGATGGATTCTCATTCTCGGATGGAGCGGCGATTGTCTCTGCCAAAAAGAGGCGGGAGGGAGGTAAGTTGAAGGATGAGCAAGCTTGGAGGTTTGCCTACGTCGATAGACTCTAGTTCCCATCTCTCTGGATGGATATACATACCTTCCAGTTTGGGGTGGCTAGAATCACCCCCCTTCCGGAACTCTGAGTTCATGTCGAGGTCTAGTCTGATGTGCTGCCGCATAGCCAATGGCTGCTGGGGTTTGGGATTGGTTGAGGAAAAGAGTCATCACGTCGAAAGTCAGGTTCTCTCCCAGGCCACACTTCGGCGACTGGTAAGGCTGACACGCTGAATGGCAAGGCTGAGGAATGTCTTGGCAGGGTCATGACCTCAAAGCCCCGCCGGCAAGGCAACGGTTCTTGGTCCATTCCAAAGGACTGCGCCTCCGACTGCTGAGCGAATTTTGTAACATCTTCATGCCCGCTCCGTCTGAGCACGTCAGACGAACAATTCGCAATCGAGACGAATACATGGGACAATAGCAATCACGACAGTGCACTGTCCCCGCCATCGCACATGCACCCACCTGAACTCTTCCCCTCGTCAGCTGCCGAGTTGCACCATGATCTCGTTTCAGCCGTCCAGTCCTCGCAACCCTCCACCAGTCTTACAGTAACAGCCACATCTATACTCTTCAGTATAGCGACAGCAGCTGCTTCTCCTCCTCTTACCGTCATATCTTCGCCGACTCCATCACCCTCTTCAAGCATGTCCGATGACAAGAGCAGTGGCGAATGCAAACTACTGGGCCCTTTCGCTATATTGGTGCAGGGAGCGCTGGGCGCTTTGGCACTATTATCCCTGGTTTACAAGAGATGGAGAGAAAGACCACAGCGACCTCTCAAGGTCTGGTCTTTTGACGTGTCCAAACAAGTCGTCGGGTCGATTTTACTCCATCTATTAAACCTCCTCATGTCGCTTTTCTCCTCTGGCAAGATAGGTGAGACTGTGGTGAATGCAACAGCAAGTACACCCGGGTCTGAAACAATCGCGGAATACCAACCAAATCCCTGCTCATTTTACCTGCTCAATCTGGCCATTGACACGACCATCGGGATCCCCATCCTGATCGGCATACTCAAGATTTTGACGATCGGTGCACGGTATACACCTCTCGCAAATCCTCCCGAATCGATCGAATCCGGAAATTATAGCACACCCCCCAAGGCCTCCTGGTGGGCAAAGCAGTGCCTGCTCTACTTTTTAGGACTGATAGGCATGAAGATTTGTGTATTTATTATTTTTCAACTTTGCCCTTGGTTAGGACCCGTTGGAGACTGGGCACTTGGATGGACAGAAGGCAACGAGGCTGTTCAGGTTGCATTTGTCATGTTCATCTTTCCCTTGATTATGAACGCAGCCCAGTACTATATCATCGACACATTCATCAAACAGAAGAAGGGACCACAAGATGACAGCGAAGAAGAGATAGAGCATGAAAGAGGTGAAGAGCATGGTTCTTTGTTGCCAGATGCGGGATCCGATCATGGCCACTCACTCGATGAGGACGAGGTCTGCAAAGCCAAAAGTTCGGCCTCCAGCCAGCTCGAGAGGGTCATCTCATACGACCCGGACAAGGACGGGCACGTGGTTGAGAACGAACGACCAGGCGAAAGCAGCAGCTTGACAGCTCACGCCGAGGAGGAAGGCTTGGAGGACCGGCCTCGGATATGATTTGGGATGTTTGTTTGCATTGCTTTGGATGGAGTACCGAAAATGGGAAAGTAGCCGCATGGGAGCTCACGGGACCTGGTATATTTGGATAGTGGCAAAGACGAATACACGCATGAAGGACCAGACCGCCACATGCGGACGGCCTGAGTTGTTATGGACAATCTCTGCATTTCGATTACGTCTGATGTTACTCCGCATCAACGATTCTGGGGATTCGGTTCCCTTTGTAAAATCTGAATGGAGATCGTGACCTCTATCCCTGCGCTCAACGGTTTGAGCATCTCCAAACAAGTACACATCATCCTGTAGACGCCGACGCTAAGCGGCGCGAGGCGGGAGAGGTTGGGTAATCGGGGGGGGCAGCTGATAGGGCGGTGCCCCTGCGCCGCCTGCGTGGCGATGGATCTGGTTAAGAGGGGCTCCATCTGTACCTGAAAGCCCTTTCGCTCGGAAGGTCGCTATCCAATTGCGGGGGAAACTGGGCGATGTTGTCTCGTAACAAGTTCCTGAATTCTCTCATTCCATCTCATTCCAGTAGCCCATGTGATGTAGTTTGATGAAAATTCTTTTTTGCTCGCGGGGCGTGTCCGTCTTGAAAGATTCTATTGTATAAAAACGGCTCACGGATCCGCCCTTGCTGCGCCCAACGAAACCCTCCATTCACATTTCCCCAAAGCCACTGAACACTTTGCGTGTACTTCCGCCCCAAAGCCGTGTTTCAGCTGCGGTGAGACTTCTAGCTATCCGATATCTTTCTATTTCTCTTATCGAACCGGCACTATTGGCGATCACAAGGGTCTGACGGAGGCCGTTATCCTGTGGCCAGCCTCATTTAGTCTCGTTTGTTCTCATAATCAGTCCAATTCCCGCTGCAACGGCCATACCAGAAACCCCTCAGGGGCATAGGCTGCGGCTGACAGGCTCACCTATCAAGACAGTACACCGTTAGCTGAACCTACCCGTTACCCGTACAAAAGAGCTCCCGGGCTCGACGTCTGCCTCTGCTGCATTCATCTTCCATCTTACATTCCCTTGGTTTTGTCGTTCACTGTTCTGGTCTGCCATCAAAATCGCGTCTTGTCTTCCCTGACCACACTCGTTTTCTGAACGACCATGGATCATCTCTCAGTCAACGGCGACCAGCCGCTGAATCCGGCAAGACACAAGCTGGTTGAGCAAGTCATCAGGACACCAGGGAGACAACCCTCCCCGCAACCGACTTTGCTAGGAGTGCCCGGGGCCTCCCAATCCAATCAATCGTTACATCGTATCCTGTCGGACCATAGTCCCGGATATGTGGCTCCTCAATTCGAAGGCAAGAGGGCGCAAATGGAAGAGGGTACGTCCGCAGATCATGGTAACAATAACGAAGAGAAGCTGACAGAAGCGCAGTTATGGACCTCATCGAAGAGAAGGGCTTTCTGCCCACCGAATTTATTGCCTCCGAGACCGAATGGTTCTACAATTCCCTGGGAATCGACGACATGTACTTCTCCACGGAAACCGTCGAAGCCGTGGCAAGCAACATCCTTTCGTTGTATGCGGCCAAGCTCGCAGCGTATGCCCGGGATGACAAGAAGCTCGAGATCAGATTGGCCAAAGAGGCCTCGGATCATGCGGTCTACATTGACACAAGCAAGCCTGGAATAAGCATCATTGACGGGCCGAGATACGAACAGAGAATTGACGAGAAATACATCGACGGTTCTACACCCTCAAAGAGCTTCCGTGTCGAGTCCTTCCGATCGAACAATGCTCTGCCGGAGAATCCGGACGAGTCGCTGCGATGCTATTTCGTTTACGAGTGTCAATTCAAGAACCCGACTCCTGGGTCCAATGAGACGGACATCGAGGTCATCGGTGAGAAGCGGTTTCTGCAAAAGGCAACACAGAAAACCAAAGAGATCTACCAAGAGATTATCACCTATGCGGTTTCCCGGACTGGCCCAGTCATCGAGATGTTCGAGATGGAGGGCACCCGAGAAAAGAGACTGGTTATTGCCTACCGTCAAGGGTCGGCCATGGGCGTGTTCAGTGCCCTGTCAGATCTCTACCACTACTACGGAGTCACGAGCTCTCGCAAATACGTCGAGCAGTTCTCCAACGGCATCACAGTTGTCTCTCTTTACTTGAAACCGGCCAGCAATGAAATTGCCAAGTCGAGATACCCCCCAATCGAGGCATCGATCCATCAAATCATCAAAGAGGTCTCTTTGCTGTTCTGCGTCCCTCAGAACAAACTTCAGGGACAGTTCGCAAGTGGGAATCTGAGCTTACAAGAGAGCATCTACGCCCACTGCGTGCACGTCTTTGTCCAGCAGTTTCTCAACCGGCTCGGCTCCGAGTATACGTCGTTGGTCGCGGCGTTGAAAGGAGACACCAACGCCAATGCGGAGCTGCTTTCAAAGATCAAGAAGCGGCTGCGAACAGAGACGTTCACCTCAGACTATATCCTCGAAATCATCAACAAGTACCCCGAGCTCATTCGTAATCTGTACTTGTCCTTTGCAAGCACCCACTACGTGCAGACTCGAGGTGAGCAGGATGATTTTATCCCCACGCTCAGCTATTTGCGGTTGGACGTGCAAAACGTTATGGACGATGCAGCATTGGCTGAGATGGTGTCAACGACCACCCAGAACCAACACGACGAGATGGTCATGCAATACTTTTTGACCTTCAACCGAGCAGTCTTGAAGACCAACTTCTACACTCCGACCAAGGTGGCACTCAGCTTCCGTCTCAAGCCCAGCACCGAATTCCTACCCGAGCATGAATATCCACAGCCGCTGTACGGGATGTTCTTGGTCATTGGGTCAGAGTTCAGGGGATTCCATCTTCGGTTCCGCGACATTGCGCGTGGTGGCATTCGGATCGTCAAGTCTCGTAACAAGGAACTTTACGCAATCAATGCCCGGACTCAATTCGACGAAAACTACAACCTTGCCAACACTCAGCAGAGAAAGAACAAGGACATCCCGGAGGGCGGCTCCAAGGGTGTTATCCTTCTTGATTGGCAACATCAAGACAAGGCTCGTGTAGCCTTTGAGAAATATATCGACAGCATTATGGATCTTCTTCTCCCTCCCACGAGCCCTGGTATCAAGGATCCCATCGTTGATCTGCATGGACAGGAGGAGATCCTGTTCATGGGTCCCGACGAGAATACCGCCGACCTCGTGGACTGGGCTACAGAACATGCCCGTGCCAGAGGAGCGCCGTGGTGGAAGTCCTTCTTTACCGGCAAGAGCCCCAAACTGGGTGGTATTCCCCACGACGCATACGGAATGACGACTCTGTCAGTCCGCGAGTATGTTCTGGGCATTTATCGCAAGCTGAACCTGGATCCGAGCAAAATCAGAAAGCTGCAGACCGGTGGTCCAGACGGCGACTTGGGATCTAACGAAATTCTCCTCAGCAAAGAGAAGTACACGGCCATCGTTGATGGCTCTGGTGTCCTTGTTGACCCGGAAGGGCTGGATCACGACGAGTTGATCCGCCTAGCCAAGAAGCGAGTGATGATCTCGCAATACGATATCTCCAAATTGTCACCACAAGGATACCGCGTGCTGGTGGAGGAGAACAACGTGACATTGCCTTCTGGCGAAAAGGTCCACAACGGCATGACCTTCCGCAACACATTCCACCTCCGCGATGCTTCACAATACGACCTCTTTGTGCCTTGCGGTGGTCGGCCGGAATCCATCGACCTGTCGAGCGCTGGCAAGCTGATCGTGGACGGCAAATGCAAGATCCCATACATTGTCGAGGGCGCCAATCTGTTCATCACGCAAGACGCCAAGCTTCGCCTTGAAAAGGCTGGCTGTGTTATATACAAAGATGCCTCGGCCAACAAGGGCGGCGTCACTTCGTCGTCACTCGAGGTCCTGGCAAGCTTGTCCTTTGACGACCAGGGATTCATTGAGAACATGTGTGTTCACAGTGATGGAACTGTCCCTGAGTTCTACAAGACATATGTGAAAGAAGTACAAGAGACGATCAAGCGCAATGCTCGACTCGAGTTTGAAGCCATCTGGCGTGAACACGAAGCCACGGGGGTGCCTCGCTCCACCCTCTCGGACCAACTGTCTCTCGCCATCACGAAACTAGACGAAGACCTCCAAAACTTCAATGATCTATGGAACAACAAGACTCTTAGACATCAGGTTTTCAAAGAGGCGCTGCCCAAGACGCTACAGGACAAGGTGGGACTGGACAAGATCTTGAGCCGTGTGCCGGACAACTATCTCAAGTCCATCTTTGGCAGTTTCTTGGCCAGTCGATTTGTGTACGAGTACGGAGCGACGCCCAGTCAGTTTGCGTTTTTTGATTTTATGAGTAAGAGGCTCGCGGGAGCCATCTCCAACGGGCAGTGATAGGGCAGGACGGTCATAAGACGGAGCGGGTGGACAATGGGAGAAGACAAAAAGGGCCAATATTGAATGGGACGAGCATGTTAAACGGTAAATGGTAAATGATGTTCAGCGAGACGCGAGCAATAGCAATGAATGGCGATGAACGATGAAGCAATTTATAGCATGACACTACCTATCTTGTCTCTTCCTTGCTCCATGCGCACTTTTTGTTTCTGATGCGTCTATTACCTGTCACGCCCCTGGAGGTATAGTCTTTACTAGGCACTGGGTAAGTATGTCCGGGAGATGAGTAGTTGCGGTAGACCCGGATGGAAGATGATCTTGAGTGTGAGCCTACGTCGTCGACTGAGGAGTGGGCCAGCGAGCGAGCGGGCTACGGTCGTGGCTAAGGTCGCAGGCGTGCTCGTGTGGGATGGATTGGTGTTGGGCCTTTCGGGTGCACAGCCGTGGCGGTTGGTGCCCTGGATGTGGGAGCTCGTCGTACTGGCGCTGAAGCTGAGGCAACAGAGAGATGTGTCGACGCCAACGCGGATACTTTCGTTGCTGGGCCCTTGCTATCCGCCTGCGTAGCGACCTGTGCACCAGGCTTCTCGTCTAGGTCGTGAGGGCGAACGTGAGGGAGAACATCTTCTTTCCCTTCTTCATCGTCATGACCACCACCACCACCACCACCACCAATAGACTTTCTATCTCCATCTCCCTCTCCCTCCGGCACCTCCGACCCCTCCACTTTCTTCCGTTTCTCCCTCTCCTTCCGCTTGACCTTCTTCTCGCGGTTCCGTCGCGTGCGCCTCTCCCGCTCCGTCTCCTCGGTCGCCTTGGCCTGAGCGGCGAGTTCTTGGCGCAGAGCGAGCCGCCGACGGAGGAGGATGCGGCGTTTCTTGGACGGTCGCTTTGAGCTTGACGAGGAGGACGAGGTCGATGAGGTGGGCGGTTGCGCACCGGCGGATATACCTTTTCCGCGGAGGAGTTGGACGTGGATCAGCCGCCACGGGAGCGCGGCGCCGGGCCATTTTGTCCGTGTTGCTTGAGAGATGATGTCGGCGGTCGACACGGCGACGTCGGCGTACTGTGTCCGTAACGCTTGTGTGGCCTCGTCCGGCAGCGCAGAGGTGAAGTAGTACGAGTCGGGGCGGTGAGGACGGAGGAAATGCGCGTTTTCCAGGGATAACGACTCCTCAAGCGCCGCGGGCTCGGGGGTTCGTGATAGCCTGATCCGGGTGTCTGCGATGGTCGTCGTCGTCGTCGTCACATCGTCCTGAGAAGGTCCAGGCCTCGTAGCGGAAGTAGTGGTGGTAGGCCTGGACTTCTTTGACGAGGTGAATAGCCGGAACTGGAACTCTAGAGGTTCTTCCTCTCCTCCTCCTCCTCCTCCTCCTCCTCCTTCTTCTTCTTCTTCTCCTTCCTGCTGCGGGTTGACCGCCAATTCAGATGCGGACTTTGTTGGTGCTGTTCGATCTGATTCCCGCTTCGTCTTCGTCTTCTGCTTCGGCGACGACACTTTTGGCACAGCCACAAACTCGTATTCGAACCCATAGCTTGGTCTCAAAACATTCTCCCCGTCATCGCTAAAGTGTGTTGCTGGGGGTGGCGATACAGATCTTCTCGACCCCCGAGAACCTGGGAGTGTGTCGTCGACATCATCGTCGTGGTCGTCTCGAAACAATTCCGATCTTTTGACCCTTTTATCGGTCAACAAAATTGACGAGTACGTCTCTGGTCAGGGGAAACACCTACCTTTTTGCATCTGGGACTTCGAACATGTTTGTTTCTGATATCACGGACCAACAGACCAGAGAAACGCCCTCGTACGTATGAGTGAATAGGGGTTATGGATTCTCAGAAGTCGCAATGAATTTATCCTTTTTTCAGGAAAGATGAAAAATTCCCTGGCCCTTTTGGACGTTCAGGGCTATAGCAACAGCGACAGTGACGACGAGACAGATGCGTCGATCATATCATACCATATCATGACAAAGCCTGGCACACCATATCCACTCGTTTCGTTTCACAGCCACGGGTTGGATGGACATATACCTCGTACCTCGCAATGTGATGTGATGGCGCAATTTGTCCGTGGTGGTTACTCGGTAGAATCTTTCTCGGTAACAAGTTGATCCGAACCCCGACTTTCCCAAAAACGTGCGTATAACCCTCCAATGAATGGGTTGGACATCCATACCGAGTACAAACGTCTTGCGTCTTATTTATGAGTTGCTCAACTATTGAGATTCTACGCCGATTAGACATCGACCTCTCTACAATCTACAGGTTGAATCTGTGGTCACACTGACAAAAACTACCCTCGCTCTCTCGCTTTCTAGGCTTGAGTGTTTCTTGTGCCGCATATTTTATTTTCATTTTGGCTCCGCCGAAATTTTTCCCGAGAGAGGCATCGAGTTTTGACGCTCACTGTTTCTCACCACCGAATTGCAAAAAAAGGATAACTGAAGATCGAGGGCGAGATCAAAAATGGAGGTCAAGATCGACCCGGAACATATACCGACCTCATATGCAGGTGTGTAACCTATGTCTGCGTCTGCTCTGCTCTGCCCTGCCCATGCATCTGCACATCCATCTGGTTTCAATGCCCCACTTTCGCCGCCGTCGTCTATTATAAATGTCTCTTGGAGCCATGGAATGACTCAGTCGACTGATCGTTGTATATAAATTTGCCCCGTGCAGGTCCCGTCCACATCGCCGTCATAGGTGGCACCGGGCTCGAACATCTGCCTGATTTCCACAAAGCCGCCGTCCTCACCGTCAACACACCCTGGGGCACGCCCTCGTCGCCCATCACCATCCTTGAGCACCCGTCGCCGACTACCGGCAACCCAATCCCCATCGCCTTCCTGGCCCGCCATGGCCCATACCACGCCCTGGCGCCCCACGAAGTCCCCTCGCGCGCAAACATCGCCGCCCTGCGCCACATCGGCGTGAGGTGCATCATCGCCTTTTCCGCCGCGGGCAGTCTGGCCGAGGAGGTCAAGCCGAGGGATTTCGTCGTCCCGACTCAGGTCATTGATCGGACCAAGGGGGTCAGACCCTGGACGTTCTTCGAGGACGGTGTCGTTTGTCACATCCCCTTTGCGGATCCGTTCGATGCAAAGGTGGGGGATGTGGTGAGACGGTGCGGCCATAGTTTGGAGGGCGACGGGGTCGTGTTGCACGATTCTGGCACCTTGATTGTCATGGGTAAGTTTTCATTTCGAGATTTCTTCCCCTTGCATTACCATCGACCATCGGTCGGGTATGGCACGCCTCTGATGTATGCATTCCTCTTTCATGAGGTCTGGACAAGTGAGCGGCTTGGCTTGAGAGCAGATGAAGCCGCCAGACAGGGTCAAGCCGACGTGCAGTCCAGCGGGTGTACTTCGCGCCGGCTGGATTCTGCGGCAGCGAGGGTGATTCGGCTCGATGCGAAAATCATAGAGCTCAAGCTGTAACGACGTTCTTTGGCATGGCTAACCATCTCTCACCGGACTTCAGAAGGACCGCAGTTTAGCACTCGCGCCGAGTCGAACTTGTACCGTTCGTGGGGTGGCACCGTTATCAATATGTCGACCTTACCAGAAGCCAAGCTCGCGGCAGAAGCCGAAATTGCATACCAGGTTATCCTGATGAGCACAGACTATGATGTACGTGCCCCTCCAACACTGTGTTCGCATTGACATTCCAAAGTCTTCGTGGCCATCGCTCCTCTACACTGCACTGTCCAATTTGTCTAACACGTGAATGAACAGTGCTGGCACGATGTCCACGGCGACGTTTCCGTCGAGATGGTCATGGGCCACATGCGCGCCAACGCCGTCAACGCCCGCCGCTTCATCGCCGCTGTGCTGGACGAGCTCTCCAAAGAAGAACATGACGACCTCGTCCAAGCTACGCATCTTGCCGGGGCGAGGAAGTTCGGCGTCAGCACGTATCCCGAGGGACGGGGAGAGAAAGCACTCGAGAAGCTGAGGTGGTTGTTCGAGGGCTATTTCTGAGGCCCGGAGCATGATGATTTTACACGACACCGAATAGACACGGGGACACACACTGAAGCTGTCAGCTCATCACCGGCAGGTAGAATAGAGAGTGAGAAGGGGAAGGGAGAGACCTTTCCAAGGCTCGGCTTCAACGTCAGAGCTCACAATGACATGACTTCAAGACTGTCACGACGGGGGTGAAGATGCGCAGGAACCACTCAATAACCCGCAAAGTGTTGTAATTTGCCTAACCGCCGATTCTCGCGCTTGGAAACTTCTTTGGATCTTCATCTTGCCGCGATTCTGCCTAAACAGAATCGAATTCTTTTCTGTTATTGGAAATTGGCGTCAAATTCCTAGACCGTCGCGACCTTCGTCGCCGTTGGCAATTTGCAAAACAAGGAGGGCCGATCTAGAACTATGCCGGACGATCGTTGCTAGCCTTGCAATCGTGCGTGCTGCAAATATGTAACTCTAACTCTTCCCCAGGGGTTTCCAAATTTGAGAGGTCTGGAACGCATGTCGAGACATTCTTCAATATATGACGCTGGTGGCAAAGAATCTGCAAACTCTGTGACCGAATGTCAACATTCTTACACGTGTTCAAGCTTCGATATACACGGTAGTGAAGCTTGTCGAGCGTATTTGCCCAACACGTGGCAGGTCTCAGGCTCCAACAAGGCTGTAACGCTGCAGTAAACGCCACGACATGAACAGACGTCAGGAGCAGCCTTCCAAGAGTGTGATGGCCTTGTTAGGCCAGGAGCTCGCAGGCAAACGGCCAATTGCACTGTCGGGTCGATATTCCTTAAACAAGACAGTATTCGTTAAAAGACGATCACGTGAACTGGTGACCTGAACGCGCTCATTGTTGATATTGATTCTTGGCAGACACGTCTCTCACTGGGAGCCTCAAAGCTGACTTCTCGACCACATTAGCCCATACGAGAATTGCAGCGCTCCTGGAGCACTCCGGACCATCGGAAGAGCATGGTGTTTGACATAATATTCGACTGAGACAGCTATTGAAGCAATCGTCCGAGCTCCACGAACAACACGGGGTAGGATGCTGATCACAGATCGCGTCGCCCTGGTCTGTGCAAGCTCAGTTGCAGGCAATATTTGGAGCTGCACAAGTCGCACCAGGAAATTTCCCGGGCATGGTAGTGTCACACCGAGCGGGGGAATTGGTTATCATCTCGATTCTCGACGACACATACAAGAATTGCTTCTGGTACCCCTCAGTCAGCCTTTAACGGGGCCGCATGGCTGCGTCACCAGAACGGGTTGAGAACTTACTGATGGAGCTTTCGAACCAATCTCGACGCAATGCGACCTTGGCGGTTTAGAAGTCCGGAGTTGGTCATACGACTATGTATGTAAATCAAGGAACCAGCAAAATAGCCCATCAATAAATGACGTAGAAGAGAGTCTCATGGTCGGCAGGTCGGCGAATATCCTTGCTGGCTGTGCTGTTGATTGAGAGCCATCTTCAAATGGACAATGTGGGGGATCGGTGGTTGAACGCCCTAGCCGATAACAATCTTGATTAGTGTGAAACAAGCTTGCCGAAAACAAGGACCTCTGTGCTGTGTAGCTTGACAAAATGTGCTTCAGCTCTGTCGTGGTGGTTCATGAGGCAGAGGACTCCATTCCAATACAAGGGGCCGAAAGTCGCTTGCCAGCGATGAGCCTTGCGAATTTTGCGTAAACACGTGCCTCATTGGCACGGTGTCTCCGGGGACAACAGCCACAGCCGAGAAGATGAAGCAGTCTAGGGCCTTAAACCATGCTTGAAGTGGACTAAGTATCAGCGGTGCTGATGGCCAACCGTGATAAGGACAGAGAGGATGGCGCAATCCATCTATTGAAAGACCGGAGGGGGTCATGTCCTTCTGCTGGTGCCCACGTGAATTCAGAATGGAGTAATCGGTACTGTACGAGCAATTGATGTTCAATATTCGGACAAGTATGTGCTGTGGTCTTTTCCAGCCATGAAGGCAAATTTCAGCATCTAGGCCTGGACGACGGTTTGAAAAGCCTAAGAATAACTTCACGGATGTGTCCAGGCCTTCCCGTTCAGCTCATCCTCATCCGTGCTCTTATGACAACTTGATTTCCGCACGCGCCCTTCTGTGTAGGGTAATAACACAGTGCTCTTCAGGCCCGGAATTATCGGTATGGAGTTCGGTTGGCTTGACTGTGCTGAGATGGAGAAACGAGACTAGAGGACAAAAACAGAGCACAGCAGCTTCGACGTGTAGCTCTACCAGATGTGATAGGCCGATAGAGGTCGGTTATTGCACGGGGCAACCTCGCGTCATGGCGCATGAACCTTGTCGGGTCCTGCGCAAGGATGGAGTCCGAAGTTTGCAGGATGCGCTGAAGGTTCTTTAGCCTTCCTAACAGAGCGTTAGCTTTGTGAGAAGAGGTTTCGTGCCCAAATGAGTAGCTCTCCATCCTCTGTGATGGATTGAGAGCGACGCATCGGATAGGACGGTGTTGCGAAGCGCTACAGAGATGAACTGAGGAAAAGATTTTCAATCGAGATCCAAATATGGGTCGACAATATTGCGAACCGACAATTGGGCTTGATCATCGGGTGGTGATCAGCCGATCAGAAGATGGTATCGAGGCTATGACATCGTTTTTGCATGACAGCTTGGGTGACGGGGAACAGTAGATAGAGTCCACGATGAGGATACCGCTGAGTGGGCGTGTGATAAAACGAGGAACCTGAAAAAACATGGTGTTGCAATCAAGGTGGAGAAAAGCTCTAACAAGGACAAAGATTGTTAAATGCTTTAAGGTTCCTATAGGTAGTAGGCCTTAGACCTGGTCGCCCACTGCGAGGCTCCAGGTACAGAAACTTGACCTGTTAGACTGGGGCCTTTCCAGGCTGTGGAGGTGGAGCCCGAGGGCGACTGTGGGTTCTGGTTAAGCAGGAATGGGTAATACGCCACGGGCGTCGGGGCGGCGCAGCTGAGGTACCTGCTCCAGGCTGCCCCTAAGGCATGTGAGTTCCCTAGGTAGACTAACTATTCGGTACTCATATGGTTGAAGTATTCCTAGAATTCTGGTCTGTGTGTCAATGGGACATGTGCGTGTGCTCGTTTCGAACGGTAACTCCCCTGGCGGTAATTATACTTGATTATTCGACCCATATTCACGAGTACGAGGGATCATCCAGTGCCTCCAGCGGCTGTCAGTGCCAGTGCCAGTGACAGAGCCAAGCGGTTGTTCGGCGCCAACCAGACTTCTGGATTCACAGCAACTACCACAGGCGGGCCCCGCAGTGCGTCTCTAGGCCCTTTGGGGCTCTTGGTCTCTGTACCTTGCAGACTGCAGTGCTCCGAGCGAGGCCCAGTGAAGGCCGGCTAAGCTGATTTTGCTCCCACCGTCGCCCGCCCACTTCTCCAACTTCAATGCTGCCCAGCAACAACACACACCTGACTTTGCACCAGCCTTAAAACTCTCTTCTCCCCTCCTTCTTCAAGCCACCGAGCTGCAGGTTAGACGCTTCTTCTCAGTCTTCTGTCTCCTGTCAGTGCGAGAAGGGGTTCCTCGCTCGGTGGTCTGGTGTCTCCGTTGTGCATTGGGTTCCTCGACTTCCTCTTCGCCTTGATCATCACTGGCAGACAGACAGTCGACCACATAACCACGAACCCACGGACCTTTGTGCAGTATGATTGCTTAGAAGCGACCGGTATCAACCTGCCCAAGCCTCGATTGACACCCGCCGGTCAGGATTGCGTTCACCTCCACCGAGATTTCGACCTCGACGTCCTTGTACGACCCGACCCCCTCGGACGAGGTCCAAACGCACAGCGCCTTCTCTGACGGCGTCCACTGACGAGGCTTCTGGAAGGGTGGCTTGTCAATGGAAATATAAGAGGTAGCATTTGAGTCAAGGTCTCGTCATCCGACAACATGATTGAGGCTTCATCACCATTGGCAGCCATGCAACCCCCGGCGTTTTTGGGGCACTGCGGTGGTGGTTACAGAGCGGATGCTCCTCCAGGCTTTGCGTCGTCGTTCGCGGCTGCCAAATCCTTTGCTACGAACAGCTTCAATTTCAGAGATCTATCGATGAAGAAGCCAAAGTCGGACTACTTCAGCCTCAAATCGGTCCGGGGTTCTTCGCCCACGGCCAGCCTGGCTGCCGACCTTTCACAAAACTTCCACATCGACCAGAGGTCTGTCCCCAGCCTGCAATGGAAAGAATGCCGTTCACTTCAGTGCTAACAAGAACTCAGTCCGCAAGTCCCAACTCCGCGGAGGTCACTCTTTCCCAATAGCTTGTTCGCACAGGACGGCCAAAGTGAGTAATGAATGCCATTGGTGCACGAATCTCCCAATTGACGGTCCACGAAGGAAACCTGACAACGCCTCCTATACCATCTTCCTCTCCCGCACCCAATGACATAATGGACATGGACATGGACATCTCACCCCTACCGCACAAAATGCCCTTTTGTACCGCGTCAATACAGCTTCAGTCACCAACGCCAGACCTGACCCCCTCGGATACTTCATTATTGTCGATCCCCTCGCCGCCTTGCGGTTCGCCCACCGAGCCATTTCAGATCAATCTCCCTCAAGACAGGCGGAAACAAGGGTTTTTGCGACCTACATTAACCAGAGCTAAGGGCTTCAGTACAGGCAACCTAGCCCAGAGGCCTACACCCGAAAGTCAACTACCACCATTCAAATTCGGCAATGGCAACTACTCAAGCAAACCTGCAACGTCGTCCTCGCTATCTCTGTCCGAGATATTTGCAGACTCGCCCGGCCAGGAGAAAGCGGCCTCACGATTAGGTGCTCCAGTATTCGCCCCTCCAAGGTCTCGCCCGAGTCTGACTAGTTCTGGTCATGCGTCTCGTAATGGATCTCCTGTCGGGACTCACATGAGAAAGACTTCCAACCCTCTGGTCAGACCTCGAAAGCAGTTCCGACGATCTCTGAGCATGTTTGAACACCCAGAAGACATAATGAAGCAAGAAAAAGAACGGCTCAGCCCTCCACCATTATTACCTTCGATCATGGACGTCGAAGCACCCCATGTTCCTCAATTACCCCACTTCATCCCGGAAGATGAGACAGGTTGTCTGCCTAGGATATCAAAGGAGACTATGGTTTCAATCCTAGATGGACATTTCGATCATCTCTATGAGAAACGGGTGATCATCGACTGCCGATTCGAGTACGAGTATGACGGTGGTCATATTGAAGGTGCTGTAAATTTCAACGACAAGGAAAAGCTGTCTGCTCAACTTTTCGACGTGGAGCCCACTCCGAGAGCTCTCCTTATCTTTCACTGTGAATATTCTGCTCATCGAGCCCCTCTTATGGCGAAATTCATCCGCAACAAAGACCGGGCAGTTAATGCTGATCGCTACCCGGCGCTCACTTACCCTGAAGCCTACATCTTAGATGGAGGCTATAGCACTTTTTTCAAGGACTATCGATCCCGATGCTATCCTCAAAACTATGTTGAGATGGACGCAAAAGAACATATCCTTGACTGTGAACGCGGTCTCGGAAAAGTGAAACAACGATCCAAACTTCTCCGAGCCCAGACGTTTGCCTTTGGCCAACATTCGCCCTCTCTCGACTCCAGTCCCACTGCCATGGGACGGAGGACCCTGGACTGCGACATGGACCTGGACATGACTTTACAGTATACTCCTGTTGCTGGACCAAGACCTGGGGTCGATGCCCTGCGCGCCCGCAACCATCGAATGCTGTCATATTAGCGGTATTCCCCCTCTTCAACCTCAATCGCGTTTTTAGCCCGGCGTTAGGAACGGTGTTACATCATCTTTCAGGGGTCATTTGGGCGTCGGATGAGCTGAGCCTTGGACGCGACCTGCTCGCGGAGTTCATCTTTTGAGCTTTTAGCGAGTAATACCCCCGGAATTCGTACCTGTTCTTTGTTTGTCCTTCACTCTGCTATACCAGCGAGTGGGCAGAGCTTGGCTGACCGGGTCCTGGTTGGAGGAACTTTGCACATGACATTTTTCTTTACTGTTTTAAGACGATCTTCAGCGTTGGAGCTTGGAGACAACGATACCACTACCAGAGCGAATTGGTCCAGATGGTGGACCACCTTTTCCTTTTTCAACTTTTTTCAATACGCCTTTGTGTGTACTTGTCAAGTCGCAGATATGGGACTGTCCTCAGGCAGAATCACCCTTGCGACCCTAAAATGGAACAAATCCAAACCGATTCAAACCTTGGACTTCTTCACAATTATTGATCTCTCGCTTCAGCAAACTCTCGCTCTTCTCAAATCTGCTGTCAGGCCATGTATTTCTTGATTGCTGTGCTGTTTTTCCGACCTGGCATATCTGTGTTGTGTATCTTGGGTCCCCTTTTCAACTGTTCGAATACTTGGGCAGGCTATCTGTGACTGTTCACAGGCGTTTGGCTGGTTGGTTGTAGCATCGAACAGAATAAACGGGGCGGGGCGGCAGCCAGTTATGCCCAGTTTGAAACATCACACCTGCTGGTACAGCTTAACCCGGCAGAGGATGAGTCGTGGTGCGCATTGTGTTTCACACAAGCGACTCAGTTTGCTACGAGCATATCAACATTAGCAAGCCTATCGGATAGATCAGAGCAGGGTCGCAGTACTTCCTGTGGCACGGATAGATAGCTTACAAGAAATGAGGCCAACATGAACACAAGGCTGTTTACTGGTTTGACACGCTTCGTTTTCCTGCATTTTCACCTACGCAGAAGGCCATTCATTCCTTGTCTTGATCTCCGTGTCTGTAACTACCGTGATATCACTGCCCTTGTCGAATATCAACATCTCAAGCCCTCACAGTCTACTAAGTAGTACATTGCTCTTTTCTCTTTTCTAGTTCCCACAAGCTCAAATTCACATACATACTCGTACACATTGACGACAACTAGTCTAGAGTGAATTCCGTTTGCGTATTGGAGTGCACCTCCTGCTTTGCCTCTTGCTCTCACATTCTTTTCCCCTTCCTGTTTCATTCTTCCTTTTCGTTCTTCTCCTTCAGTCCGGTTGGCTCCCCGTCTGGTGATTCTCAGATCCGTCTTTGGTGGTGCGACCGACCGAAAGAAATCACTCTCGATCTCTTTGATCCCCGTCTTTCTGTTTTCCCGTGTGGTTTATTCCTGTTTCCCCTGGCGTTTTGGGGCATTGTATTTCGCCGGCCTTCTTCTTAACCTCTTGCCCTCCTGCTTGATTCCTTTTTTCTTTTCTTTTCCTAGATTGTCGTTCTACATTCTTACTCCTCTTCCTCGTCTGCTTCATGTGTCGAACCAGCATCTGATGTCGGTGCGTTCGTCGTCGTTGAAGTTGAGGTCATCATCGACATCCTCCCCTCGAGGATTGCGCCTTCCTAAAACACATCCACGGTCTTGCACAGCTGGGCGAATCCATCCGTCATGATCAAATCACAGAAATAAGATCTCAGCGCTGTCGCCTGCGTCGGCTCGGGTAGCCTGGACCAGGCCTCGAGGCGGGACTGGGCGGATGAAAGGTTGAAGGATGAATCTGCAGAGAGACACTCTTGTGCGAGACCGAGGAGGGCGACGTCGGCCGGAGCAGGTGCTGAAGACCGTGGGATTTGCGAATGCAGGAATGTTTGTGGTTCCTGGTGGGACGAGAATGATCTGGGCTGAGCGAGGGAGATGTTGTGGCCCTGAAAGACTGGCGATGCTGGAGTCGCAGCGTCCATGATGATCTGATCTGCTGGCGTACACGGTGGAAGCGCCGCATTGTAGACGTCTCGGTCTCTGTCCTCGACAGGTTCTACCGAAACACTCGAAAGTGCCTGAGAGCGAGTCAGACGCCTGTTGACCGTGCCGCCGAGGCATGGACTGCCCTGAGCCGGGGCCTGGTCTGCCTCGTACTCTGTTTCGTCAATTTCCATGCTTCCAGTCTGGTTCAACCCGATCGAGTTATTTGCCATACGTGGAATGCTTCGGGGCTTAATGATGATCGTACTGTTCGGCAGCATACTGTATTCTGGTTGTTGACGTAATTCATCAACAGTCGGCACCCCCTTGTCTTCTTGGGCTCTCTTTGTGGTGGTCGTAGTCCTCTTACGTGTTGCGGCGGCGGATCGGGGCTTTTTCGTAGCTGGAGTTTTTGTGGCTTTGTTCGTTGCGCTTCGCTTTTCCCGACCCTTTGTGGTTTCGATGGTGGTAAGTTCTGAGTCGACTTCCACATCCGTGCCGGCCTTGTCATTTCTCCCCTTTCTACTGATGGGATTGCCCCCTTCGCCTCCTTGCATTGAAGTCTGGTTGTTGACTTCAGAAGTCACTAGCCTCGATGCTAAGTGCCCACCGCGGAGTCCTAGGCCTGTGCCCCCCCTGGAGGTTTGAAGCCTAGAGCTATCATGAGACGCTCTTGTTGATCGTCGGCCATGTGAGTCGCCAGCGCCCTCGGCCTCTGTTCGGCTGTGCATACCGTGGGTCCTGAGCTGCTGTTTCTCGGCAACAAGAGTGGTGGCCGTGCTGAGTGATATGTTTGATTTGGCATATGTAGGCCCAAGGGCGGGCGGTGGCAGTGTGCTCGAAGAATACTGTGCTGACTGTGGTGGCGCCAGAAATATCTGTGGAGGAGGAGGCATTGCAGACTGCACTCCCGGGCCTGGCTGCGACAGCGAAAGAGCAATCATGTCATCGTGTGCAGTGTGTTTCTTCTTGCCGGGCAGTGATGATTCGTTCTGAGAAGCAGAGTCGCCGGGTGCTGGTGGATTCGGCGCAGCTGACCTCGTCGCTTCTGACCTTGTCGCTGCTCGTGACTTAAGAGTTGGAAAGGTGGCGGGATCAAGTATAGGCACATTCGCCCGCGAAAGTATTCTCATCGCTTTGCAGTAGTCTTCCTCCTTGGAGAAGCGAATCTGAAATCGTCGGATCTGAAGTCTGGTGAGCAATGAAGGCTTGGATATGGGTCTTAGTCACCTGTCCACAAGGCAGAGGGTATTTAATCGCAATGATAGACACTTGGAATAAGACGGTGACGAGAGGGACAGTGTCAGTTGCATCATTCGGTATCTGCATTATAGCACGATGTGCCTCGACCGACAAAGCATGGAGGTCGAGCTCTTCCTGTAAGCTGATGAGCCCTGTACGCAGTAAGAACAGAGAGGTACTGAAGCGGTTATCTCTACCATGACTTCGGGATCATGCAAGACTTTGAACGTTTGTCTTTCCTCAACTCGACCATCCTCCAGTTGAACTGGACTGGTCTCAAAGATTGCAAAGAGAGTATCTTTGCTATGGAGATGGATCCAGGGGATGGGAACGATGCTTTCATTCGGCATGGTAGCATAGGAGAATTTCTCTAGAGGCAGACACAAAGGAAATGATTGCGAGAGGTTTGCAGTTGTTTGCGAAGGCATCGTGACGTGACTGCACAGAGCTACAATGGGACATTACCATGAAGATATGGAAGAAATGGTGGCATAGAATGCTTGGGCAGTGTGTCATTGGAGTTGAATACCAAGTACCGAGTAGGAGTGAAGAATGAAGCGGAGGGCGGAGGGCGACGACGAGAGTTGGAACCGCTTTTCTGGGTCTTTGGGCGAGGCGGCGGCCAGTCGGAAATGTTGATCCGCGCGGCTGGAGCCGAGAAGTGAAGGGCCGCTTCAAAAGGGCAAAATGCGCAAAATGCGCAGAGGCATCGCGTCGATCCTTGCGACACTTATCACAACCTCTTCGTCTCTCGTTTTCACAATCGTTGTTCCTTCTCATCAGGCGCTGTCTGCAGCGCCATGACCCCGTGCTCTCCAGCATACATCAGCCGGTGACCTTCTGAACCGAGTCCCCTCGAGCTGCGCAATAGCCAACATGGCAGATCCTCCGCGGAAGATGATTGAGGATGAGGACGAATTCCTCCGCGATGTGGCCGAATTCCATGAGAAGAGAGGGTGAGTCGGTATTCGATGCGAGCACAAACAGACCACATCGCTGACAGTGCACGCGCTGCGGCGACAGTACACCCTTCGACCGTGAGGGCAAGGTTAGCGGCCGGCCGATCTCTCTGTTCAAGCTGTACAAACTGGTCATGGACAGAGGGGGCTATGACGCTTTGTCTGCTGAGCGAATGCAATGGCGAACGCTCGTCAAGGAGTTTGGCTTTGGCAAGACCCATGAGGCAGTCATGACATTTCAACTCAAAACGGTATATTACAAAAATCTTGCGTGAGTGACACCAAGCAAGACTGCACTTTCACGTCTTCGTTCTTCTCTGACATGAGTTTTTCTTTCAATAGCGCCTACGAAATCGCTACATATTGGGGGGAGGAGCCGCCACCACGAGAAATCCTCGAAGATATCAGTGCAAAAGGAGGCGATCTGCGAACACGAACCCTTGAAAACTACCCTGTGCCCAACTCTCGCGCTGCGATCGAGCCTGTTATGGCGGACAGTGGAGGACCAGATGTAGACTCTGGCGAAGATGAGAATCAGGTCACGCCCAAGCGTGAGAAGACTGAACCAGAAGAGCAAGGAAGTGCAAGCAGATATCCCACCCGTATGTTCTGACACCTACTCTGACACGATTCTGGCTTCGTTAACATGATTCTCGCAGGTCAATTGAGGCAAGACCCTAAACGCACTCAGCTTTTCCAGCCAGAGATAGCACCTCCACGCAGTCGCACTCTCCGCGCAACAGACTCTCCCTCTGCTCCACCGCCCCCCTTACAACAGCCTTACACCAACACCTCAAATGATCCTCGCAACTCGAGCTTTGACTGGTTTGACAAATACGAGCCACGACAGCCTGTTGCGCTGACCCTTCGACAAGTCCACACTCCGGGGAATGATCCTTTATACTATGCTCGCAAGGCACATGCCAAAGCCGTCAACGCGCCACGAGTTCCCCCCGAGCCACAGCAATTCCTGAAATCATTCATCCCAGCAGGTTTGAATGGCCCAAACATATACCTGAGGTGTCTCCATGGTTTGGAATCAGGTCTCCGAGAAGAGCAGGACTTCGCCTTACACCACCTGGTCAAAGTGTCATTTGAGCGGGGTGACAAGTACAAATTCGAGGGATTTCCTCATCTTGCTGAGGCTCTACTGGAAAAGGCGCTGGAGATTACACAACTGATTTGTGGCGTCAAATGGGGAATAACGTACGAGGAAGATGATGAAGGTCAACCGCTCAATACGTTGAACGCGGCCTTCGGGACATCAAACTTGCTCGAACGCATACAAGCTGTCCACCCCAAGGTCGTGGACAAAGATTTGGAGTCTGCCGAATTCTGCGAGAGATTGGACAAGTTAAAGGAGGCTGTCCTCGTCCTCCGCAACATGGTGATCCTCGAAGAGAATGCTGTGTTCATCTCCAAGTTTCCTTTGTTCAGGGACTTCCTCACCCTTGCCCTCTCACTCCCCAACCAACCCCGGATCATCGAGTACAAACAGTCGGTTCTCGAAGTTGCAGAGCAAGTGACCAGGTACTGGGAAATGAAACCCCAAGATCCGCTCTATATGTCACTCCTTCCATACCTCGAGTCCGACGACCGGAGTATGATCATCTCCGCCTTGCGATCAATCAACAGAATCGGCCTCGAATTGGCCGATGCGCATCGCCTCACTGACGTGCCTCTATCGACGGTCGAACGGTTATTTTCATTCACCCTGCTGGACGACAATGAGCTGCTGGAGAATACGCTCGATTTTCTCTACGAATATACGGCTATTCCAGAGAACAGTACAGAAGTCCTCTCGAACGCTTTCCATCTTCTACCAAACGTCATTGCTCGCCTTACGAGTCTTTTGCTCTACCAGTCCATCATACACGAAGAGAGCGTCGTGGCGAAACCAACCCCTAAGGCCGCGTCAGTTCCCGCGTCGATTCCCATCATTCCCCCTGAAGTGCATGCACATCTTCTGCAATTCGTCGAGCCCGAACGCTCATCAAGGTGGCTCCGGTGTTGCTTCGAGGAGTCTCCGACCGATGACATTACGCAAATCGCAATCTGGCAAGCATACCAGGGAAAATTCGCACAGAACAATCCTGTACCTGCGGCTGACTTCATCAAGAATGTGTCCAACACATTCGTCTCGGCACAGGCGCAAGTGATTAATGGTCCGACGCCCAGATTCATCATTAAGGGGATCAAGCCACGGAGGATTCTCGTCGATCTTCAAGGTCGACCACTGTTCAAATGTCTTTGGGATATGTCTCGTCCTGAGATGCAGGATCCAAGCGGCCGGGTCCATCCCCGAAACATATGTCCTGTCTGGCATACAAGACGCGAAACTCTATGGAACCATGTTCTGACGGACCATTTGAGAATTGAAAAACTCCCCGATGGACGTTTCAAGGCGATTGATGGTGAATGGGTCTGCCGTTGGGTACATTGCGGGCGCCAATCTGCAATAACCAAGAGCAACCAGCTTGGTCCTCACCTCCGTGTGCATCTCCCCTCGGCAGCTAGCGAACAGTCTAACGTCATCCACGCGTTGGCGCAAGACGTAAAAGATTCGGATCCCGTCCAGATGAAGCACGAATGGCACTATACGGCAATGGATCAGACCTTCCATCCTTGCGGCATACCCTGGATGAGTGTCATGGTTTTACGGAATCTGGCGCGATATGCAAACAAGCATGGCCAACCTTTTGAGAAGGACGGGGTTCAGCTTAACGAGAGGTTGTTTGGAGCTCACAAGTATGGACTCTTTCATGTGTTGAGCGTCAGTCGGACATTGCGGGATTATGTCAGTGACCTTCTGAGGATGATTGACGAGGGTCAGAAAAATGAGAAGAGAGGCCTGAAGAGGGAACACGATGATGAAAGTGAAACTGAAGACTAGCGGTGACGAAGATGGTGCCGATCTTTCCAAGCACGATTCGACTTTGGGGAGGAATATGGCAGACACATGGTCATGGCGAAGGCTGGTACAGGGAGGTCATGTTATATCTCATTGTGGATTTGCTTCTATTATGACTGTTTGGCGCGAGCTGGAAGGTATGAAGAGTCACACGGACAAAAGGGTCTTCGGTCGGCGCTTGGATGGCTGGATTCCCTTGAGGCTGGCAAGGCTGGCTATGCAAATGTAGGGGGAACTTTTCTTTTTCACACCGAGGGCCTTTTTCCGCCGCTCGGCCGGGATGATAGCAGTCATCTTCGAAGCCCAAGCCAGGAAGGTATCAGTCGCATTAGCCGACTTGCGGAAGCATGGCCTGACTTTACGTTACAAGCAAGGGGTGGATTCGAGATGGGGCACGCAAGGGAAACAAGAAAAGGAAAAAACAGGACAAAAACAAATCGGTCATTCCATCCAGACAGAGCTTGACAAGACGAGATAAGATTGTGGTGCAGAAATCAAAGAGTTTTGCCCTTTGCAGTATCTCGACTTTCTTTCCATTTCCATTTCCAATATGCTAGAAGACTGCCTGACTGACTAAATGCCTGGCCAACCGACTCTTTTTTATTCCTGAAAACGACGATAAGACCGAAAGCACCCATCTCCTCAATTCTCCTTACCATTCCGTGCTGTGTTTCCAAAGCTCATTTTCGTTTTCCCGCCCAAAAGACAGAGAACTGGGGCATGGTCGTCGCCAATGGTCGTTTTCTTTTATTTTCTTTCGTGGTGCGGAGATAGGGATAAGCGGTGGGTGTATGAGTCTGCATTTCGAGGGATGGGGCAAGGCTGAGATGCCCCTGAAACCGTGATGTGATGGCTCCAGAATATTAAGGATGAGTGCGGTAGTTCAGAGTGTGCGTATTCCAAAGTGCATCTGGTGGACGATCAGTCCGTGTGGCTTTCCAGTACCCTTGGGTGCGTCCCACAAAGTCAACAGGATATGGATAGAAGCTGCAAAGACGGACAAGAGTTAGTCACTGGTTTCTCGTCAAAGACCCAAAAGAAAATGAAGGCGTTTACCGTTCGTCACCTGCCGGGCAGATGAATGCTTTTCAAGAGGACTTCTTTTTGTCGGTGGAGCCAGAATTGTCTGGTTTCTTGTCGCCGTTGTGAGAAGCCCCTGACGCTGTTCTAGCCTGGTCGCCACTGGCGGTGCCTTTCTTCCCGTCACCACCAGCGTCGCTGCCCGCAGCACGTCCGCCATCTTTGTCCACACGAGTCCGAGGGCTGACTGAACGGATTTCGTTGGGAGCTGGTCTGCGTCTCTCACTACTCCAGATGTTCTCGTCAAACACTGGAGGTTGACCACGGCTTGCCGTCAGCTCCCGCTGACTCCTCGCCTGTGCGTTGGGGGTGAATCGTCTGGCCTGCTTGGTCTCTTCCTCGGCGGTCTTGAACATGCGTTTGTGTCGGAGACTGCCGCGATCCAGTTCTCTCTGCTGAAAGAGAATCCTCATCCGCTGGCGCCCGGCTTCCTGTTCCTTGTGGTGGTCCATGTCGTTTTTGGGAAAAGCCGAGATGAACAGGATTTGAGTAGAGATCGGTAGGCTCTGAAAGTTTTCTGGTCGGCGGAACTTGAGTGGAGAGGCAAGTACTATCCCTGGAGCACGATGTCCTAAGAGACAGCGCAAGGAGGTCTCTGTCGGCCTTGACAGGTCAAAGAAAGACGAGTTGTTTGTTCCATAAAGAGAGTTGGTAACAGCCTAAAAGGACGATGAATATGAAGCAAGCGTAGATTGTGTGAGGGTGTCACCTGGGGTTCCTCAACTCATCGCTGTCTAAACAAGGTCAGAAACCAATTTGCGGTATAAACAAACTGAGAGAACAAAGTGTGAGTCTTGTCTGCATTGGACACCTTGGATATAGGTGTAAGTGGCACCTCTGTCGTTCTTGTGTTTCGAATCTTGCTGTGAAACTGTTCTGTTTAGTATCATATATAGAGGCACATTTCCGCGTAATGTTCTGCATTGCCTCCTGTGGTTTTGTAGGGCGATTTCGTTCTAGTCAATGTCAACCCTTTCACCTCTTGTAGGAAATGAGGCGGAAGAGCAAGAGCATGTTTGTTCGTGCCTTGTGCACTTTCGCCGTGGCCATTATGCCCATGGTGGAGATCTCCTCAGTGAGGATAGATAGGGTCATATCTCGCTTAAAATGAAGTCTGGTAGAAGTCAAAGGGCATCAACCATGTTGTGGCTCTTTAGAGAAGAGACGTCAGAAGCTCCGTGGCTGCTTTTAAGCCCCTGATTTTATTGTGACGAAATCATTTTGTCTGACAAGCAGGATTTTCATTCTTTTGCCCGCAACTGCGCAGCGTCCAACATCCACTCACCTCTCCTTGTTGCACCAAGTTCAACGCCACCAACTCCCCCCCTTTATATCGAGGTTGTGACGTCCACTGTCTTACATCGTTTGAGTACACCCTCATGGTACTAGATGTCAGGTTTGAAGTCTTCCCCCGCCTAATGCCTTTCAGTAACAACACTCCACAATGTCAAAGGGTTGTCAACGGGCTGGAAGCATCCTCAGTTGAAACAATGGAGTCATCATGTCACTATTCGACTTGTCACTGCTATTTCATCCCACTGAATGCTGAAAAGAACAGTAGTCATGCGAAGAAAGGATGCCGAGGACAGCAAGGCAATTTCCCCAAGATGGCTGACAGAGCTTATGTTTATAGACACCACATCTACTTCAAATTTGCGCTCGACTAAACAGCGATGCCGTTGCTTCATACCTCCACAAGCTTTGATAGTTATTCCTGTTGACAGTGAAACAAGTATGAACCTGTCCGTGGGTGAATTGCCCAGCTAAACAATCCGCCAACCGAGTCGTCTTCCGATTTCCGCAACAACGAGGACGATTGCTTACGATGTGCAGACGACGAAAGAGGTATAAGATGTTGCGAATATATTCTGTATCAAGTCAAGGAAACGACTCATGACACAGTGTTTCCTTGTGAGGGCGAGCGAAAGCATCCGTCAAGGTCGTTGAAGCGCCGACAGGGCCAAACGACAGAGCACCAGGTCTATCCCCAAACAATCCCGTGCCTCTTGCTCCATTCATCAGTGGGCTGTCTTGCCGATATCTGCAATGATATTTTTCGCCTCTCCGTTCAGTGTCTTGGACAGCTGCTCTTTGAGCAATTCAATTTGGCGAGGATCGCGTCCGTCCACCAACCCGCAGTCCACCTCTTCCACAGCCCCGTTGTCTTGATTGAAGATCCAACCAGTGATTGGAATTGAAGGCTTGATCAAGGGGTGACTTCTCAAAAATTGGACATCTTCTACTACACTTCGTTCCAACACTTGTCTTTCCGTCTCCCCCTCTTTCCACGAAAATGCATAGTAGGTCAAAGCCTCGGCCCATTGTTTTGATCCGTCGAGGAACGGCCCGTCTTTCATGGTTGGGTCGTTATTTATTATCATGGACCGGATAAAGTCATCGGAGCATGACAACGCACCGCAATCTGGGTCGACATGAGCGAACCGTGATCTAGACTTTACCGATGCGCACACATACCTGTGTGATGGATAACTTTCAACTCTTTGATATCGCTCAGCACTTCGATACTGGCAATTGTGCGAAGGACATCCATGGTTGCGGTTCTTCCACCTCCATTCCGAATCACAAAGGCTTCATTTTCGCCCATCCGGAAAAACTGGTCGGGACTGCTACGGGCATCGCAACAAGTGATGATGCCAACGCGAGATTTGGCCCCCACGATCATGTTCGGCTTCGAGAAGACATTTTCCATATAGTCTTCATTTGCGGCTTTGAAGTCGTATGGCCGGAAAGCCTGAAATTCAGGGTGACCGAGTCCTTTCGCCATGTCGCCTGCGCTTCGGGAAGTCTTTCTCGCAACAGTACCAGAACCCGACTCAAGTGGTGATGAGGGAAGTCACAGCAAGCTTCCTATATACCTTCGACTTTCGTTATGCGCATACAAACGAATGTATTGCTTGAGATATGCGCGGCGTTCGCGGTAGCCGTTTCTGCACTTCGGGGTTGCGAGAAACCCCGTTTGCGGTCTTGAAGAGCCCCGACTTTATTCAGCGACGAACCTTCAAAGCCTTGATCCACCCAACCGCCCGCCTGTACTCTTCGTTATCAGTTGGCGAATGCCAGGGCTACAGGGTCTTAATTAGCGTTCAATGAAGATCTTCAGAATTTGACACGTCGAAAGGACTTTGTCAGATCTTGTATTTCGCCGTGTGTATGACGAGATGAACCGCGGCCGACAGTATGGACTTCGGCCGATATGCTCCTCGGGCTTCCAGCATGGCCGGTCTTTTTCAGTAACCTTCAAAATGCGATTGCGATACCCGAATGTTGGATGCGCCCAAAAATGCAGGACATCATTTTCCTTCAAGAAAACCAGATTGTGATCGCTACTAGTTCGCGAGAAGAAACCTCTGAAATGGCTATTCCCAAGGGACTATCAGATTATCCAGGAGATCTGGTTGATCTAAATTCAAGCTATCACAGATGCTGACGTGTCTTAAAACCAGTTCTTGTTCCCGTGGTGCGACATGAAAGCACCCCCATCACCATTCTCAATGCTCTTCGAGTCCACGACCTTGAGCACCTGCTCGACTGACTCAAGCGGAGTCATGGGGCCAGGAAAGTTAGGCGCTGCCTTCAGAAACTTCTGAACGAGTCCTTCCACACCAGGTGCTTGACAGAAGTCAGTAAAAGCCACCGGAAAAAAAGCTGGGAGAACGACTCACCCTTGGCTGCTGCCGTGTCCACCACCCCGGGAGAGATGGAAACGAACAAGATCCCATCGTCCTTGTATCGAGCACTGTACTTGGCAACGGCAATGTTGACTGCCGCTTTGCTCATACTGTACGGAGCTGATTCCCAGACCCCAAGCTCATTGACAAAATCCAGGTCGGCCATGCCCGTGGTCAACGTCACTACTTTCTTGACCCGGCCCTTTTTAATGAGGGGAAGGAAGGCATTGATTGTGTAGATGACTCCGACGACATTGGTTTCGAAGGCCGTCTTTATGTCCTCGTCCAATGGCGCAGGGTCATTTTCAAACTCGTCAAGAAATTTGCCAGTGGTAAGATGGGACACATATGCCGCATTGTTGATCAGGTAGTCGAGGGAACCGCCGGTCAGGGTCTTGACAACATCCCGAGCAGCATTCAGCGATTGACGGTCGGTTATATCAGCCTGGAGGATTGTAACATTTTTCAAGCCATCTTGTTGGACCTTTTTGTCTGTCGCCACCTTGTCTCGGACTAGACCAACCACAATATTGTCTGGATTTTGGGAGAGATATTGGATGAAGCCATACTGGTTCCTTGTCAGCATGTCGAGAGTTAATGTTGCAGCTCAAGGCCTTCCTTACTCCAATTCCCCGACTAGCTCCAGTCACAATATACGACGGCATTTTGCTGGATGGCGAGATTGCGCTTACCTGGAGATATGGATTCCTGCAGGAAGAAAAGGGTTCTTCAGCAGCATATGTACATTTTGGTCCTCGACAAATCCAACAACCAGCGCAATGAATTTGTCAGCGGAGCAACGAGGTCTTTTATAGGTATGCTTATGGAGATTTTTAGGCGGTATCGGATGTTTTATTTGGACCACCGTATGACCTTGCCTGGGAAAAGGAACATGTGAAGAGGAACATATGGAATGATTGAGAACCATGTTGAGTGACTTGCTAACGAATCCGGGTCTAGGGTCATGGTCAAAAGAACGGACAATCGCGACATGGATGGGCCCCATCGGCTTTTCAAACGCCGTTTACGGTTTCTGGCGTTACCGACACGACGGAAGCACTTGTCTTGATGCACGTCACGCTTCCTCATGCAGTATTAAGTGCCGATCCCCTGAGCGAGAAGATAGCGTCTTGGAAAGAGATTATGGGGAGGTTTGAAATCAACATTTCATAATCGATCGTTGCGGGCGTACCGCGAAGTTGTTCACCTCATCCCCTAGTACAGGTGCAACCGCAGCTCCGAAGCAGGATGCCTTGTTATGTGGTCACCGGTGCGGATCGAGGCATAGGGGTATGTATTGCTGTCACAGAGCTCTATTCAATCCATCAACTGACAGCCGATTAGTACGAGTTTGTGCGTAAACTCTCAAAAGACCCGGCCAATGTCGTTGTCTCTTTGGTGCTTGCGAAGGAAGCGACAGAAGCGAGACTTAAGGAGCATAATATCAAAAACGTGCATGTCATCGAAGCCGACGTTACTGATCGAAGCGCTCTCCTAGTGTGTGGATTCCCCTCTGTGCACGAAGCAAGGCGAGACAGGACTAATGACATTCAGAAAGCAGCCGAAGAAACTGAAAAGATCACTGGCGGAAAAGGCGTGGACATTTTTATAAATAACGCTGGTTTAGTAGCAAAGCCCACAGCCTTTCGCACTCTGGAAGACTAGTATGCTTGGTTCCACTGGGTATGGGTGAAGTGAACTGACCTGTTGACAACAGCTATGACATGGTCGACGTGTTTGACAAGGACTTGTACGAATGCTTCAGCATCAACGCGGTCGGGACAATCAACGCAACTGCGGCATTCATTCCCCTGATACGAAAAGGGACTGTCAAGAAGGTGATTGCACTGACAAGCGGCATGGGCGACGTCGACTTTACCAACGAACTCGACATGGACATGGCTGTGCCGTATTCAATAAGCAAAGCTGCCATGAACATGGTTATGGCCAAGTTCAGCGCCTCGTACAAGAAAGAAGGCATCCTGTTCATGGCGGTCAGTCCCGGTGCTGTTGACTCGGAAGACGACGGTCGCGGATCCAACGCACCCGTCCAGGACATCGAGGGGGACTTGTCACAAAGTCTCTATCCCGTGCGGCCGTGGCATAAACTTGGTTTGTTCTCTCTGCAACCCTTCTTTCGGATTTCCAGAAGCTGATTGGGGAGATACAGCGAGCGTTCCAGAGCTGCAAAAGCGCATGGAGCAGGGCTTGAAGTTTCACCAGTACGAACCGTCTTATACGAAGCCGTTGAATACGCAAGAGTCTGTGGACTGCCTCCTGAGGGTTCTGAGCGAGAAGAGTATCGAGAATGGAGACGCCGGAGCATGTATTTCACATCTGGGCACGAGGAGATGGCTTTAGGAGCTTCTGAGGACATGCTGGAATGCCTGTACTGGGTGGGGATGGTGATTTGATCCCTCTATAGGTCTGGTAATGCCACCAAGCCTGCCTGATAACACAGCCGAGTAGCAGTGCAAGTGTCTCTGTGTCTGCGTCTTCTCAAATTGGATCAAATAAGTCCATTTCACACTAACCAGAATAACAGTTTGATCACTTTCTCTCCTGTATATTGCCGATGCGGTGCATAGTGTCTCGAGGTTGCGACAGGTTAGCGTAATACATCCTTGTATAGAGTGTGGTGGAGTGTGGGTGGAAAGGTGTTGATGACGATCCACAGACGGCAAAACTCACACCGACCAGATTATCGCCAGACAAGTCATCGTGACCTGTATAGTCAGTGCAGTTAGTGTATCAGTGTTATCAGCATCTCAGTTTGATGGCCTTGAAGGATGATAAATTGCATGATTACTCACTCCCTCACAAAAACCCCATCGACGGCGTTCACCAAAGCCGTGGCCAAGTTTCGCCCAGGATTCGCGGTTCCAGCCCGCTCGGCGGCCTTTGGCAGAGGGAAACTTCGTATCCTGTGCGTGCAGGCCGGTGTCTTGGGGAGAGGATTGAAAAACTATGCGTCGCATGATGGTCGTGGATAAAGCTGATATGCTTCGGGGGTTCATCTGCGTCGCCCTTGCAAAATCCCCAAGTGCTGCTTTTGTTCTGAGGATAACATTTTTCGTGCTACAGCCATGGGAAGCGATGGATCGTACACCAGGGATGCGTCCCGCCCGGACTTTGAGACCGAGGTCGTCGTCGTGGGCACGGGGCCGTCTGGAGGGTCTATCGCCTCGTTTCTAGGTTCTCATGGTATGGACTATGAACCTTGAAGAAGAAGTCTTGCGAAGAAGAAAAACGAAATGGCCAGGAAACTGGCTGACATTGGTTAGGAATCAAGGGAATCATTGTTGGGGCGACGTCCACGACGGCAGAGACGCCGCGGGCCCATTTGACAAACATGGCAGCGATGGGTATGGACATCCTCTCCCTGGAAAGATACGATATCCAAACGTGAAAAGCTGACGTGGAGGCCGTCGGAACTAGAATGTCTTCGCGACGTCGGTGTCGAGGACGAATGCCGCAAACTGGCCAGCCCCAAAGACAGCCTGATGCACACGAGATTCGGGTACAGCATGGCCGGCGAGGAGTACGCGCGACTCTACTCGTGGGGAAACGGTCCTCTGATAGAAGGCAAATACAAGGACGCCAGTCCCTGCGACCCGATCGACCTCCCGCAGACGCACCTGGAGCCGATCCTCATTCGCAAGGCGACGACCAGCGGCTTCATCTGTCGCTTCAATACCGAGTTTGTCAGTTTCGAGGACCACCGTGCGCGAGGGTACGTCGACGTGCTGGTCAAGGACCTCGTCTTCAACACCCTCCACACCATCCGGTGCAAGTACCTGTTCGGGGCCGACGGCGCGCGCAGCAAGATCATCGCACAGCTGGGCCTGCCGCTGAAGCAGAAGCCCGGGGGCGGCCTGGCGTGGAACGTGCTCGTGAAGGCCAACCTGAGCAAGCACATCCAGAACCGCAAGGGGAACCTGCACTGGTGCTACCAGCACGACCTGGAGCACCCGGACTTTGCCTGGATCGGGTTCCCGCGCATGGTCAAGCCGTGGCACGAATGGGTCTTCATCATGTTCCCCGTCCAGGGGTACCAGTCCAACCCGCCGCCCACGCACGACCAGTGGATGAAGCGCATCAGGCAGATGATTGGCGACGACGCGGTCGAGGTCGAGATCCTCAACGTCTCCAAGTGGATGATCAACGACATCGTCGCAGAAAAGTATTCGAGCGGCAACGTCTTTTGTCTCGGCGACGCGGTTCATCGACACCCGCCTTCAAATGGTCTGGGGAGCAATACCTGTATCCAAGATGCGTATAATCTCGCGTGGAAGATTGCATACGTTCTCAAAGGTGGTTTTTTGTTTTGTTCCCAAGTCTCAGAACTGCATGGCTGACTACTGCCAAAAGGTCTCGCCGGGCCCGAGTTGCTCGAGTCGTATGACAAGGAACGACAACCTGTCGGCGAAGCCATTGTTGACCGGTATGTCCTGACCCTCCGATCCCATTTCCTTTTCCTGGGACATGGACCGTTCTGACGTGATGCGTGATGCAGAGCATTCCAAGGCTACCTCGACCACCTCCCTCTGTGGAAAGCCGCGGGAATCCTGGCTCCAGACGCAGCGACCCGCGTGTCCGAATTCGGGAAACTCGTCGACGCGACGCCCGAAGGCCGAGAGCGGCGCAAAGCATTCTTCAAGGCAGTCCAGGGGACCCGGTTCGAGTACCAGGGCCTGGGAATCGAGATGAACCAGCGCTATCAGTCGTCGGCCGTCTACCAAATCGATCAAGGCCCGATGCCCTCGTTCGAGGGCGACCCCGTGCTCGACCACACAAAGTCGACGTACCCCGGATCGCGTCTGCCCCACGTCTGGCTCAACAAGCCCATCCCAGAAACACCGATCCCGCTACTCGACCTGGTCGGCCACGGACGGTTCACTCTCCTCACAGGCATCGGCGGGGACGCGTGGAAGACAGCCGCAGCGGACGCGGCCACCGTCTTGGGCATTCCCCTAGTTGCGTATTCGATCGGCTGGAGGCAGGACTACGAGGACGTGTACCTCGACTGGGAGCGGGTCAGGGAGGTCGACGAGGACGGGTGCATCCTCGTCAGACCGGACAGGTTTATCGCGTGGCGGAGTTTCGGGCCCGTGGAGAAGCCAGCGGAGGTGTTGGTACGTGTTCTCAAAACGATTCTGTCGCGGGATAAGGGCGGTGAGGTGAATGTGAATGGGCTGGTGAAATAGATCAGACACAGAGACACAAAGAGAGAGAGGGCGGGAAGGGAATGAGGGAGAGAGAGGAGAGCATATGTTAAGAGCAACTATCAAAAATCTATTCGTCTTTTTATGCAGATGCACGAAGTGTCTATCAATCTCCTCTAGATCTCGACTCTTCCATTCCTGTAACATGACTCCCATACTCTGTTATTTGTTACCTGGCCGGGTCCATCTCCATCTACTTTGCAAACGCATCCGTCGGCGCATCGTGCTTGACCGTGTCCCACACCCTCTCGATCCTCTCGACCACACTCTCCGTCAATTTCCCCCTCCTCAACCCCCGCAGCGTCGGCTCGATCTGCTCAAACTTGCTCGCGCCGATGACGACGCCGTCACCGCACTCCGCGTCCAGCGCACTGTGGTACGCGACCCAGCGGTACGCGAGCTCGGCGCGCGAACACCCCTGCTCGCGCGCGATGTCCTCCCACTCCCCCAGGGCCCGCAGGTACGACTCCTTCAGGTACATCTGGTCGTACATGCCGTTCATGAAGTTGGTGTTGTAGCGGCCCGCCCCGTCCACGATCTGCTGCTTCGTCTTGGTCAGCAGGCCCCCCGCCACGGGGGAGTAGGCGTAGAAGGCGATGCCCAGGTCGCGCAGCGTCGGGAATAGCGTCGTTTCCAGCTTGCGCGCCACGGCCGCGTAGTTGCCCTGGAACACGCTGGGGAGGATGTATCCCTGGGCTTTGCAGTGGTTGTGGATCCAGACCACGTCGGCGGCGGGGTAGTTGGACAGGCCGAACCGTTTGAACAGCCCGAGTTGGTGCGCTTCGTGGACGCCTGCGAGGGTTGATTCTAGCGGGACCGTCACGTCGGGGCAGTGGAGGTAGAATACGTCGACCTGGAGGATGGTGAGTTAGCCTTGGAAGATCTCTCTCTCTCTCTCTCTCTCTCTCTCTCTCTCCCTCTCTCGCGTATCATGAGAAGCGCACGACTTACCACGCATCCAATCTTCTTCACACTCTCCTTCGCCCCAGCGACGATTCCCTCCTTCGTCGCCAACCCGGGATTCCACCCCATCAACCACTTCGTGTCGATGGAAAACCTCTCGCCCGCTTTCGTTTCGCCCAGCCTTCGCTCGCTCTCCCCGTACAGCTGCGCCGAGTCGAGCCGCGTGATCCCGTACTGGGCGATCAGGTCATATGTGGCTTTGAGGCCCTCGTCGCTGACGAACGGGTCCGCGTTGCCGATGAACCCGGCCCCGAAGATGATCTGGGGGCATTCTTCTGAAGGCATTTCCGTCGGTCTCAGTCTGAACTGGGGCTCGACAAGGAAGGTTTGAGGTTGGTAGTGCTGGAGATCGGAGAAGTCTGTGGGTTTAGTAGCGCGAGCAAGCCTTGAGGAAGAGAGGGTTCTCTTGGATCTTGTATGGATGGAATATGCAACCAGTACTTTCCCCTGATATTGCTATGTCGTGAGCCAAAAGGACCCATCGTCGGACACAAGGTGGGTGGGTGTATTTGAAATCAAAAGATCCATGGGGAAGAAACAAGTTCAGTCGCGTTGGACAGAATGGGACGGGACTCTAGCTGCTAGCCATATCGGACACTGTTACGAGACGGATTATTCGCATTTCTTTCTCCCTCGAGTTTGGTCTGAAGTCGCAATCGACAGTCGATGTGGGTGGTGGGAGATGGTTTTCTCATAAATCACGGTCTTTGCGAACGCCGAAACCCGCGGCATTGACCATGGCAGATCAGGAGGGCCCAAGGTGTCGGTATGATTAGACTCGATTTGTGGAATGACGCGTGATGATTCGTTATTGGACACGGCGTATTTTTCTTTTCCTGACTTGAGCATCTCAGTCGGTCAAAATGTTCGAGAGGTGTTGGGGTGTTTGCGTATAGTGTTTGCTGACCTCTGATGTTTGTAGATTACAAAAGGTTCGTGAAGAGGTAGGATTGCTGGTTGACTGGACTTGACAGGAGTAGACAAACTCACTCAATAGAAGAAGAGTCTACCAAACATGTCGCCCATCACACCATACAAGATCAACATCCCCGACGAAAAGATCCAGCGCCTCAAACAACAACTCGCCCTCGCCGACTTCCCGGACGAGCTGCCCGACGTCGAGCCCTGGAGCAGAGGCACACCCTTGGCCGACCTGAAGCGTCTCGCTGCGTACTGGCAGGACGGCTTCGACTGGCGGAAACAAGAGGCAAAATTGAACGAGCTGCCGCAGTTCATGACCCAGATCGACGTCGACGGGTTCGGCACCTACGACATCCACTTCGTCCACCAGCAGAGTCCCGTCAAGAATGCCATCCCTCTGCTTTTCTGCCACGGGTGGCCCGGGAGTTTTGCAGAAGTCACAAAGATCCTCCCCCTGCTGATCAACGGGGGTGATGATGCGCCGTCGTTCCACGTCGTCGTCCCGAGTATGGTCGACTATGGGTTTTCTTCTGCGGCGAAAAAGGTTGGTCATTTCGCCCTGCCATGAGTGATATGCAATATATGGGACAGTTTGTGTGCTCACACTATGAACTGCGATTCTAGGCCAACTTCCAATTCGAACAGCATGCCGAGGTGGCCCATAAACTCATGTTGAAGCTGGGATACAAGGAATACGGTAAGCCCATACAAAACCCGTGCTAAGAACGACGTCGTTGACTCTCGCAAAAGTGTCTCAAGGAGGAGATCTGGGCTATTTTGTCACTCGCTTCCTGGCCATGCTGTACCCAGAGTCATGCAAGGCGCAGCACGTCAACATGTGCCACCCGCCCGAGATCACTGCCACCTCCCACCCGGCACTCTGGGCCCAGTTCCAAGCGACCCCTCTGACCGAGTACGAAAAGGCCGGGCTCGCCCGCTCCCGCTGGTTCCGCGAGGAGGGTTTTGGCTACAATCTCCTGCACAGCACCAAGCCCCAGACCGCCGGCTACGCCGTCACGGCGAGCCCTGTGTCTCTCCTGGCGTGGATCTACGAGAAGCTCCACGACTGGACCGACGGGTACGCCTGGACCGACGACGAGGCCCTCACCTGGATCAGCATCTACTACTTCTCGACCGCGGGTCCCGCGGCCTCGCAGCGCATCTACTACGAAAAGACGCACAGGACGCCCACCAAGCACGGGTTCTCCTCGAAAGAAGCAGTCGTCGAGGTCCAACGCTACGTCGACGTGCCCCTGGGCTACTCCCGCTTCCCCAAGGAGATCATCCTGCTCCCGAAGGTCTGGGTCAAGGCCATGGGGCCGGTGGTGTTTTTGGAGGAGCACGAAACCGGTGGACACTTTGCCGCGTGGGAGTTGCCAGAGGTGCTGGTCGGGGATTTGCGCACCATGTTTGGCAAGGCGAGTGCCGCGTATGGGGTGGTGTCGGGGAAGTCGGGCTTTGACGTGTAGAGTAGAGTAGAGTAGACGACTGTTGTATCTCATCGTCTGTCGAGGGAGTTACAAGTATGGAATAGGATCTGGGTTCCTCTCTAATTTCGCCTTTTTCCCTTTTTCGACCATAACGACTTGACCTTGCCAACAACCCGCTCCTCAGGCAAGGTATGTCTCGTAGCTAGAAATAGAAACTCACTCTTCCCCCTCCTCCGAGTCTCTGCCAAAGCCCCTCTCCGTACCTCCCCTCACTCGGGCTTATACCCCGGCTTCTGTCTCCACCACCCAGGAATGCGCTCCCAATCCTCGACCGTGCCTAGAAAATCGTTCGAGTCAAACAAAAACAGTCAGAGAGAACCCCCATACCGACACCGAGATCTAAACCAAACCCCCGCTAGAAAAGAGCCGGGAAGTACAAACTCACGCTCTTTGATGTACATGTCCTCGGTCGCCGCGCGGTACGCGTCGTAGTACTTCTTGGGCATCTGCACGTTGACGAACCAGTCCCGGTCGCAGGCCCACTCCTCGACGATCCGTATCGTCCCGTGGTGGCGCGGGTCCCGGTACCTGTCGACGAAGAGACACTCGGGCTCGGCGGTGACGGCCTCGAACGTCGTGCGCAGGTGTCGGAGGAACTCGTCGGCGTCGGCGTCGGCGACGTGGAACGTCACGTGGAACATGAGCCGCGATCGCGAGGCCTGGGCAGCGGTCGGCATGTTTACTTTTTCTCGAGGAGGAAGAGAAGAAGAAGAAGGTTCAATAGAAATTCTGGTGAAGAGTTCTCAAATTACAGGATTTCCGTCGAGGAGGAGATAAACATGGTATACAGACACGACTGGTATACCTAAGATGTCACCTTTTACTCTAGATGGAATTCAAGATATACTCATTGGCTCATTACCTGATTCTCTTCTTGTCCCGTTCCAGCCAGTCAAAGTGCTTGGACAATTCCTGTGCGGCGTTGTACAATGCCGTCCTCCCTCTCTAGGCTTTGCGTCGGGAACTGGGAATCACCATCTTGCGGGGTTTGAGGAGACGATACCCATCATATGCCCGTCAGCTCGAGACGCAAAAGATCCTTCTCCACAATCTCGTCTTTCCTCGACTTCATCTCCTCCACGTCCCAGTTTGCCCATGCTAGCCGACCTCTCAGAAACTCGGCCTCGGGACTCGCGAGCCAGACGGCAAAATGGGCGGGCAGATTGACTGTTGTTTTTGAGTCCTAAGTTAGCGGGTGTCCCTCGAATGGAAGCACTGATGGAGAATCCCTACCAGAATCCACAGAAAAAGCGGTATTGCCTATCTTCGCCGACATGGCCGTGGCAACCAAGCCTGGGTGCATGTTGACGATCCGCACCGTGGGGAGCTCCTCCTGGATAATGTCCATGGCCTTTGTAATGGCGATTTTGGACGCCGAGTAGCCGCTGTGTCCTGTGCAGTAGCCCCGTCTCACGCCGTAATGCGCCAGGACGCTCGAGATGTTGATCAAGACAGCGTCGGGTTTGCAGTGCCGCAGGAACTCGAGCGCGACGAGAAAGCTACCCTTGACGTTGATGTCGAAGCACTTGAACCACTCGTCAATGTCGATGTCGAGGAGTGGCTTGTTGAGATTCTGGTAGCCGGCATTGTTGACCAGGACGTCAATCTTCCCCGCCACGGCTTCGACAGTGTTGAAGGCTTCGCGGACCGCCATTGTCTTGGTGATGTCCAGCACCAGAGGGTAGATCCTCGACTTGCCCTGGTCCTCAAGCTCGGCTTTGAGTTTGAGGAGACCCGTCTGGTTGAGATCGATCAGGACCAGGTCTTTTGTGCCCGCCTCGACGAATGCTCGACACATGGCCGATCCGATTCCACCTGCCGCGCCGGTCACGACCACGACCTTACCCGTGGTTGAAAGCTCTGGCCGCGACGGCGATATAGCTGGGTAAGGGGCATGATGGAACTGGGCAGTGAATTCTGCCAGGACAGGCTGATCTGCCGACATCAGGGCAAGCTGTAGGGTTTCACCGTCCTCTAGACGAGTGTGAATATTGTCCAATTGTGGTTCGACCCAAGAGAGGATGGCAACATGGTGAACCCTGCTCCTTTCAAGTCCTTGGAATATATATCATCGAGGAGATAGAGATTCTCGAGCGAAGACTTTTGAGGATTTGTCATGACTGTCATTCCAGAGCCACGGGCTCCCTTTGTGCCGGCCACGCCGTAATGCGGGGGAAGCTGCATTTCGATGAGAATCGCAACTCCCGTCTCAATTTTACGGGGACTTCTAGACGCCGGCGTGGCCGAGTCCCGAGAGCAGACAGCACGATGGACAGTGTATCTATCAGAAGGAAACTTAGCACTCAGCAACACTACCACATACCTGGGTCAGAATGTGACAACCACTTAACTCCGTCGCTCTGAGATGTCCCTTCCTGTAGCGGGTATTCACTAAAGACCCCACTCAGCCAGTCGAGGCTATAGGTTGGAGATAGAGAATGCGCCTGGCAATGTCGATAGGAAGCTATGATCAATTCAGGGACGAGGGTGATGACAGTTGTCGCTACGAGTACTTGCAGTCTCAAGCACAGTTGAAGATACCTACGGAGCAGTTACAATCGGCCAGGGGTAGACGCGCTAGTGCATCTAAATACAAACTAGTCCCCCTTAGTCCACTACTGGACGCTTAAGATCATCCGGAGCGGAGCCCGGAAAGCTTGGCACTGGGGAGACGCCCGTACGTGTCCCTTCGCCAAGACGACTTCGTGTGTCTTATCCGCTGCTCTGCAGGGATGAAACCCGCCAAGTCCGTCACAGCGTCACAGCCTGTCGAACTTTGACTCGTCCAGAAGGGGGATTCGTCCATCATCTTCCCCAACTCGTCGTATCTGAAACGGTCGGCCGACCACCCCCTTTGGCGGTTCTGCTGCTCGATGGACTCTCATCGACAGGAGGTGGCGAGGTGCCCAAACGGGCGATAACACTGGTAGAGTCAGTATGTATATCGAGCTGCGAGACTCCATGTCTCGTTCTCATTTTCGTATACGCCTACGCCTATGCCGAGACTCTCTTTCTGCTCCTTGCATCATTAACTGTGGTCGAGCACCAACGTGAAGACTGCTTCACGCTGAGATTAAAATACCCTACATCATGGAGACCAAACCCAGAGTGAACAGTCATTCCAAGCGATGGAGCAAGATGAAAACTCGCCGACAGCTTCCCGCAGAGACGGTATCAACCCCGCCAGCAGCTACAGCCATTCCCCCTCTCGAAGAAGAGTCCGATTCTGAAAGTGAGGATGGCTTGGACAGTGAAGACGACCTTGACGAAAGCGATGATGAGGATGAGGATCAAGTCGACGCTGTCCAACCTAGTAGCGCTGCCCCGACGCAAACGTCGAGTCTGCAAGCTCTCTCCTCAACGACTCTACCAACTCCCACTCTTGCACAGTCGTCTGTCCAAACAAGTGCAATCCCAAAGATAACCGCAGAGAGTGCAATAACAGTCCCAACATCAGCGGCTACGACACTCGACACATCAGTCATCCCGAGTTCCTCCAACCCAATCGCCACTACTTCAGCCGTCCCTACACCAGCGATTGTCTCCTCAGAATCATCCTCCACTCCCCTCTCCGCCACAAGCATCGCCGCCATCGGCCTGGGCTCCATCATCGGCGCTGCATGCCTCGGCACTGTCCTGTACTTCACTCTCGTATGCTGTTGCCGGCGTCGTCGACGTCAGCAAGAGCGCGCCCAAAATGGTGAGCCATACGGGAATCCGTTTGGGGAGGGCCCCGGTGATCAAGCCCCAATCCTCAATTACGCCTCACCCCCTGCCGTTGCCGAAGTCCAACCCCAAGGCCCTCCTCCTGGACTCATGCCGTTCCGCCAAACCTTGTCGACCCTCAGGGACAGTGGAACAGAGATTCCAACATACGGCCAGGCCGTGACGCACAACCCCTTCTTCCACCCGATCATTCCCGGGAACGAGACGTCTCTGGATGAGAAGCCTGTGCATCTATTCAGGGAGCAAGTCGATCCGTTTCCCGAGAGTGCACGAACAAGTCAATTCACGGGCATCGAGGGGTTTGCTCCGGAGCCGAGGACTACACAACTACCACCACCACCATCACCGCCGCGCCTGGAGGAACAAGATCAAGCACCACCAGGGCCGCAATTCTCGCGTTTCCCTGCCCCCGCCTCTCCTGTGCCAGTGTCTCTGCCCGCACCTGAGCTCGCACACATCCACCCGACCCTCCGGCCCACGTCTCATCGATACACCGAAGCCCGCTCACGAACCGTCTCCTCGATCATCAACGGGTATCAATCGGCTGAAATCCCCCCGTCGACATTAAGTCCCATGCGCAGCGTCTTCGCCGGACAGAGACACGAGTCCCTCACCCCGAGTGAGTCGGCGAGTAACCTGCCCTACGACCGCGAGGGGGTCAAGCGCGAGATGGAGAAGTTGCAGGCCATGGCGGCCAAGTTGGCGGCTTCCAATGGCCGTGTTGCCGACGGAGTAGGAGGAGACGGACTGTATGGGAACGCGAATGGAAATGGGCAGCGATGGATATGATATGATATGACGTGATAGTGGAAAACGTAACACTGTGTAACAATGGACATTTGCCCGGCTACGGCGTCGGGGAGATTTATCATGATCAGAGGGATTTTGTCTTACTAGATGACTGACTGGTGACTGGACTGGACTGGACTGGACTGGCAGCCTGGGTAGATCGATGAGGCCCACAAGGGCGAATTGAACATATATGTCTCTACAGCAACTTTTGTTTTCTTGTCCGAGAACTTCTGTGCTTCTATTTGGGCATTTCCCTCAAGTTACAGTGTTGGGGGGAGGAAACCATCCTATCCATCTATCTGGCCGATACATCTATCCGTCTATCTAGCTAGCACTCTATCCAGCAGCCAGTAGCCCACCCGGCGAGCGAGCACTCTCGATCTCCCCATCTACGACCGACAACAACTCTGTCGACAGAGTAAAATCTATCCCTTTCCCTCTTCACGGTTATGTACGAATCGAGATAACAGATATCTCCTCTATCCACAGCACCGTATCCAAGTACGTTGGTGTGGTTACTATGCTCCCTGCCCACTCCTGATTTCCGCCCATCTTAGCAGTAGTTTCTCTTTGCTTTGCTTTGTGTGGCTTTGCGTTACTTTGCTATATTTTCGCCCTTGTCGTCTCGCCTTTCCACTCGCCACCTGCCACCTGCGAGCCTACGTACGCACGCCTCAACAGCAGCCTTGTTACACCGTCGTTTTATTTTTGCGACTTGATCGCGCTCATGCCATGCCGTGCCATGCCATGCCGTGCCATGCCATGCATGCAATGCATGCCCACTGGTTACTGGATCAAGAGCTCAAACGACCGCCCTCTATCCATTATTGGGGACGTTATGGTTCCCGCCAGCCTGGGTTGGTTGGACGGTTGGTCAGTCAGTCGGTCGGGGCAAAGGGGTAGAAGAGACTTGTACACGCGTACTTTCAACGCAGTATAAGATAAACAAAATGGTTTTTGACAAGATATGTAGTTCGTCTGAAGCAACTTGGCAACTTTAGCAGGTCCACCACTCACTCGGTCCGGGTTAAACTTGCTACTGGGGTGGACCGTCCTCTGCCTTAGCGACAGGGGACTGCACGCTGGTAATGGAGAGAAGAGAAATGGGGTTACTCCAGTACTCCGTAGTGGTGATGGATTGCGTAGCTACGAGGCGAAGATGGCAAACGTCAACGTTTCGCTCTTCGCTCTTCGCTCTTGCTTGGCAGGTCCGGGCTTGTTTCGAGTTGATGGCGCGCGTCCACAGAACCGCGTCGCTTGTATCCACTGTGGGGTGGGGGCGGCCGCGGTCTCTATATGTCCATTTAACCTCTGGTCGACTGGCTCGTGTGGCGTCGCATGTATATTCGATTCGGCTCGACTTTCTCGAACAATGGCGTGCATGGAGAATTTCTCAAACGCGAACCTCCGCTTCTTTTCTTTCTTTCCGTGAGACTTTCTAGGGGGTTCCGAGTCCGCGTCATCTCTGGCCCGAGCTTTGGTCGATTCGTGGCCGATTTTCTCCTGTGGGGATGTGGTCGATTGGTTGCTTGTTGATTGGATTGCGAGCTTGGTGGGTGAAGTGCTCAGAACTCCGTAGGGAGAGGTATGTACGGGTGGCTTCTTGGAGTGATTGCTTCGACGGCGAATGCCCAATCACTTTCTAGCCTTGGCCATACGACGACTCTTTGGCCGGGGGGGATAACATATACTCGGAGGGATATATATGGATCTAGACCGTGGGATATCCTCCATGGTCTGGTTTCATCGGCGAAAGAACAAGGCAATGGATCGGGCGATGGTGGGTTGAAGAGTCGAGCGGTCGAGGATAAGTGATATGGCTTGCTTTTGGGGCAGTGATATCGTGGTACCACGTATACCCGTGACCAAGGGTGCCCCAGGGGAGTCCAAGGGAACCTTCGTGCGGACCTCGACGAGGGGATCTGCTCACCTTATGAGCTTATGTCCAGAGTATCCAGTACATATACCGTGTCTGAATCCAGTGATGCATACACCTCCATCCCATCCTGGTTTGCTGGTCCATTCCTTCTCCTTCTCCTTCTCTCTCTGATTCATGTCCTTGGAGCTGGCTTCGTTCTCTTGACCTCGATCAACCAGGCCAACTGGATTGGCAGGTTGTGCAACTCGTCCTTCTTCGTCTTTTCGTCGGAGCTCCGTCCTTTTCATGGGCAATTGATGTGTTGATCCCATCCTTCTCTGTTCTTTCGTCTTTGATTCTCAGCAGACGCAACAATGGCTGGCTCCACGTCTGGTAACAGCACATCCTCCTCCTCCTCTGGGCATGCTGAACAGAATCCCGAGACGGAAAAGTACCTGCAAGCCCTCAACCATTCGCTCTCCACCAACTACCTGTACGCGCTGGTCGTCCTCACTGCCCTCGTTTTCGCCTACCACAGCGCCATCCGTCTCCACAGGCACGCCCGCCATCTCGTCTCTCTAGGAGGAAACACTCGATCTCAACGATATTTCTCCTTGGTCAGTCCGACCATTGCCCGGCTCAAAGTCCATTTGGTCTATGCTCCCTTGTTGTATCACAGACGGGCCGAGGAGATCAAATGCGGCTCTCGTCTGATCTTGGGCACAATACCCACGCGGTTCAATACCTTGTTCATCACAAGCATCATCGTGTACAACGTCTTTGCCTGCGTCTATAACATCCCTTGGTCGTCTCCTGAGCTCGAGGTCTTGCCCATCTTGAGAAACAGTAAGTCTCCAGTCCTGTCCGAACCTCTTTGAAAGCGACGCCATGCTGACTGTGACTAGGGACCGGATCCCTTGCCACGGCCAATCTCATCCCTATCTGCGTGCTGGCCACCATCAAGAACCCCTTGATTAATGCTCTGGACATTTCCTATGACTCGTTCAACTTGGTACACCGGTGGCTCGGTCGCTTGAGCATCCTGCAAGGCGTGGCACACACGATCTGCTGGATGATAGCGAAGGTCGAGAAATCAGGTTGGGCCGCCGTCCAAAAATCCTTGACACACTCTTCATTCATCATGACCGGCCTCATCGCCACTGTCGGCTTCGTGGCGTTAGGACTGCATTCCTCAAAAGTCTTCAGATCCCTGGCATATGAATTCTTCTTGCACAGCCATATCCTCCTTGTAGCCATGACCTTTGGTGGGTTGTGGGTTCACTTGGAGGGTCTGCCCCAACAGCGCTTCCTGATGGCCGCCATCATCATCTGGGTTGGATGCCGTTTGTGGAGATTGTGCACTCTGATCTACCGGAGCTGCGGACGTGGCGGTACCTATGCCACCATTGAACCACTCCCACGCGGCTCTGTGAGAGTCTCCGTCACCTGTGTCCGACCGTGGAAGGTCCGGCCCGGTCAGACTCTGTACCTGAGCATTCCATCCATTGGCTGGTTGACTCTCCACCCCTTCTCCGTTGCATGGGCCGAATCTGATAGGGAGACAAGCCTGAGCCGTTGGGACAGCACGAACAGCAAGCACTCCGAATACTCGGACAAGACACGACTGGTGGGCACGGTCCGCGCTGGTAAAGAGGGAGTTCCAGAGCCGCGCAGTCGCACGATCGACCTCATCATCAAGCGGAAAACCGGCTTCACGTCGACCCTGTTGACTCGAGCCCACCAAGGGGGTGGCAGACTCGTGCTCCCCGCCTTTGTGGAAGGCCCCTACGGCCATGAAACCAGCCTCGCGAGTTTTGGAACCCTGCTTCTCTTCGCCACAGGCGTCGGCATCACCCACCACATGATGTACATTCGTTCGCTGGTGCAGGGATATACCGACGGCACCGTCGCCACTCAACACATTACCCTCGTCTGGGTCGTGCCCAATTGCGAGTGTTTGGACTGGGTGCGCGAATGGATGCACGAAATCCTCAACATGGAGAATCGCCGCGACGTGCTCACGGTCGTGATCCACGTCACCCGTGCGAGCATGAACCAGGACGTCAGGAGCCCCAGCTCCAGGGTGAAGATGGTGAGAGGTCGTCCGAATGTGATGAGTGTCGTGCAGCGGGCGGCCGACGACCGAGTTGGGTGTTTGGGCATCAGCGTCTGCGGGTCGGGAGGTCTCGCGGACGAGGTTCGTGCCGCAACTCGGGTGGTGATCGGGCAGGGGGTGAATGCTTCATTGATGGAGGAAGGGTTTGGATGGTGAACGCAGCGGTGGAAGGGATACTTAGATGGGGTTGGTTTTAGTCGCAGTGTTTACACTCCGGCGGAAGAAGAAGTCAATGGAGAGAAGACCACGAGGCTAGCCCGCGACTCAGAACAGGCACAACACAGAGCACCCACCTCGTTGTGGACAGTCTACCCCGAGCTGCCACCATCATTTCGCAGGCCATGGAAATATAGAAAGGAGCTTGGGAGAATAGAAAGTATATAGAATCAAGCACGGCGTATCAAGGACTCGAGCCAATAAACGTGGGGTTGCAGGGGGGATCATGATGTACATTAGAATCAGTGACGCCCGTTGGACAAGCAATTCAAGGGTGCCGCTTTTAGCAGTACCAAGACAGAACGGAGAAATACAAAGAACCATGATGCCGATATCGGGTGCCCTTCGAGTCAGACGGGATAAACAGAGGTATTGGAGGTATTGGACGTTGAATTGACGTGACTGACCCCTCCGCGCGGAAGGCTTAGCGCCAAGATAAAACGTCGTCATTTTGATTGGCTAGGACTCTTCCCACCTCAGACGCCCCTTTTGCCCGCATCCCCCCCAGCGTCCCCTGGGCCATTGATCTTTATTTTTTCTAAGATTAGTACTGTTGGATTGCTAAAGAGCGGTTCAAGACTTTTCGGGAAGGCGATAAGTCACGGGTATAACAGACCAGACAAAAATGAGAGAAGCATGTTGTCAAAGACTTGGTCAGGCTGAAAGTAACGCTTCGACTGTGCCTTGACCTGTCTGGCCACCCTCACCGCCAGAACATGTCTCGCAACAAACTTTGAAAAGTGCCGATCATGATCCACATCCTGGGGACCCCCGGGGGGATGAAACGCCGCCTTCCCGTGGTGACATTATTACCATCAGTAGGCACCAGGGACTTGGACGTCCATTGTCTCTGGTTCACCACCACCACCACCACCACCACATGAGACTAATCACCGTTAGATCGTGCTGTTGTGCTCCAAGGCCGTTCTTTTTCAATTAGGATACCAAGATGGGATCCTTTCCGTACAAGATGTCGTCAGCCCTCTCGGAAAGAGCTGCAATTGTGTAGATTGTGTAGTCCGCCGGAAGAGCTCAATACAAGTACTCATGACAAGAGAGGGGAGTAGTTGCGCATTTGCATCGTAGAACCAATTATCAAAACCCTCAGTCACGGCCAAACAACGCCCAAATCACGCCCAAATCACGCCGTCGTTGGCCTGTCCTGTGATAATCCCGAATATCCTCCAAGTGATAACTGAACCTGTTGCAATCTCCTCCCCCTGCCCGCGTCTGACAATCGCCCCAGAAAAAGAAAAATACATTCTCATGTCATCTCATGTCAAGTTGGAACTTCTTGCTTGTTCTTGTCGTTAGTCTCTCATAGTCATGTTTCCCTCATAGTCAACAGACTCCCACGCCCAGCACTGCCAGCCAGGCCTGTACCGACAAGGAAGATCCGACGCTGAAATGCCGCGCTTTCCATGAATTGGTATCCAGAGTCGACGGATTTCCAGCCAGACAATTTGTCCCTACAAATAAAAGGATTGTTCCACCCACAAACAGTGCCAAGAGGGATAACATTTGCAACCTTCGTAGCCTCGCGAAGAAATTCATTCTGGTGGAACAGGTGTCAACGTTCGTCAGAAAGGGGAAGTGATGTGATGAGGAAGATCTAAGGTGATGGAAATGGGTTTCCATGCTTCTCATCCCCATATATAGTAGCTGCCTGTGCCCCTCTCATCTTCATACTCCGTAAGTGTCTGTTCACAGGCTCCATTGGTGTTTTCGAAGCCCCTGACTCGAGGGCATCTGCGCCTCGCGAGTCTACGCATGACTGTGGGCCAACATGCATGAGACTCCCTGCGTTCTCCTCTCGTCGCCCAATCCCGCCCTTGTATTATGGTGTTTGTGCCCAAGCCACTGAACTCGTGGGGGAGATATGGTCTTTGAGTTTCCCAGGTACCAACGGTTAGGGGAAAATGGAAAGTGACAAGAAGAAAACAACGCTAAACCTTGATGAGTTAGATCGCGGAGAATTTAACGTGCTCTCCTCCGTGCATAATTGTCCACTCTCAGTGACGTAATTCAATAATGTGCAAATGTGGGTGACTGTGTGCAACGGGCCAATATTACCGACTCCCCGTCACGTTTCAGACGCGTTTGTCTCAGTATTGACTTTTATTCTTGGACAAATGACCACTACGAGGGTACCGTCCAGGAGCCAGTATCTAGCGTGGTCTTGTAAAAATAGGTACGCGCCGACTTTGCCGAATACCCAACCACTCTGGTGCCGATATCGAGTCCTTCTCTCGATACCCAGCGTGATGTTTTAGTGCGATGGCAGCCGTGAAGATTCGTAACGGAAAACAGTCATTCGGTTTCACTTCTCCCATTATTACACCAAACCATATATTTCACGTATTTTACCAGCACAACTTCCGAGGTACCTTGGAAGAAAGTCTATGCTAAGATCATTGATCCACGCGCTACATCGACCTGCTGGCGTGGCATCGAGCAGTTTATCCCATTCCGACTTCGGCGGTGAAAATCTATACATTATGCCGAGATGTAATAATGTGCAAGAGACTGGTGATCATGAACAGTTTCCCTGGACCCATCAAGAGACAAACATTTGCTTGTATCTTGACAAATCGACATTAAAGATATGACTATCAGACGCTTGGAGAAGGAGTCGCCAAACTATCTCGACGATGACTTTACCGAGTGGCTCAAATGCCTACTCGCCAAAGAGCATGTGCCCGGTGTATCTGTCGCTGTCGTTAGAGAAGATGGCCAGATAGAGTCTGCCGGCTTTGGGCTCGCGCGACTCCCAGACACGCCGGCGAGGGCAGATACCGTCTATCCCATGGCAAGCACGACTAAGGCGTTCACCACCGCTCTGTTGGGGTTGCTGATTCAAGATGATCGAGACGCCGACAAGAGCGTGCTTGGGGAGAAGGGGTGGAAGACCCCAGTCTCTCGCATCTTGAAGGATGATTTCAAGACAAAGTCCGACTACGTCACGCGGACCGCGACATTGGAAGATATCGCCAGTCATCGCTCGGGGATTCCAGGCCACAACATTCCGTGGGGACCAATACTAGGAAGGTCACTGCGAAACACAACGCGCTGTCTTCGGCACCTGGAGTCGCGGGACGACAGCTTCAGAGCGGTTTGGCAGTACAATAACCTCATGTATGCCGTTCTGGGTAACCTCGTGGAGGAAGTCTCCGGCAGGGAGTTCCTCGACGTTCTGCAGGACCGAATTCTAAAACCTCTATCCATGAAGCAAACCTGGTATGGCATTGAGCAGTTGGCGAAAGCTGAGGCGGATGGGCAGGTGGATAAGGCATGTATCGCGAGGGGTTACTATTGGAAAAAGGGTGGCTTGGACGATGAGATACACGGTGAGGACACAGGATATTACGTGCCCGAGCCGTATACGAGCATCCTTGGTTGTGAGCCGGCCGGTGCACTGGTGTCGACGGTCGACGACTTCGCAAAATGGGTGTCGTCCTTGCTCGAAGCTGCCCAGCCCAGGGAGGACGACGACCGGACAGATTCTCTCATCAGCAATACACTCTGGAAAGAACTTACCACTCCGCGAATCCAGATCGTCCCACAACCTTATCCATCTGAAGTCACGCCGCCAAAGCCAAACGACCATAGCACGCCGACAGGATATGCACTTGGCTGGGCCGTGGACCCGTACATGTATCCGGGTACTCTGATCCTTTCACATGGTGGAGGTCTGCCAGGATTCGCTCTCGGGGTCGTGCTGGTCCCAAACCACAACTTTGGACTTGTGGTGGCGACAAACGGAGGTATGGCAAACTCGGTTGGTGAAGCCATCGCCAAGGAGTTGATAGGACGCAGACTTTGTGTTTCCAAACAAGAACGACGCAACCGCGTCGAGAAACAAAAGAAACATAAGGAACGATCGGGCGTCAGCGACGAGAATTCGGAACGCTCAAGCGACAAGTCCACGCCAATATCCGACCACGGTGCCACTTCGTTGCTAATAGAGGGCACCTACCTCAATCCCGCATACCACACCGTTTCTTTAGTCAGAGCGGCTGCTTCGACCTGTCTTGGTGTCAAGGACCCACATCTTGACGGTGTCAAAATCATCAGGAATGAGGAGAAGGCCCCTGATGCCGTCGGGCGTCCTCTCCTCATTACTCCCCTTGGGAAACGGGGTCTGCACTTCCGATTGCTTCTGCATCAGTCAAAGAAGCAGCTGTATGCGAACAAGATCGTGTACGCGCTTGAAACGCTCGTCTCACACGGCGACCTCAGCTACGACCCCGCGCCAGGGTTGCCAAAAGGATACGGTCGTCAAGGAGATGCCAAGTATCCCGGGAAGCCAGAGCCGGTGTTCGAGAGCAGCGGTGTCAAGGATCGCGGAGCAGTTGTCGAAGTTGTCAAGGGTGACAACGAACATGAGCTCTTGGTGGCGGCGATGGGCCTCAGGACTAAAGTCGATGAGGGGACGGACAATGCTGGGAGGAGTGGGAAAAATGAGGGATTGCTCTATGAAGGCTGGCAGGATGACCTGATATGGTTTTACAAGACCGAAGAACACCAGGGAACATGACAACACCCATAATGCGGGGGTGCTCTCTGGCCGTACTTCCAAGCTGAATCCTAGCAGGAGACAAAAGTAGAGCGTCAACTAAAACGGGGTATCTGGGACTTCTACTCGTACCCAACTTTGATCGACATGTGACATGATAACCTCAATCGCATAACCCCATGATCCCAAGCGAATTACATTCTCCCACTAACTGTCCAGGACACACTACGGAGCATGTCTCCACGCCTCCTCATCCGACACAATCCTCCCGTCGAGGACATACACCTCCTCCCAGCCAATCGTCCAGGCCATGCCCTTGACGTCGAAGAACTTTTCCTCGTCTGGCCGGACCTTTTCGACGAAGAACGGGTCGTCCCGCGACCTTTTGATGCCCTCGACGTTGTCCCGGACGAGGAACTCGGCCACGCCGTCGTACGGCGTCACGTCCAGGGCGGTGAGTTCCGGCCACGCGGCCATCGTGCTTTGTTGGACGGCGGAGGAGGTGTGGTACTGCGGCCATGTAAAAACTGTCAGCTATGCCACGACGATACCGAAACGGGATTCCTCTTTGTCGTACGAGATTACGGCCACGCCCAGAGAGTATACCGCCAACATCGAAAGAGATAAAGAGATAGAGAGATAGGTTCTCGACAAACCTGGGTATATTTCAAAATGCCGTACTTCTCCACCAGCGGCCTCACCAGCGGTCCGTGGACGTGTGACCAGTAATGGTTGAATTCGTCTTCGGTCAAACTCGGGTTTCTCTTGAGATACATTGACACGCGGAGGACTTTTTGCTTGGTGGCCATGGCCCTCGACTCTATTGTTTGAATTCTGAGATGGATGGATGGATGGATGGACTTTTGTTCTTTTCCACGACTGGTAAGGACAACAGGTGAGAGAAATGTGGCTGAGGTGGTATTTTGTCTTTATTATACACAGGACTGTGATCCGGGTTTGGATATTGGATATACACAGTCGCAACGAGGCTGCCCGCTGCTACCACACACCACATGTGTCGGGCTTTCCCTCCTCCTTGGGTCCCAAGGGTCCCAGTGGGGTGCCATGCAAAAACGCCTGGGAAGGACATTGGTTGTTACGGCCGCAGAACGACCCGGTAGAGCCATTGATGTGTCATCCCGACCGCAAGACGGTGTTGGTCAACGCCGTGTCGTCCCCAGCTGCGATCCATCCGACGTAATGCGGGGAGAATAAGTGGGGGGGAATGCTTGCTACAGTAGCGGAGTAGTAATATACAGTAGTAATATTGCCAAAATCGACCTGTTACAAAACTCACCCACGACGGAAGGTTAGCTTCTGAGATGGCCAGAATGACACACTGTCGAAATAACTGATGCCTAGATACGAAAATATGACCATCAATCTTCTTCGAGGTACTTATTCTCATAACACTTAGTTAAACCTCCTTCCCTTACCGCCTGGACTTATCTAGCAGGTACCCATCTACCCCTCCTGCTCCGCAGCCTCCTTGATCCTCCTATACGCAGCCTTGACCTCGTCCGTCTCCGCAAAGGCCTGAAACCACTTTGCAATAAGCGGGTGCTTGTCCAGCGTCAACCCGGCAAAGCCGTGCATCCGGATCCACGGCTCGTAGTGGCAATCGACCGAGGTGTATCCGCCGGGAATGATTGTGGCGCCGTCGGTCTTCTTCAGCTGGCCCTCCAAGATATCGTAGCACCGTAAAGTCTGGGCCTGATAGCGTTCCAGGGCGTCGTCGTTTTTGGTCTTGTTGTGGAGTCTTGGAGGGAGGTTCTGTCAGTGCGGTGCCCAAAGCTCATGAGGGATCTATATCGAGGGTAGACGGCGGATAGATCATTCTTACCTGAACCAATTACACTGCCCGCTCATCGGCCCCAGCGTCGTCAACAGCAAATACTCCCACTTCTCGAGGTCGACGCGGTCCTGCTCCCTGTCGCCCCGCGGCCCGATCTTGTTGTCCCTGTCGTACACCCGGCGGAGGTAATTCATCACCGCGCCCGACTCCCACGACACGACGCCCGTGTTGGGGTCTTCCAGGGCGGGCACGCGGCCATTTTCGTTGATCTTGGTGAAGGCTGAACCCTTGACGCCCTTTTCTGGGTCGTCGCCCCCCTCCCACAGCCGGACGGTGTAGGGTACTTGGAGAAATTCTAGGGCGATGGCGATTTTGATCGGGTTGGGGCCGTTGCTGTGGGCGTGGAGAAGGAGAGGTTTGAGAGGTGCCATGGTGTTGTTCTAGTGGTTCTAGTACTGGTAGTAACAGTGACTGTAGTAGCTGCAGTACTAGTTGTTGATGTTCTTACAAGCCTTGGAGGATTCGCCTGTGTCTTGAGCAAGTCCCGATATATACCGACACTGTTGTAGAAGGCAGGACCAGATATTTGGTTCTCTCTACAAGCCTGCTTTCAAATACAATCAATCCATCATTGTGGAAGAGGGGGAAGAGAGTGCTTTCACCAACCCCGATCGCCAAGGAGCGGGAGCGCAATTCCCCAGGCGGAGGTGCTGACGAGAACTCCGGGACGTCTTCTCCACGAGTTTGCACCCACCTACCCATCTTACGGGTAATCTGGATTTGGTGGGTGTGCAATGAATTATCGGACTCTGTTGGAGGAATCACACAATCCCGAAACAGCCTTTCCCAGTTACAACAATGAATAATCCGACATAATCAATCTAGAACGGTATATACCGGCGAGTTTGGTGGAAGCGGTGTTTCAAAACACCGTCCAAGACTCTCAGTGATTGGTGTGGAGACAGAAGACTCGCAGTGTCCCTCGGTCTATACGAGAGGGAAAGAAAAGTGCTAACAAATGAGGAAAATGAAATATAAAGGAGATATTGGATGGATTTCTTGTGCCTCGACGTTGACGAAAGAAGGAAGGAGTACTCGTGCAGAACAAGACAATCTGTGAATATTGATTACACTGCAAAAATGGAGCAACTCATCACCCCGATCAAACATCTAAAGCAGCCCTTGCAGATCGGCCCGCTGAAGCTTCGAAACCGGTTTGCCATGTCCTCGATTTCTCGGAATAGGTATGTCTCAATTTCAAAGTGATGGTGCAGGGTGTCAAACGACCCGACTCACGCGCTTCAGATCCGACAATACATACCCAAACGAGCTGAATGGAGAATACTTCTACCAGCGAGCTCTCGGAGGTGCCGGCCTGATCGTCGCCGGAGGAGCCCTCATCGAGCCGCAGGGGACGCCGATGCGGGAAACGCCTCAGATCGACACGCACGAACATATGCTGGCGTGGAAAAAGGTCGTCGACAAGGTGCACACGGTGCCCGGGTCGGTGTTTTTCTGTCAGCTCTGGCACTGTACGGTCAGATCACTGTTATTAGCGTCGAAACGAGCTAACTTGGAAGATGGACACAGGCGGACGCATGACATACGCGGACGCAAAGATCCAAAAGGACTATGGGCGACCGACCATCGGCCCGAGCGCGATCCAGGCGCGCATGGGAATCGCACCCGACAACGACGGCGTGTATGATCTCGAGCCAGGACTCGAAAAAGGGTATTCCACGCCGACGGCCATCGAGGACCCGAAAGCGGTGGTCGAGCAGTTCCGGCGATCGGCCATTTTTGCGAAAGCCGCTGGATTCGACGGCGTCGAGTTGCATGGCGCCAACGGGTATCTGGTAGCACAGGTCTGTTCTCACTCTCAGATCTGTCCGTCTCTCTTTACTTACTCTCTCAGTTTCTCGACGACGGCGCCAATATTCGGACGGACGCATATGGTGGATCAGTCGAAAATGTGAGTCTCGAGATTTCCGACGGTGTATATGACAAGGCACTAACATATATTTCCCAGCGAGCAAGATTCTGTCTAGAATGCATCGACGCCTTGATCGAAGTATGGGGCCCGTACCGCGTCGGCATCAAGCTGTCTCCCGCCATCGGTAGAGGCGATCTGGGCATGTTCCCGGTCGAAAGACAGATTGAGCAGTTCACGTACCTGATCAAGGAACTCGACAAGCGGCCGCTGGCATACATCAACCTGGTCCGATACCTTGGTACGTCCCGCCCCCCCAAAAGATCCCCACTTCCTCAAAGCCTATTGAAGCTAATGTATGCGGCAAAAGAGTTCATGGATATGGAAGTCGACGGCAAGATGCGCGGGCCCAAGCACCCCGTATGGGCGACGTATCGCCACCTGATCAAGAACGCCAAAGTGTTTCTCAACGGCGCCATCTCGCTGATCGAGGCCGAGGAGCTCCTCAAGGACGACACCGGCGACGTCATCGTCTTTGGACGCCCGTGGCTGGTCAACCCGGACTTTGCCAACGCGGCCATGGCGGGCAAGGAGAAGGAAATCACATTCGACTTTAACTTTGACGTGAGTCCCCCCGAATCGAGACTCGTGGATGGTATACTGATCCAGGACGGGGCTAGTACTTTGCGCAATATCCGCCGGGGAACCAGGCCAAGGGATATATCGATTATCCTTTTCTCACTACAGACTACAAGGCTCCGCAGCTGGCGGCGAAGATTTAAGCCTGAGCAGCGACAGCAGGATATGGTTAGAAGACAGAGAAAAAGGGATTTTGATGGTGATGATGGTGGCGACGTGGCATACGTCAATGCGATAGTCTCTGTAGATATCATCCGCAACTCTAGTGCCAGGATCCCATGAGATGTTTTCCCCATTTAAGTCTTGTTTCTTCACCATCGTAGCTTGGGCTTGCCCTTCCCAACCTCACATTGTAGTGGAATTGCAGCTGTATGCGTGACATATCAGTGAAGCATCACGGTTTCAGGTCAGAAGAAAAGACAGAAGATACCTATGTCCCTGCCATCCATTATCTCTCATATCACGATACGAATCGACAGAGTTGAGCAGATAAGGGCTCGCGATGCCGCCATTAACGATCCCGCAAAAACATTTTCGTGCATAACAGCTTAATGGTACTAGTCCTTGAAAGCACAGATCGACATATAGCCACAAAAATTTACAATGATTTGTAGCCGTGACAAATGAAGATAGACCCTCAGAGTTCTATCTCGAAATACACCGAGGAGGCCGGGGTCCTTGAAAACCGTCCTAGCCCGACCGGACCATAGAAGATAGGGGACATAAATAGCCAAGATACCCCCTGTGGAATCCACAACGCTCCAAAGATACAGATTGGCCTGTCTCTCTCTCTCTAAGTACCTCCACTCACTATTTCGACAGCACACTACCTCATCCAGTACTCGGCGCCTTACAAGAAACCACACCCGTCCAGAATGGGGATCGAAACGAGCGACCACTCGGCCCAAATCGCGGCCTTGACCGAAAAAGTGGCCCAACTAGAACGCCGCCTCCAAGAACAGGAGGACATCGAAAGCGTCCGACGCCTGATCGACCACTACACGGCGCTGCACGACCTGGCCTTCCAAGACCCGCAGGCCCTGCAGGAATGGGAGAACCTGTTCACCGAGGACGCGCACGTCAAGTACGCGTTCGGCGAGCATTTCGGCCGCAAGGGCCTCGGCGCCTGGGCCTGGGGCCCCGAGGTGGCCCAGTACGCCCAGTGCCACCTGCAGAGCAGCAACTTCGACATGAGCTTCAGCGCGGACCGGCGCGTCGCGCACGTGCGCTCCAACGGCATCACCACCTGGCTGTACCGGCGCGACGAGCTGGATCGGCACTTCGACGCCGGCGCCGTGTATCGCTGGACCATGAGGCGCGAGGAGGACGGGACCTGGGCGATCTGGAAGATTGATCTGTATTGTGCGTGGAAGTCGGGGGAGGATTTGAATGGTGTGAGTGGGGGGAAGTAAAGCTTCAGTGAAGGAATGAGTGAGTGAGTGAGTGACTTGGGCGACAGGACAAGTCCATTATTCCGAGGGGTTTTAAGAGGAAGAAAGATGAGATGTTGCTGATGACAGAAAGACACCGTACCCAGCCCTGCGCTCTGCTGCAGGCTCATATATACATACATATACACTTACACCATCATCATTCACACCTCAGTAAGCGGGACAAGGACCGAGAACGGCCATGTAGATATCCATCCTCTTCCGCAAACCACCCTGCCATGCCATGCCTTGCCACGCCATTTTCCGATGCAGATCCCCCAGCACTCTCTCGTTGCTTCCAGCATACAACGGTGGTGAGACTGTTCACGGCATGCGAGATTCCGGACCCCATAGCCATCGTCTCGATATGGCCTGCTTGTCAGGACTGTCCAAATTTCAGTCGGCAAATTGAATGCCGGGTGGACCGAAGCTTTCCGCCCTGAGAGGTTAGTTGCGACGTTGGTTGCGGGGGCGGGGTTGGACGCGGACGCGGGGGACAAAGAGGAGATAGGAGGAAGAGAAATGTGACAGATTGTTAGCTGGAATGGGTCAATTCAGCGGATAGTAGTAATCCTTGGGCACTTGGTTTCTATCTTTGTGGTGGAGACGTTGTCCACATTAAATCTAGGCTTGTCTCAGTATCCACCACCGGATCCACTTCCCCTTTTCCTCAGCCTTGCTCGCTTCCAACCCAAACATGATGATGCACTTGGTGCCAGACATCAGGTTGACGGCTTTTCTCACAACCACATCAAGCTTCAGAACCTCCAACACGCCCTGTGTGAGCCTAAGCGCGGGACTTCTCCATGTGCACGGCCTTATCCTTGAATGCGCTCGCTTCCACGATATACGAGGACTCAGCCTCGTCCTGGCTGTGCACATCAAGATGTACCTCGTGAGCGTCGTGGTCGACCGTGATGTCTGCCGCGTGAACCGCGACCGCATCCCCGAAGATCTCGGCCAGCTCCTCTAGCGCAATGCCTTTCGTTTCGGGCACGAAGAAGTAGACCCACACCAGACCGCAAGCGGTAACTGCGATGAACAGCTGTCACGGCACTATTAGACAGATGAAGGCGGACAACGGAAGGCTTGCACAAAACTTACCAGGAAGAATCGCCAGTGAATGTGTGTAAAGGCTGTCGGCGCCACCTGCAGATAAACCAAGTTCGTCAAGGCGTTGGCCGTATAGGCGACCGTGCTGCCTTTTGCCCGCAGATGGTTCGGGAAGATTTCGCTGACAATGATAAAGACACACACATCGCCGCAGACAGCATAACTGGCCTGGAACAGAAACAGCATTGCCGCACCGGTCGCCAGGCCGGCTCTGTTCGTGCCTGCTGCACCGTAGAGAGCAATCATGGTCGTCTCAACAGTGACACACATCAGGCACATGCTGAGGCCGACGAACAGCAAAGTTCGACGGCCAAAGTGGTCGGCGAGCGCTGATCCGACGACGTTGAAAACGGGCGAGACCGTGATGTATCCAGCCTGGAAACACAGTTGAGTATACGCATCATAGCCGAGATTGCTCCAAAGAGTTGACCCCTGATTCACTCTGTTAGGAAAGGAAAGACAATAGCACTGGCTATCGGTGGGCTCACATAGTTGTTTATGACCAAGTTCCCTGTGCTCTGAGACAGAAATGCTAGACCGATAGCAATGACCACCCGCCGACGAACCGAGGGCTTGGTGTAGAACTGCTTCCAAGACGCGTCGCTGTTCATGTCGAGCTCTGCCTGCTTCTCCATCTGGAAGAATTCTGCTCGGGCAAAGTCCTCCTGTTTCCCCCGGCCGTGCTGCCTCAACATAATTTTCAGTGAAGCATCTTTCTTGCCTTCCATGAGGAGGTGTCGAGGCGACTCGGGAACAAAGAGGTAGCCGAATGTGAGCACCACTGGGAATACCGTGCCGAGAGCGATAGGAACGCGCCACTGGACCTCGTCCGAGACATTGTAGAATGCAACACCAAAGTAAGATGAGATGGCGAATCCCAATGCGCACAAAGCTCCATTCAGGCCAACATACAACCCTCGAAGAGCCGCTGGGGCAAGCTCGGCGCAGTAGACGATCATGACGGTCATGAAAGCGAAGCCGGTCGCCCCCGTAAAGAAGCGAAGAGCGATGAACATGCCCACATTCTGAGATGCGGATATGATGGCTGAGCTGATGATGCCGACGATGCCAATGTAAATCGATGTCCGCTTGCGTCCAATCTTATCCGCCAAATAACCACTGATGATGATACCGAAGACACCGCCAGCCTAGTCATTGTCAATAATAGGCTCCTAAGAGCTGCGAAGGCAGAACTGTGTATACCTGGAACACGCCAGTCGTTGCCCCTATCAGTCCAGGAGCATTCCTTGTTTGGTTACCGTCAGCATCGATGAGGCCCATATATGATAGGAATGAGGCCTTTGTAAGGGTAGTCCCGATGATACCCGCAAAATACCCATAGACTAACGAGCCTAGGGCGAGGAGAAAACAAGTGGAGAAATTGAGCAAGTTGAAGGCTTGCTTGCTGCTTGTGATGACTCCGGCTTCGACCGTCATCTTGATTTCACCCATGTCCTGGTGTTTGAACAGTCTTGAAGGGTGTTGGGGAAGTGAACTGGTTGATGTATTGCTGAGTAGAGTTTGTTGCGATCGTATTTAAGAGTCTCGAACTTCATATCGAATTTCTAGCCCGGATGTCCGGTATGCAGAAGCGCCTGTACCTGCTGCTGTCGATCCCTATGCTGAAACATGGCGACTCTGTTCGGCGTGGGAATGCCGTGGCGCGTGTGCCTCCAGATTGCCCGTTTTCTCCAGACCTTTGAATCCCGGATATTGCAACTCCGCATCCGGCTTTCTGGAGGCATTGGAGGTGGGGATGACTACCCGGTGTCGAGGACTCCCTTCTATTTAGAAGAGGTGCAGCATCCGATGAGACGTGTATTCCTGGGACTATTCCTTCTTTGACTCCCTTTCAGGTGAGCACGGTCGTAAGCTTCCCCAATTTCCAATTGTAATGGCCGTGAATCCCTTCATATTCGCGTATACAGAACTTTGTGGCGTGAGAATGAGGAAAACCTGACAGAATAATAATGATTAGTTGTGCATTATCCGTCAATCTCGGACTCTGTATCGCCGGAAGTCGAGGTTAGAATGCGAGATGATGACGACGCAGGCAATAGATTTTGAACTGGACTTGGGGCCAGAGAGAGTGCAAGTGCTGTCAGTCGGCGAGCTCTGCCGATGATGCGGCCGTCGACCATCGAGGGAAGACGATGTAGATGTTCTGCTATGTTGGTGTAATCATGAGAGGGGACGGACGTCTGGACAACGGCGATAATCCTCTGCAAAAGCTGGCTCACCCCTCTCATCCTCAAGTGAAAACCGGCCAGTAGGTCCACAAGGGATTGGATCGGACAAGAGATTGTGCCTAAGAAAACTGGAGATACTGTATCATCGAGGAGGTTGTTGTCTAGCTGGAATCTGAAGAATGTGTGCGGCTGCTGCTGCTGCGCCTGCGCATCTGGCACCAGCCACATTCGTGGGAGCCTCTTGGTCTTGGCATCTCTGTGCCCACAATTGGCGGAGAGCTGGTCTCTCTCGCTCAATTGGCCACAGCGGTCAATATCCTCCAGTTCACCCAACAAGAACTCAGAGGCACCGAGGAGCCACTGAGTTCAAGTACTATTCACGCTCTTTAGACTTATCAATCACGCCACAATGCCAGAAATGATCGTCGACGAAGCCTTTCTGTTCGCCTGCGATGAATTCCTGTTCGATACCTCTATTGCCTGCGGCGGTGTCTACTTCCTCTAGCTCGCCTTCAATGCTCCCTCGAAGTCTTCTAGAAATCTCCAATAGCATTTCTCGCGCCACCCTTTCGCCTTCCAGTCATTTGCTGCGGCGGGAAACAGGTCGACGATACCTCTGATGGTGCTGTCATGTGCGTATATGAAAAAGACATTATCCACGGCATCTGCATCTTGAACCTTCTTGATGGTCCGCACGGTTTCAGGAATGTCATAGCCTATACTCGGATCGAAGAAGGGTTCGTCTGGTGCTCGCGACCGTTTCTTCTGAATGAGCTCGAACTCGGCACCGGGGCAGATACAACCAGGATACTGGATCAGATTGGGCAGGTAGATCTCTCCTGGCAGAGGTAGGCTCTTTGATGGACGCAGCTCGCCGCCGTGGTGGCAGAGATCACCACCCATCATAACAAACGTGTCCGGAGTGGTCCGTGCTAACCCTGCCAAATGCCCGATCGCATGGCCAGGCGTGTCTAGAAGATAGAAAGACCCATCTCCGAAGAGGTCGAAGGCTCTGAACTGCCCGATCTGCAGGACATTCGGCTCTTCGAAGGTGATCTCCCGTACTTCCCGACCCCTACAGGAGAAAGAGACTGAGTTCACAGCACTACTCCAATTCTGAGATGACTTACTTGAAGTCGCTCTCCCGTACAGGAGAGTCTGGCCTGGCCGGCCAGCCTGGAAAGAAGGCGTCTTTGAATCCTGGACCAACGACCAACTCGGTGGACGTAGGGAACGTGGAAGGATCCCCTATATGGTCATAATGCCAGTGACTTTGTGTCGGCGCGTCAGCATCAATGAGCTGAGGCTTTCAGTGACGTGTTTTCCTCACCTCCAGATGATGCTATTGATGCTGGCAATATCAATGCCTTGGTCAGCCAGAATATCAGCCACGTGCTTCTCTCCAGAGGGCTCACCCCAGCCTCGGGTCTGCAGCGGCTTTGCCACGACGGGCGAAAATTCTCTCCAATTCGGCGGAACACCCAGATCGAATAATGCTTTGCGGCCCGTGTTGCTCTCAATGAGGAATGCCCACGTGGGAGCCTCGGGCAAGACTTCCATTCCAGGCATCGGCGGTGTCATGAGATAGTCCATGGGGAGACCTTTGATCTTAGTGGTCGAGTCGATGATTCGCAGCTGGGCCACGGCTCCATCTGGCACGGTGAACTTGTTGCTGGAAGTCATATTTGGCGATCCAGGCGAAGAGGGCGGCACTGATGCAGAAGCACTGCTTGATTTAGAGGGCGGGCTGGGTCTTGGGGGCTTGAGAGGCTGCCTTCAGAGACGCATCAGGCGTTTCGTGGCGTGTCTTTGGGATAGTTGAGTGATGGTTTCCCCAATCTTTAGCCCTGGTGACCACTACGTTGGGTATTTCCCCAAGCCACGAGGCTGCCGAAACACGGGGACGTATCGGGGTCGGTGGACAGTCATGGATGGATACTTGGACCCAATACTCCATAAACCTTTCTCCACAAGGCTGGCTGAGAAACCCCGACACCACGAAAAAAGAGCATACCACGCTCTCGGCACAACGAGAACCCGCGGTGGCAATAGTTGGAGACGAGCCGATATACGGCTAAGCCTCAACTTCGTCGACGGATAAAATGCACGGACGTTGGAATGCATCGCATACAACAATGACAAAGCTGTCTTTATCTGCGCGATTAAATCATCCCGAGTACCTGCGGTGCAGCCTGTAAGAGCACACATACATACACCCACACTCACACCCACACCAATTATTATCCCGTGCTACTGAGCTAGCTGCCTCTAAAAATGCCACACGCTGTCGAGTTCAACCTCATCGAAGTCAAAGAACTTCACCCGACCTTTGGTGCTGAGGTGTCTGGCGTCGACTTTTCTCGTCCCGTGCCCGAAGATGTCTTTCAGGAACTGTGGCAAGCCGTTAACAAGGTGAGCAGCACGCATGCATCAACTCATTGGAGGAGGGGTCAATACTGTAACACAAGGCGCTAATCCAATCTACAAAAAGTATGGCGTGTTGGTCTTTCGCCATGCCAAATTGAACGATGAACTGCACATCCAGTTTTCAGAAAGGCTCGGGGAACTGGACGATGTCCTCCCCCACATCCAAGCAGGCCGCCCGTTTCGGTTCAAGCACAAGGAATTGTTCGATGTGGGCAATATCGAGGAAGACAACAGTTTAGTGAAACCAGGAAGTCACCGTTGGTATTATGGCAAGGTATGTATGCGTGAAACACAGAGTCGTCGGTTATCGACCACACGCAGTTCACTGACGCACAAGTTTCAAAAGGGCAATAATCTGTTCCATCACGATTCCTCCTTCAACCCACGGAGGGCGGGACTTTCTCTACTGCGTGCCCACGAAATCCCCCCTCCGGGCCAGGGTCTGGGAGGCAACACCGACTTCGCTGACTGCCGCGCCGCATACGACGATCTTCCCGAAGACCTGAAGAAGCAGCTAGATGAAAACGACTATGTGGTGTGCCACTCCCTGTTGCATTCGCGCAGAAAAGCCGCCCCAGAGTACTTCACCGACGTCAACCCGGACAAGGGATACTACTCGCGCCACAAGATTGTGCAGACGCACGAGCGCTCGGGCCGCAAGACCTTGTACATCGGGAACCATATGCACCACGTCGAGGGCCTGCCGGAGAAGGAAAGTACCGAGCTCATTAACAGGATACTGGAGCATGCCTGTCAGGATAAGTATGTATTGTCGGTCGAGTGGCAGAACCCGGGCGACTTGATCCTGTGGGACAACACGTCCGTCATGCATCGGGCCCATGGCGGTGCGTACGAGGGCAAGTACCGCAGGGATATGAGACGGACGACGGTCCACGACGATTCGAGCTATGCTTGGGGATTGAACGAGAAGACGAGCATGAGAGTTGGATTGCCGTAGGGGCTATGTGTATGTATTTCAGAGCAGTGTAGTGGCTGTAGTTTAATCATTGTATGAATGAATGAATAAGCGAGCAATGGAGGTACGTATACTGTGGCACAAGATGTCGTGTTTCCATATCAATTCTAGTCATCGACAGCGTCTATTGTAGTTTTGGAGAATCTCCTTCTATTTATTTGTATAATGCAAGTCATATCACAAAGCCACGAGCCACAAGCCGGCGGGATCTGGTATATTTCCATCTCCGTCTCCTACCTACACCTCACTTCTTTACGATATTGCTCGACCCCCAGTTCTTCAGGTAATCATCCGGCCTGACCCTGACGTCCAAGACGACGGCCTGCTTCTCTTCCCTGACCAACCGGACGGCCTCGTCGAATTTGCTCTTCAACTCACTCCGCTTCGAGATCTGGCCGCCCAGGGTCTTGAGGCCGAAGGATTCCGACATCTTGCCAATATCTGGTAGTGGATCGTCCAGTCTCATGCCGATCCACTTGTTCTCGACGGGTCGGCTGCGCGCGTTGGCGACCCGCTCCTGGTGGACTTCGTCGTTGTAGAAGCTGCCGTTGTTGGAGACGATAATCAAGACGGGGATGCGGTACCGTGCGGCCGTCCAGATGGCCGAGTTGCCCATCAAGAAGTCCCCGTCACCGAGGATCGCGACGGGCACGTACTTCGTTCCCTTGAGCGCGAGCGCTGAACCGACGGCTTGACCGGGTCCGGACCCGATGCCGGCGCCGCCATCCATGCCTAGGTACGCCAGCGGATGCGTGGCCAGGAGATCAATCCCGCGGAAACTGAGGGGGAGACGGATAATGCACATGTCCTCGGGCTTGATGGCCGCGTAGAGCGCGGATGCGAGGTCCGCCTGGAAGATATCTTCGCCGTCGAGATTCTGCGGCTTTTGCGAGGACGCCGGCTCCGTTGCGGGCCACGCGGACTTGGGATACCCCGAGAGTTTGCGCGACTCGACTTCGGCGACGAGGTCGGTGATGAACTTGTCCGGGTCGGCGAAGATGCTGATGTCCGCGGGCGGCGTCTCGAAGTGGTCCTTTGACCAGCCGTTATGGAGCTGGCTGTCGACCGAGATCTCTATAACTTTTGCCTTTGGCTCGATTAGCTCGCCTTGCGCCGCGGTAAAGAACCCGGCCAGGTCGACCCAGTCGAACGAGATGATCAAATCGGCCTCTCTTATCATTTTGGCAGACTCGGGCGCCAGGAAGAGTGCCGGGGCTGCGGGGTGTAATCGATGCGTAGTCGGGAAGGCGACTGGTTGTTTGATATCGGCTGGAAGGTTCAAGGGTTAGTATGCCTCCGTCCTGATCCAGATCTCAAGAAGGGTATTTTTTCTGATACGTACTAATGACCTTGGCATCAAACATCTCAGCCAGTCTAATTCTCTCGTCCCAGCTCTTTTGGGTCCTGTTCATCCTGCCAAACATTATCAACGCCTTGGTCGACTGCTCCAAGGCCTGCGCCACCTTCTTAACGTCGGCCTGGCTCGCCCCGGCTGACTGCTGGGTCAAATATCTCTCCGTGTCGGGATACCGCACGTCTTTCTCGTCGTATGCCGTCTCCTGGAGACCGACGTCGAGAACGACATATGTGGGCGCACAGGGTTTGACGGACGCGACCGCGGTGGCTTTAATGACGCTGCGGATGGCCGAGTTCACGCTCGTGGGCTGATCGTCCCATTTGGTATAGTTCCTGACCAGCGCGGCCTGGTCGACGGCCGTGTGCGTCGAGTCGATCCACGGACGTCTCTTGGTCGTGTCAAAGGGCCCCGCGGCGCCCAGTATCACCATCGGCACGCGATCGATAAAGGCGTTAAAGATGGCCATGGACGCGTGCATCAGGCCCACGTTGGCGTGCAGACCACAGGCCAGTGGTTTTTCTGCCACTTTGGCGTATCCGTGGGCGATGGCGATGGCGTGTTCCTCGTGCAGACACACCACCATCTCGGGCGAGGCGTTGCCATTGAGATTGACCAGACTGTCGTGCAGTCCGCGATACGACGATCCCGGGACCAGCACGAAGTAGGGGATATGCAGTTTAGAGAGCTGCTGTGCGATATAATCCGATCCCCAGCCTGCCTTGGGAGAAGAGTCTCCATTTTGCAGGTTGGGAGTGTCGGCGGGGGAGAGGCGGACGGGCAACGACATGATCTGTCTGGCCTAGCTAGGGTCTATAGATCCGAGGTTTATAGAGATTCAAGTTATGTAGAGGTCGAGTTACGAGTATTGAGTATCTCTCTCTCTTTTTTTTTAACTCTTCTTTTTACCTTTCTCCAGGCAAGTTCCGCGTCGACGAGCTGTTTGTTGATCTCCGAAATGGTCATTGTCCCCCCATGTGACAACATTTTCCCACACGAGGAGAGGACCGAAAGATCAAAGCCAATCCACTCAAAGCAAGCCATCGATCCCGAGGTACTCCAACATTGCTCCCAATGAAGGGGAATATCCTTGACCAGAGACTCTTGTAAGAAACTGCTTCTCCAACGGCACCGCCAGCCGCAAGTAACGAGGCACAGGCTAGATGGGAGGGTGGCTACTGACCACGTTGAAGGGCCGATCTTTCCATGGGGTAGGCGACGAGGTGGCTTCTACTGGGTCTGTGACAAACTCCGGACACTCTCCGGCAGCCGAAATATTGATATCGTCTTGTCAAAGTTCGGTTGATCCACCTCCGCAGGAATTCCGTCTCCATTAATTCCCTCCACTTCCGCCTCCTCGTTCCACCCCCCCAGACTAAACCCACTTTATCTGCCCCCAATATTCAGAGCTTTGTTTTCTTACTTGTACTCGGTACGAGTGTTTTCTTGGATGCCGAAGATGCCGTGCCAACTTTGAGCTTCTCTTTCCCGCACGTGATAAAAGGTGTTGGGCAAGCCTTGTAAGTGCGAGTCGCAAGCCCAGCCACCAACTTACCAATCGTTGTATGGGAGACAAACTTGGTTGAACCTACTACCCACTACAGCAACTTCTTTACCGAATACTAGGGCCTATTTGTATGATACTGCTCGAGTCAGCAGGCTACGAGTCCTCGAGAAGCCAAGATTCCCATTGGATCTTCCCGTCTGGGATAGACCTTCAGGCGCGTGGACTTTTGCTCCAACCAATGCCTGGTCCTTGGTACTAACAAGGGGAGATCCTCCAATCGGTCTCCATGGTACCTCTACTCTTTGAGCGTCGAGCATAGATAACCCCCAAATATGTACGTCGCATGCATTTTCAACAGGGTTGGAGTACCACGAGTGGGTTCCCGATCTTTCCGCGTCAAGTTGGGAACCGAATACCATGGTCCACACGCCAGGTTGGGCTTAAGCGAAACGAAGGCACCGCTTCGTCCAATCTAGAGGGTCTTTGCCATGTCTGGTGAGGCGACGAGGCCCTGAGATCTCAGCTGCAGATTCCCCAATTCCAGCAACTCGGTAACTGTGCACCATGGCATCCCAAACAAACGACGAGATCCCCAAAGTTCTCGACTGCCCTTTCTTCCATTCTCCCAGGTGCCCTCCCCCCGTGCTAACCGAACTCTATCCCCACGGGGTTTTGTGTCTTGGGTTCAAAGCGACTTTATCATGCCGTGAGCTTGTTCTCTATCCTGTCCTGTCCTGTCTTGTCCCAAACTCTCCTTCCAAGAGTCTATCTATTCCTCACTCCCGTGGCGAACAGTTCCATCTGAAGGCCTTCCTCCCGCAAGTCTCTCTGATCACGAATCTTCTCGGGTGGTTGTTGATTCACGATGGGTTCCGTCGCGCAGAATCTGGAAGAGTTGAAGGGCAATGTGCACCTCGAGGAGTTTGCTGGGGATGGCGAGCATGCTCTCAGCCCGGAGCAAAAGGAGTTCATCAAGAAGGAGAAGCGAGTCGTTCGGAAGCTCGATCTATACATCACGCCCGTCATGCTTCTTCTCATGCTGATCAGCTACCTCGACCGTGGCAACATTGGTTTCGCTGCCACCCAGGGCATGACCAAAGATATTGGGCTGACTGGCAATGAACTGAACGTGAGTTCTCGCAAGGGTTTGTGAAATTTCAAGGTTCTGACGATAACTAGACGGCCGTCTCGATCTTCTATCTCACATACATTCTGTCAGAGGTAGGCGAGAAATCTTTTGTGATATCTGTGCAACCCAACTGACAATAACGAGTTCCCAACCACCATGTTCGTCAAGCGCCTGCAATTCTACCGCGTTATTCCCGTCCTCGTCTTCGCCTGGGGTCTTGTGTGCATGTGCACGGGCTTCATCCAGAACTACGCCGGCCTAATCGTTTGCCGCTTGCTCCTGGGCGTCTTTGAAGGCTGCTTGTTCCCATCAATGACCATGTTCTTGTTGAACTGGTATCGGCGTGAAGAAGTCGGCCAGCGCGTTTGTTACCTTTACAGTATGCTCATCCTCAAACCCCTACTCAAACTCTCCCCGTGGGCTAACTCGCCTGATTCTCAGTTGGCTCGGCTCTGTCCGGCGCCTTTGGCGGGCTGATCGCCTTTGGCATTCTATACATGGACGGCACGGCCGGCTACCCCGGATGGCGATGGTGAGCGAAGCTGTTTTCTGCCACCAAAGAGTCATTTTTCCCTAACTGAATCCCCCCACACACAGGCTGTACATCATCGAAGGAATCGTCACCATTGTCTTTTCCTTCATCTGCTACTTCCTGATCCCGCGATCCTACGCGACGGCCTACTTCTTCAACGACGAGGACAAGGCCGTGCAGAAGCAGCGCCTCGAGCTCATGGAATCCTACAGCGGCGGCGACGGCAAATATACCAGGAAGGACGTCAAGAACGCCATGCTCGACATCAAGACGTGGCTGCACGGCTTCAACCAGGTCCTCATGTCGACCATCATTTACGGTAATTTCACGCCTTTGAACCACTAGTTGGTAAATTGCTAATCTGTGATGGACCAGGCTTTGGGACTTTCCTCCCCATCATCCTCAAGGACGGGTTCAACTACTCGACCAAGAAATCCCAGTATTATGTTATCCCAGGTACGTAGTCCCCGTGACCGACTTACCCACCTCGACCGGACTTACTAACTTCCTCGCCTTTCCAGTTCAAATCGTCGGCGCGGTGTGCTACTTCTTCGCCGCCGCCCTCTCGGAGAGATACAAGTCGTATTTCCCATCACTCGTGATATCCGCGCCGCTCGGTATTGCCGGCTACGCGATTCTGCTGACCAAGCAGCACGCCAGCGTGTGGTACGGGGCGACGTACATGATCGCGTCGTGCTGCTACATCATCACGGGGACGAGCATCGCGTGGCACGGGATGAACATCGCGCCGGACGGCAAGCGCGCGGCTGCCATGGGCGTGCACCTGGGCCTGGCCAACATCGGCGGCATCATAGCGGGCCAGATCTACCGGTCCACGTCGGCGCCCAGGTTCCTGCTCGGCCACGGCTGGAGCTTGGCCTCGATCGGCACGGGCTTCATCTGCTGGTGGATCCTCTTCTTCATCTACAAGCACCGCGAGGCCAAGAAGGCCAAGCTGGTCGCCCAGGGGTACGTCGTCCCCGAGGGAGAATGGACCGATCGCTCTCCGGGGTTCAAGTACCAGCTCTGAGCTGCGTGACGTGTTGTGTAATGATGACATTGAGAAGCGTCCTGATTTGTACCGGGGAAGGCTCTGTTGAAAGCACAAGTGGTGCCGCACGGACCGCGTATCCCCTACGCAGCAAGGTTTGCTGAGTAGTTTTTTAGTATTGCAAAATGTGCAGATTTATGGCCTAGTCAACACTATTAAACCACGATTTTTTGTTAATTACTAATATTGCTATAGAGATTCAAGTACCTTTGGAAATTGAATGAGCGACAAAACACCGGGCTTGCATGCAATGCCCCAGGTATTGAGGACGGCATATGATTCGACGGCTTCGCAGTTCCGGCCACCTCAGCTGGAGGAAATCTCTCAAAGGCTGCGGTTAACTTACTACCGTCGGAGGAATGCATTTCAATGTTATAACCTTGTCGTGGGTCGTCACTGTGACTATCTTCTAGATCCATTGCCACCAATTTGTAGTCATTTTATTCAAAAGTCCATGATCTTGCTTGAGTCCCGATGATAGTCAAAACGTAGAGGTTGTTTTGGTTGTAAGTTTGAAGGTGTCTTCGGCATGTATCTATAGCTTGTGATTCCACTTTACGTACATCTGAAAGAGGAGCACTTTGTGGTTTTGCTTCAATCAAACAGAGAACACGAGGCTGGTCTATATCATCGTCGAACACAATGTGTCGTTCGATGGCTTGCTTCTGGTGATAGCCAGTTGATCTCAATACGGAGATCCTTTGCTTGTATGGCGACATTTCTTTAGTGGGAGTCTGCCTAAGAATGCCTTCATTATCTGAGGATGAATGCTCGTTGTCATCTTAGCTTTACCGTCTCTAGCTACTGCCGAGTTCGAATGCGGATGTAGAATTATGACCTAGGAGTATCACTTCAGCCGCCGGTAAGCGGTCATTTCAGTAGACGACAGATCACGTCGATCTGGTATTCCCATTACCCTTTTCCTATTTTAGAAGTCACGTCTAATCATAGGATCTGTGGCGAGTCATGAGATGACCTTCCCATGTTGATATATCAAGCTTTTCAAGTTCTCATTACACAGTGGTAACCCGCCGCCGACCGGTCGCCCTTTCCCCGCAGCCTTATCGCTATGCCTAATTGGGCGGGCTGTCATTTCCACCATCTACATAACAACACCCCACAGGCTTCTCTTGTTTGTCTTGTCTCGGGCTGTGCCTTATGTAGGTAGGTAGTTTCGTAACACTCCATTGCCTAGATTCATGCTCACAGCCATGGGAAAGGCGAGTCCCTTTGGTGAAGAATTATCCCCAACGATGATCCTTATAATTTGATTTTGCCCATGATAAGCTGATTATAGTCAGTTGGAGTGAACTCCACATACGCATCTGCTTCGGGTAGCAACCACAGCATCTTGTCGCCATTAGCGAATTTTGCATGGTCTATACCTTCTTCCCGGAGCTGTCCCTTGACAATTTTATTGTTGCCTGTCGTCGGGGCATGGGTTGTTGAGACTCGCAGGAATATGGGAACCGCGTATTTAGGTAGTCGTGCTCGGAGTTGGCTGTTGGAACCACGCCTTGCTGTCACTTTCTGGCCAAAGCTTGATATCAGGGGAATTGACTTACCTCGCTAAAGAGCGGTAGTCGAAATGTGGTTGGTCCTGCTCAGTGATGACGACGCGTGCACAACCCGCTCGGCCATCGTGATGTGGGATCAAAACGCCGTAAATTACAGCTTCCTTTATCTTGGGAAAGCTGCCGAAGATGCCTGAGACTTCTGATGTGCACACATTTTCGCTCTTCCAGCGAAATGTGTCACCGAGACGGTCCATGAAAAACCAACGCCCTTCAGAATCTCTCCGCAGTGCATCACCGGTGCGGTAATACAGGTCTCCCGGACAACGGACGTTGCGTGACAGCCTTTTCTCCGTGGCCTCTTGGTTGTCAAAGTATCCTCGAAAATCCTTCTCCTTCTCTAGAGCAAATAGGATCTCGCCACCTGTCGTCAGAGGACTTTCCACCACTAATCCCGTGACTGGATCCCTTTGGATGTCCCCTGAATCCGGGTCAATGGCGGCGGCAAAGTATTTGTTGCGCATGATGAAGCGGATAAGCAGACCGTCATGCCCGACTGAGTGCGCGAGGAAGGGTCCTGGAAACAGAACCCCGATTAGCACACATTCTCCACTTAATGCGAGGGAACAGAGAGGGACATACCTCTGGCACGGGTTTGCAGGCCAAACACACCTTCGCTGGCGCCAAAGAATTCTACTATCATTGGAACAGCAAATCGATCCTGGAATTTGGTCCAGACGTCTGGCCGCATTCCGTTACCAAACATGACCTGAAGGTTGTGTTCTTTATCTAGCGGACTGGGCGGCGGTGAGAGCAGATCTATATGTCGCCCAAAGTCTTAGCATGATCGGACTGAGCCAGGGGATGGAAGTCTTACATCTTGCTGTCTCGCCAACATATATGCATAGAGTGGCACGAGATTTTCTGATGTCCTCCCAGAACTTTGTGACACTGAACTTCTCCACCAGACAAACGGTAATCCCCCCACAAAGCGCTGTGATCGCTCCAATGCCGCCTGTTCCGTGGTACTGTCACTCACTGTCAACCCATACTGGACGATCAAGTTGACCTTCGCTTTCAACTATCGAATAGACTCACCAGCGGCATGCAGATATACCATCTATCCCCATTGGGGCCTGGCGTCGTACAGACTTTGCTGTGCAACCTTGCAGAGACGGCATCTGCTAGGAAGTGATGGGTCCAGGAGCAGGCTTTGGGAAACCCCGAGGTCCCACTTCCTCAATGTCAGTCTTTGCTGTTCAATTGAATGGGAGAAACCATTGAAAGACCTTGTGTATAGCATCATACTTTGATCGTCTGGTCGCACACTTCTCGCAAGGTGGTCATCGGGCAATTGTGGGGCGAGGCTGTATATTGAAGACTTTTGCGCTTCGCTCAGGATCACAATCCTCTGGTTGGCGTTCAGGACCTCTTTGATGCAGTCCAAGTTGACCATCAGGTCTCCGTCCGCGATAAGGAAATTCGTTTTGGCCACTTGCCAAGTGTGGAGGAGGGCGTTCCCCGTCAGGTTGTAGTTGAGAAACGTTGGAGAACAACCAACCGCATAGCATGCGAGCCACATGAAGAGAAAATCTGGCGAATTATACATATACATTGCCACAGCTTGGCCGGTGACCACTCCAAGATCGCGGAGGAATGAGGCGTACTGACAACACCTTGTGAGACATTCTGAGAATGTATAACACCGTTCTCGCGTCCAAATCGCGTCTGAGGCTGGGAACTTGGCCGCTGACTCGAGAAACCGAAACCACAGGGACACCTGTCCCTTCCTCACTACGCCTATCAGCGGGGAAGGGTTTCAGAATCGAATTGCAGTCGGGATTTATCCTACCTCTACTTCGGGTATCCCTCCTTGCTGTAATGACCTCTGAGAGCAGACCGATATCCTTCGTGATATGGTACTTGGCATCGAGATACGCTGACCCTAACGCAACGGCAACTCCCGCTGCTCCAATTGCTGACTTCATGTTGTAGGGCGAAGAGGTCTGACGCTCGCCCAAGGGTAATTTGACGATGGAAGCATAGAGATGTACACGTAGAGGCTAAAAGCTAGAGAAAGCGACCTTTATGTTTCAAGGAAAGTTTCCTTCTCCCCCATGGGGACGGAACTGACTGGGGCTGGCAAAAGGACGTCCTAATCAGCTGAGAGCGAACGAGTTCGATCGAAACGACAGTGAGTGAGACGACGAAGCCTTGAGAACTCCCAGGGTCTGTACGAGGGCGCGTACCAAAAGTACTGTTCACGCTACTGATTACGACAGGAGATTTTCTCAGCTTGTAGGCCCCCTTACCTATCCCTTACATAGATATAAGTTAGAGCTATTGGCGGCCGTGTAACCTCCATTCCCAGTCTCGCTAGGGGCTTTAGGCGCTGAGCATCGAGCTCCGATATCTCCGGGGGGCGCTGTAAGGGGCAACGAAAACAAAGTCTGTCGTCTTTTGATCAGCTTGTCATTCTATTATTACTAGCGTTAACAATTCTTTTGGTGCGCGCCTCGATATTATTGGCACAAGACGGACACAGGTTTGGATACAGGCGTTCGATCGTCAAGGAATCGCATTCCGAAAATTCCACACGCAATTCCGCGGCTATATACCAAGCTACAATCTCGGGAACGGCAGCCTGGGGGATCGAAGTATTTAATGCGAGGTTTGTCGCGCGGGAAGTAGTCTGGTTCATACACTTTGAACTCGTCCAGCTTCGATTATTGCAAACATGTCCGACAGGTCAATCCGCGAACGTTCTACGGAGCCAGGTTACCTGGAAGAGAAAGTCGAAGTCACCGGTCATGTGGACCGAGTTGAGTTGAGCGTCGAGCAGAAAACCACCGGCCACCGAGACTACCATGGCATCGACACCACTCATGTACAACCTGGTGCCGATGCTGCCTACGAAGCGAAGATCGCACTCGTCAATGAAGCGTTGATTGATATTGGCATGGGACCGTTCCAGTGGAAGCTCTTCATACTTACTGGTTTCGGGTGGTTTGTGGATAATGTAACTTATCGCTGAAATTTGTATTCCGTGCTGTGACTGAGTGTGGTTTCAGGTCTGGCTACAAGCTATCACCATCGTCGGTCCGGCTATCCAGCGAGAGTTCGCTGTCAAACGCATCGCCTTCCTTACTGTCGCCAAGTACGTTGGTCTCACAATCGGCGCATCGACATGGCCTCTCGCCGCCGACTTTATTGGCCGTCGCCCTGCCTTTAACATCTCACTGCTTTGTTCTTCCCTATCTGCCTTGGTCGCTGCAGGCTCACCGAACTTTGTCGCTATGGCCACGCTCTGTGCTATGATTGGCGTTGGCGCCGGCGGCAATCATGCGGTTGACAGTGCTATCTTTCTGGAATATATCCCGGCCACACACCAACATCTACTGACCGTGCAGTCGGTCTTCTTGGCAACCGGGATTGCTGTAGCTGCTTTGGTCTCCTGGTAAGCTTGCCCGCAGCAGATTTTTGATTTGTTCAAGAATTTCGTGGAATGACTGATATCTAGGCCCCTCGTCGTCAACTTTACATGCCCTGCCGGGACGCCGCAAAGCGAATGTGGGTTTCACGAGAACATTGGGTGGCGGTATATCTACTGGACCCTAGGTGGCTTTACTCTCTTTCTCAGTTTCTGCCGCTTCATGTTCGGGCTGTACGAAACACCAAAGTATCTGCTGGGGAGAGGCAAAGATGAGGCAGCCGTCAAGGTCATCACGAAGATGGCCGCGCGGGATGGGAAAACGACCTGGCTGACCTTGGCACATCTCCAGGCCGTAGACGCACGGCTGGAAGCGGCTGCACTTCTAGCAGACGACCGCGACTCTCAGAGCGGTGGTGCTGGTTTGCACGCCACAGCCAACAAGACGACGATCCAACGATTTATGGCAAAGTGGGCGCCTAACAAGGTACGAGCACTGTTTTCGACTCCGCGAATGGCTCTCTCCACTAGCATGATGATCGTGCTCTGGACAGCGATTGGAATGTCTTACCCTTTGTACAATTCTTTCATTCCCTTCTATCTGGAAAGAAAGGGTGTCGCGGTTGGCGCCTCAAGTCTGGACATCACATACCGCAACTATACGATCCAAGCAGTTTGTGGTCTACCAGCTGCTATTCTCGGTGGCTTTTCTGTGAGGCTGAAGAACGTGGGTCGCAAGGGAACTGGCGCATTTGCATGCATATTCACAGGACTATTTCTGTTTCTGTACACTCAGGCCAGCAACTCTGCAGCCGTCCTCGGCTTTTCCTGTGCGATCTCCTTCTTCCAGTTCCTGATGTACGGATTGCTCTACAGCTATACACCTGAGCTCTTTCCGGCACCGATAAGAGGAACGGGTAATGGTTTGATGATGACATTCAACCGTCTGGCCGGTGTGATGGCTCCTCTCATCGCTGCCTATGTTGGCATTGAGACGGATACTCCTATCTGGATTTGTGCATCTCTCCTGACTTTGTCCGGGTTCGTGTGTCTTCTCCTGCCTTATGAAAGCCGGGGACGTGCAGCCTCTTGAGGAGCAATACAAGGGAAATGGGCACATGCCGACTAGGGCCGAATGGGAAAGTTGTCCAGCATCAGTACAAAGCAATGAGGAGGAATTCTTTGATGCATTGAAGGGTAGTGTAGTGGGGAGGTCTACAGGCTGAAACGTGATTGGTGGAATTTGCCTGTACACTGGACAGGGAGGCACTTCTAGTCACTGATGGGGCGATCTCTGACACTAGGTTAGAGATTCTTTCCATCTATCTATCCATCATCAACAGGATCAATACCTCAAGCAACTCAATCAAGGAGTTGAGGACAGTTATCTATCAAGTTATGTAATCTATCTGATCAATGCTGTGTTGTTATTACTGTGCGATAGCCGTTACGCCGTACGAGTTGATGCCTCTGGCTAAGAACCTCGCCCCAGTTCAATAGTCGTGCGTTCTATCAGGCGTCCTCACATTGACGTTTGTTGAAGGCATATATTCTAGCAAATGGAAAGAAAACACATGGTTCTTCGGCTAAGGTGACAGGAAGGACAATAACACCACCCTGTCCCCCAAGACGATGGTAGCCGTCGCATACTAGCTTTCAAGCGGGCTGTGGAACAAGCATCTCGTGCTTGCGCAAATTGGGCTTTTTGATCGACTACGGCCCACCATTGCGCTCGACTGCTTCGGGTCGTGGTCTGAGTGTCTGTTCCCGAGCCTGGCTTGGTGTTGGGGCTGCCTCCTTGCGTAAAGGAAATCTATCGTAATCGTAGAAGGCCAAGTCCAGATTGTCGACATTCATATAGGGAGCAATATCAGCATTTACGTCGCGTTCAGTTCTCGTGAAACCGCGACCGAGAAATGCCCACATATTCAGCTGGTATCATCAAAAGCATGAAATTAGTTGGGAATTTCCACAAAACTCTGGGGAAAGAACAGTAACAAAAAAAAGTATGAATTACCTTATTGCGAGACTTGATGTGAAAATCTTCCCATCTAGGATGACGGACAACTTCCTGGAAATGTAATGCACTACCTGTACCCTTTGTGAGCTCCTTTCAACAAGGCAGAGATTCAGGCAGTGGAGTGTTATATACCAGGCCAGACTGCGGTAATGCGACCATCCGATGGTCGCTTGTACCACGAATTGCAGTGATCTTCCCAGACGGTTCCGTGCAACATGGTTTGGCAGTGCTCGTTGAACTGATCCGTAATATCTTGTCGTGGACAAACATAGAGGAGGTCTTCAGCCTGAATTTTCTTGATCATCTGGATGGCATAGTCTGCCACAGCACTAATTGAGGCCGTCACTGATCCCGTAAGTACCGGAAAGGTAGGCCCGAAGGTAACTATAAAGTAAATCAGTACTTCTTTGGTTATATCTTGATGTTGCCGTAGAAAGCCTTCTGGTTAGACTTGCAGAGTCAGAAAGGCAAACAAAACGTACGTATGAAATTTGGAAAATCTGCATCAAGAACGTCAGCACGACAAATTTTGAATCTCTAACATTCAATATACCTGGAACACCGATTCCAAGATAGGAATCCGGGTTGGGTGTAAATTTAGCTCTCAGAGAAATACCATTCATGCCCACCACATTGAATCGAGGCAAGTAGGTTGTATCAAACCCAGTCGCGAGGACAATGGCATCAATATCTGCAATCTCGCTACCATCCGCTCCAATCACAGAGGTTTCACGCACTTTGGCCAGTGCTGTGAAATGAGGAAATACGTTCGGCTTTTTCAGTGCTTGCATAAATGCGCGACCCTTGGCTTCAGTGTCAACCCGAAAGTAGATTCTTGGATCAAAGGGAATGGTGATAGCCGGAGCCAAGAACGTACCGGAGACGTTCTTCGACAGCCCACGGCGAAATCTGGAACCAAGCCCTTCACGAGTGTTTCGTCCTCAAGTTCATCGCGCATGATCTGTTGAAAGCGCGACCGGAGAGCCTCTTGTTCGAGAGAATCTTTGAACAAGGCTTTCCAGACTCTATTTGCCTTCAAGAAATATCAGTCGATGGACGGGGATAAAAGGTTGGAGGCGCCATACTCCTGCTTCATAGACTCGTGCTTGCGAAACCAATTTTGCGTGATCACGGGCAAAACTCTCTTGTTCTTCTTGAGACCCTTGAACTCTGATGTCAGTATCACGTTGTTGAGGTTGGGCCAGAGAAATGCGAGCCTCACAAACTGGTTTCAGCTAGGCACAAGTCAGTCACGCTGATAAAGTGGTCGGTGGGGAGGGGGGTGCACTAACACCGTAGTTTGGTTGAACGGACGCCAGCCAGGACTTGGATCGTATGAAAACGTGCAGTTCTTTCGCATACGGTTGCATTCTGTGCCCGGTGTCAGTGTTGCCTATGGCTTTAAAACTTTTGAGTGACGGCTCCTTCTCACCCGGGAGTCGCTTGTATGCTGGACGATCCTGCTCCTACGATGACGATTTTCTTCCCGGTCCATTCAGCGGCATTGAAGTCATCAGGCCATTGTGCCGTGTGTACCACTCGACCTTTGAAGGACCCTAATCCCTGAGTCTCCGGCAATTTGGGATTGTTAAGCATACCCGTAGCCTGAATAAGTACATCCTGCTCACCATCATCAGCTCTCGAACTAACTGGGCAGACGGCATTGTTAACAAGTGGTTGGACTTACACATTCATCCTCCAACACACTCGTGCTTTCGTCCGAGTAGGTTTGCTCTACCTTTAGCATCCACTTTCCAAGATCCTCATTCCACGTCGCCTCAATCACACGGCTGTTGAACTGCATATACTTACGCAGGTCCCAAACTCGACATACACGATCGAGGTATTTCCAGATAGAATCACTGGACGAGTACAGTTCGGACCAGTATGGCTAGTGATTGACAAAAGGTTAGACTTCGACCCCATAGCCCTCAAGCACCCAGTTGTAGCCTCGCTTACATTCAGTGCGAAATTGTATACGTAAGAATGACTTGGAACTGGGAGTTCTGGCGTTAGTAAAAGTACTTGACTGCTATAACGATGGTGAATGACTTGCCGTCACAGGCGCAATTAGGATAGCGATTTTCCAGCCACGTCCCGCCAATATCACCATTCTTTTCATAGATGACGTGTTCGACATTCTCAAGTTCATTCTGAAAGCGATATGCATACATTATGCCCGAGAAGCCAGCACCTATGGTGACGATTCGCATTCGACGATTTCCTGGGTCTAGGTAAGTGACGTCAGGGACGAAATACCCATTCGAATTCGTGTGCGGCGGCGGTTCTCGCTGGTCTCTATCCATTTTCTCGCGCTTTGATAGACTGGTTGGCTTATCCCTTTTAGTACAATGAAGTTGTCCCGGATGGCATGCGCCTTGGGAGAGTCCGGTTTAACGGAATAAATCAAAATTCCCTTGCGCATTCCAAGTCATCGTATGTCACTTCATTCAATCGGATTGGGGGTGGGCTTTGGGTTAAATAGAGCGGAATATGTGTCGGTCTTGAAGCTTTCCCATCCGAGGTACCATTGATGGACGCAAGTCTTGTGAATACTGCAGGACCAATGCTGTCGGCTAACTGTTGGCCCATCATTTAGTTGTCTTGGTAATTCCGAACCTCTTGTCATAATACATAAACTAATAACCCGCATCAATACTTGTCAGACAAGCTTAGGTGACTTGTCCCCGGAAGCCAACATCATACAGTCAACAATTCCGGAATTCCGGTCCCGGTACGGCGACTCTGTGAAAGAACTCTTCAATGTTCCACGGTAATTCGGCCCATGTTAGATGAGCTCGTAGCGTTGCGAGGCCACGGGATGATAACTGCCATGTCACAGACGGTCCGGGAACTTTCGTTGCTTCTCCAGAGACAGTCCTGCCGACGGACATCAGATTCGTCAGCAAAGCGCCCATGTTTGACTTGGCTGGTCAATTATGGAAGCTTCGACTCAAAGACTCAGATAAATAACTGGCGACAAACCCACACTACTCGATTTTGCGATCCTAGCGGAAGGAGGCACCCGTGAGTCACCTCATCTGACCTTGACATGAAGCGGTTTCACATGGCAGTGATCTTGCTCCATATGTGAGATCTTGCGCGAATGTCTGTACATATGTACCCATGTCCAGAGTTTTATCATGATATCCCCAACTGTCTGCGACCTACTCCGCAACAGGAAAATGTACCGCATCCTATTAGAATTGGCTTTCTGGCATTCCCCAAGATGCGAGACGCGCTGATTGATCGTCCCGAGATCCATCAGACCCGAAAACGCGCATTCGAGCGGAATTTCGCCAGTTGTTTAAGGCTTCAGTGGCCGAAAGCCAAACCACTCTTGATCATGAACGATGAGGGTGAGATCGGGCTCGACCCTGCCTTTGAGGCATTTGCCAAAAATATTGACCACTGGGTCCTCATTGATGAATGGCACGACGCATATCCAACAATTAGCGAGCTTGTCAATCGTGTGGGGATTTGAACGGTCTGTTGACAATGAGTCCAAGACTGCTGGCGCAAACACGATCCGTACCCGGCCCTTATTTTGATATGGATCGACGGCAAATCACGCTCTGTTACAAAAACCGTTGATCCGTCAAGCTGGCTCGGCTTCCCCTTCAACTTGGGATTTCTAGTGAGATACTGCGTTTCAGGGTGTCCGGATACGTGATACGGGTTACCCATATATACAAAGTCCATATACATGAGGAAGTGACCTGTGAGTCGTCCCGTTTTCAAGCCCTCCGCAGAGTGAATGGCTACAGTCGCCACATGCGCGATTTCTTTACAAATTTTTATATCTGGAAAGTCCTTCTCAGATGGCGGTGAGGTGAACAGCCAACAGACGGCCAATTCTCTTGATTCTTGCTAATGGTCGCTAGATGGGTGGAAATTATGAGCTGGACCACCGCCGCTTAAATAACAAGCCCCGAGGTGTTACTGAGGTACGAAGTGACCTGTGCTTCCCGTGACGGAGTCCCGGTCCTTCGACATATATATCTACCCGAAAATGATATGGCAAGATTTAGGAATGAAGTAGAATGGAAATGCCGTGGTGATCTTTCAAGCTATTTGGAGCACAGAGGCTCCAGCTAGACTCCTAAAGCGGAGAGTCACGCTGTCAACATGGACACGAATATTAAAATTGACCTTTTAGAAATCCTTCAATCAACACTCATAAATTAGAATGAAGATCCATCCCCAAAGGTCTCCGATTAGGTTCGCCCATGTCCAGGCCCTCAGCAGCGTGAATATTTGGGCCCCAGTGGACAACGGAACATTCCTTCCTTGGTAATTGGCGGTCGAAAGCCTCATTGCAGATGAATTTTATTGCAATATGGCGCCTTCGAAGGAATTCTGGCCGAGAGACCGCGACATATGCTTGCTAGACTTGGGACAATCATCTGGGAATAGATCCTGTTTATCACCCAAGAGTCCGCTCCATGCCGGTAGCCTACTGTACTTTGTTGTACCTGTAGTGACCCTAAATCTGTGATCGAAGTAATCCTCATACCCTTCTGGGGGAGATGCTCGGTTTCGCTAGTCCAACCTCTCCCATCGCGAGTAGGGGTATTGCCATGCCCTGAGTCAAACAGTGTTCCCATGCTTGTCTTTCTGGGCCCGGTGGATTTCCACGGCTTCTGTCGTGTAAAGTAGTCCGTAACCATCAGAAGATACCAAAGCATTGCTGATACTGTGGACGAGAATCTTCATGTTGCAACGGTTGATTTGATCCAGTGATTTGATCCAATGATTTGACTCGACATCTGGTCTCGAGATCAAGCACTCTCGAGATGATCTAGCAAGTTCCCACGCACCCTTGAGAGCAATACCCTGAGTTTGTGTACTGGCTCCGAGGACTCCCATTTCTCCTGAATGACTTTAGAAGGTTTAAAGTGGATGTTTTGTACAGCTCGATAAGCTGCAACTGTGACTGAAATGTGCAAACTTGTCAGCTCTGGGGCGTATTGAAGCTGACTGAAAACGAATGTCTCAAAGAAAGAAGACTTGAGTGTTGGGCGGAGATCCAAGTGAGCACAACCGCTGTCTAGCCAAGCGCAAGCTTCGAGACCATGCTCATCGTATTCCCAGCCGAGTCGTGAGAATAATTAATCTTGCTATCGAAGCTCCAGAACACCCTCCCAATCGATTAGCATACACACTCCGGCGGACCCATCAAACGAACAGCATGATAGCATTCTTTAGTTATGGGACTAATACCAGCTCCTGGGCTAAGCTACTCCATGATACAATTGAGCCAGACAAAGGGGGCACAGAATCGTTACACGCGACTCGTAAAAGCCAAGGGGAGCCGAATCCTCCCTTCACTGCCACGTGCTGGGAAATGGGCTTCACCGCAACCAGTAAGGTACCATCCGTTGTCATCCATGTCCTGAGTCAGCGCGCTACCTAGCCTCCCCGTAGATGCCTCGTATTGCAAGCCTGGACGACTCGTCCACTGTTGAAAGCTCCACAAAACTCCCGATCGAGACCGCTCGTCACCATTGTGGGGCCCCAGATTTCTTGGAGCTCACACAGCCAAGAATTGGAGAGGGGATTGCAGTGCAGCTTGGCTGGGATTCAAGGAATTCCGGAGGTCCGCAAGCTTGTTTCGGGCCTCTTGGAGGCAAGGAGAAATTCAGTCTCTCAGCTTTCGAATTCATCCTTGGTCAACAAGCACAATTTTATGGATGGCGGCCCTAGGAGAAGAACGACTAACGCTCTTTCCAATGAATGTGTCTGTCAGTTTGATCCGGTCCGGTATAATTCCGAGCAGCGAACATTATTGCTAAAGGATGGAATGACAGCACGCCTAATTGGGGAGAGCGACCCCAAGAGCGGTAAGGCTGCGAAATAAAGGGATTATTTCTGGGCAGCGATGTGCTAAGCAGCGAAGAACCCGGAGTAACTCCGAATGATCTTCTAATTGGCCGCGTATTGCCGAGTCACGTGCAAGTGTCCTTAGGTTCAATACTGTCGATCACATGATATGGGCCATTAGGTCTCAACTCGCACGGCAGGTAACAGGAATGCTCACATCTTGTTGATGAGTTAATTGATTTGATAACAACCTATCGACGCATGCCATGTCTTATCATAAGGTCGACACCAAATAGTACTGCCAGGACACAAGGGTATCACGATGCCTTGGTAAGGTTGGATGAAATTGACCGTCACTCAAAGATTAGACAGAGATGGGAAATAACAAAATTTCGACCTCGAGGACATTGTCTCCTAGCTACGCACTGCCACGGGAGCATAGATGGAGAGCAGAGTTCCATTTCATGTGATTCTATTCTAAGCACCGTTGCTTGTCACGATATAGAACATACTTTGCTAGGAGCTGCGTGTTGTGTTAACAAGGTGTACCAGTGTTCCTTCCGTGAGTCCACCTACCTTAGAAAAACAGTCTTGACTTGGTGTAAGCAAGGATACTATCGAAGCCACCCTCGCTGCCGTAGCCTGATTGCTTGACCCCACCAAAAGGAGTTTGTGCGCTCACCATCATCATTGAATTAATACAGACGGTGCCGGACTCTATAGCACTCACCATCCTCTCTGCCCAGTCGACTTGCTTGGTGAAGGACCCGGCCATCAAACCAAACTCGGTATCGTTGGCCAGAGCAATGACCTCCTCCTCGGTCGAGAAGCGCTTCACCACTGAGACTGGTCCAAATATATCTTCTTCGTAGACCTTTGTGTTCGGAGTAGGATCTGCGAAGACGGTCGGATGGATGAAGTAGCCCTGTTGATATCAGATATTTCACGTCAGCAGATGGAACGTGCGACGACTAGCCTGTGTAACTGGCACTCGACTGACCTTGTTCCCCATTCGGTCGCCCCCAAGGACGAGCTTCGCTTCGTCTTTCCCGCTTTCGATGTATGCCTGAACACGCTCAAGTTGTAGCTTGTCGGCCACGGGGCCATAAGTCGTGGATGGATCGCCGGGGATGCCTTTGCCGCCGGCCATCTGTTTCAAGATTGCAGTATAGCGGCCGAGAAAAGCGTCGTACACCTCGCTCTGGACGTAGACTCTCGATCTAGCGATACAGTACTGGCCACAGTTGGCAGTTATGGCGGTCGCAGCCCTAGAATCTGGCTTAGTTCCCACGCGTGCTTGTTGAGTCAAGACGAGAACGACGGTCATCTTGGAGTTACCAGAAAGCGGCAGCATCGAGGTCGGCATCTTCAAATACGATGACGGGGCTTTCCCCGCCGAGTTCCAGAGTCACACGCTTCAAATTCGACTTGGCCGCTACCTCCTGCACTTTCTTGCCTGTTGAAATGGAGCCTGTGAATTAATGCACTGACAATGGCTTCTGCAAGATGCAGCTACATGTTGAAAAAGTTTCATACATTGTATGCATTGACACTTAACGCCACAACCCTATAGCTTAGGCACCAGCAAGAAGCTCTCAGCGTGCTCCCCACCCAGATGGACCCTATGGTGGCCCTTGTTGAACTGCGGCTCTTGGTGCTTGACGTGCGGGTTATCCCACTCGGGCAGCACCATGGTCTTGCCCGAGATCTGCAGCCGCAGGCCTTCGCCCTTTTCGTAAACAATCCCCATGGGCCAGATGCCGATGTTCATCTCGACCACGTTCCCAGGCTCGACGTAGTCGGCCCGCAAGTGCGGATGGACGGGACAATACTCTGTCGACTTGTCCGGGTCGATCGCCCGGTGCGAGGCGCGCAGGATGCCCGTTGGCCCGAGATACTTGGTCGGGTTGACGTTGGCGACCTCCTTGACGGATTTGACAGGGAGTTCATGCAGAGGCACATTGGACTGCTCCATTAGTTCGCCGTCGACGGACAATTTGCGCAGCATGACATAAATGTCCAGGTCGTTGTGTTCTTTGCACGACACAAAGATCTTAAGTTTCGAGAAGCCCGCCAGCGTCGTCCGCTCGGGGAAGATGTAGTCGTACGTCACCATGTCGCCGTTGGTCGAGTCGTAGGAATGCACGGCCTCGGCTGCGCTGGGCGAGTCTGCGAGAGTCTTGTTGGACGTGAGGTACAGCTTGGTGTATTTCGTGCGGGGGATCGGGTAGTCGGTCTCGACCTGGTCGTAGAGGGGGTACTACATAGGTTTTGGGTGGGTTGTTAGCTCTTGTAACGCAAGGGGAAGAGTGTACTCTGCAGATAGATGCCTACCTTTTCCCCAAACCGATACATCGACACTCGCACTTTCGGCGTGTTCTCCCACCCATTTTCCTCGCCCTTGAGATACCGTGTGAAGAAGCGGTCCAAGTCGTCCACAGAGCGGTAGTGGTAATCCTCATACCACTCCTGGTGCGGGTGGAAACGGAGCCACTTTTTATCCGTAGCTGTATCTCTCCACGCCCGGACTGAGCCCATGGTGTGCAGCATGGTCGAGTACGAAGCGAGGATGTACGAGGGAATCTTGATGCGACTAAAGTCGACGCGCTTCGATTCCCAGTACGCGTCGTAGAATCCATGGGCGTCGCCCATCTCGGTGACGGCTTCTTGGAGGCCGTGGCCTTGTGAAACGAAGGAGAATTAGCTCCAGGAACGAGGGGGACCAATGTATGTGGCAATCACTTGTAACTCACCTGGAATACCCATCAGAACCCATTTCAAGAAAGGCGCCCACGGAATTCCTCCCCGCCGGCTCAGATCACGGTAGACGTCGCTGAGTCCTTCCCACGGGGCAATGGCTTTGAGATGAGGCGGCTGCTCCATTGCGGCCCAGTACTGGACGACGCCGAGCCACGAGTTGCCAGCCATGCCAACGGCGCCGTTGCACCACTCGTATTTGGCCGCGAACTCGATGATGTCGTAACAATCCTCGCCTGCAAATATCATCAGCAAGGCTGGATTTTCAATTCACAAGTACACGCTGACGGAAGGGATCGATCTACTTGCCCTCTTTGCGACCAAAGTAATGTAAATTTCCCTCGCTGTCGAATGATCCGCGAGCGTTTGGGTCAAGGATCGCATAGCCCCGACGACACCATTCGTTGGGGTCAGGACTATATTTGGTATTATCAGTCAGCCGGCCTGGATGGCAAGCTTGATTCTGGGGTGACCAACCCTTCAAATTTCTCCAGACCGCTCTGGCGACTCTTTGGCACTCCGACCCGGTAGGGCACCACGTCCATCAAGTTCGCTCCGCCGCCTCCTTTTCCGTATGGCGAGTATGGCATAATGATGGGGATCTTCTTGCCGCCCGTGTCGGCGGGTCGGTAGATGTCTGCATATATCTAATAGCAGGTTGTCAGTAAATCAATTTGTTGTATTCAATACACCGTAATGAGTACCTTGACTCCATCTCGCATGACAATCTCAACGTCCTTCTCAAAGATGATGTCCAGCTCCAACGGCATGTTCTCGGGCGTCTTTTGCCATCCTCGCGGCAGCACGCGCTTCTCGTACCCAAACGGGATGGTGACCACTTTCACGGGCCTGTTGGGCTCGTCCCCCGGGATTGCCTCTTGCCATATCCACTCGAACCCGTCGTTGGGGATGGTCCCCTTGTTGTAGCCCGGCCAGGATTTATCGATTGGCATTTCTGGATTTTCTAGCCGTTGCGAGAATAACAAATGAGGAGGAATGTGATTGTGAGTGTTGGCCTTGGCTTATCCCATGTGCTCGTGCATGGTATATGGAAATTTGGCAAGTGGGCGTCATGGCCTTATTTGAACTGTTTGATCTCAGGCTCAAGTACGAGGAGGAGGCCGTAGAGAGCGCGGGCGCAGTGCCGGCCGGAAGGTCCTTCGAGACTCCATACATGGTGGTAGGTGTGTAGGGTGGGAGTATTCGAGCACCGTTTGTACGAGTGTTTGCCATGCTGGATTGTTGGTGGCCGGGATAGAAAAAAGCCGTTCCTAGTAGTTGACGATGATCGTCCCCATACTTTTTTTGGATGGAGTTGGATGGGCCATGGCCATTTTCGCAAAGGATGTCACAGCCAGTCATGTCCCTCGACGTCCACCCAACTCGGGACTTGGCGTTTTACCACTTCCAGCATCGCCATTTATTGTGATCCGGTCTTCTGAATGCCGTGCTGAGAAATCTAGTCTCTTGAGTCCTCCTCTCGGGGGCTTGCCGGGTTGCTGAGACCAGACCCTTTCAGCCTTGCATGGGCGACGGTGTTTAAAGTCAACACCGAGACACTACTTGCCACAAAATCGGCTCTCGCTACCTGCTACCAGCTGCCAGCTATAACCGTCAAATCCCTATGCGTCGGCTGAAAGCGAGAAGCCTTTAAGAGCAAGCAGAAGACCATTTGGTAGATAGAGCGCACCGCTCAGTGAACATGGACGTCTACAACAACTAGTTGATTGTAGCGACCGTCCCGCTCTGATAAATCCAAACCGTGCCTTCTCCAGAAGTGACAGCCAGTCTTAGCTGAGCGTTCACCATCAGCGATGATTGTAATATTGACTTCTAGCACCCATCCAGTGTCAAGCTTCGAGTTGAGTAATCATTAAAAATATACGGAATTGTAAGCTGTGTCTACTGCGAAGAACCACTCGGGTAGGCGAAGGGGTTCCGCGCAGTAGCAAATCTAATGAGCCGAGTAAGCCCAATGTAGGTACTTAGTGAGCCCCCAGTGCTAGGGATGGTAGGCGGTAGAAAAAGGCTGTTACGCCCCCAGAAACGCCAACTGCGCCCATAACTCTAACTGAGTATTAGGCTCTTGGCGGTGCACCGTGGTTCACCCATTTCTCATTTGCCCATCCATCTCCAGCATGTTCCTCGTATAAGGTCAGTCTCCCCCACAAATCCGACTCTTACCCTCGGAGTACAAGCTCTCACCACTTCTCAGAATACCATCATGGATGCCTCTATGGACGATATGCTCACAGGAGAGGGCTCCGATACTTCGAGTCACGAAAACAACGGCACGGAATCAACCTACGAAGGGCATGCTAGCGAGAAACCAAAAAGAGGCAAACAAGCTCGTGCATGTGGAGAGTGTAACAGGTACTATTCAATCTCCCAGCTGTAAAGGGTGCTGCTCTGTCTAAGACTCCCAAAGGAAGAAGATCAAATGTGCGCCACCTCCGCAGACCTATATCCAATGCGTGCGATTGACCATGAGAAGGTGACAAGCGCACTCCAAGGTGCTCTCTGTGCGCTCGAACTGGGCAAGACTGTTATTACCCAAAGAAAAGACGACCGGCAACTCGCCCCTGGCAGTTGAGCGCCAGCCCGCGCCGTCTCCTGGAGTTGGAGGGAGAAGAAGGAATAAGTGAGTCAGCTGAATCGTTCGAGGCACAACGACGACGAGCTAAAACGTTTCATTCCAGACCGAATTCTCGACTTGCTGGATCTCAGTATGCTGGAAAATGCTCTATTGCGACGGAGAGAGAGACGAGACAGCCTTTCAAACACCACCTCGCAGTCTCCCCAGGTCCCCCTGACGCCTGCTTTCTCTCCTAACCACGGTGTGCAGATCACGATAAACGACCTAGAAAATGGACTGCTTTGTACAAACGACATGAACTCTGGTCTTGGACTTTTAACTGGACAGAATGAAACTCGATTCTTCGCAGACGTCTTCGATCCCAGTCTAGGACCCTGGCTAACGGACGGCTTCTCAAACGGCCAGGCTCCAGAAACTCTCCTGGGAAATGTAGGGGAGATGCTGGATATTCCTCTGCTGCAAGCGCAAGATCCTGGAGGCGCTCTCGAGATGAACTATAATTTTCAGTTCGGTTTCTTTCCGGCACCCAATACAAACTCAACGAGTCAAGGAAATACCAAGTCTAATCGATATTCGATGCCGTTCCCTGCCATGGTCGTGGACGATATGTGAGTGATACAATACTTGCACGTATGTCAATGCCCAATGCTTACTGTACTTAGCATCGATGCATTCTTCAAGTATGTGTCTGGATGGCTACCGCTCTTTCACAAACCGCGATTCTATGCAAAATATAATGTGTATGGTCAAGATACCGAGAAATATCAGAGTCTCTGTTTGGAAGACTGCCTGATCCTCGATACGATCTGCGCCCTAGCCGCCCGCTTTTCTACATCTTCATATTTCGCCCATTTACCCCCGAAGAGTCGGGCTGAACCGTTTCTCACCCAGGCCACGCAGCTATTTCAGGACGCCATGAAACTCGATGCGGCAATCCAAGCGAATCTATCCTTGCTACAGGGATTAATTCTTCTGGGCTGGTATCATCAGGTGTGTGGCTCCAGTGGGCGATGCGGCAATCTCATTGGTATCTCTTGTCGTTTGGCGTATGACCTAGGACTTAACAACATCGACCATGACATCTTGGAGTCCAAATCCGCAGTCCAATGGACGTCGACAGAAGAATGGAGCAAGAAAGAAGAACTCCGTCGGGCTTGGTGGTTGGCTTGGGAGCTCGACATGTTCTCGGGGACGATTCTGAAACGGCCACACACCATTGATAAAACTCACATAAACGTCCTGCTGCCAGTATCGGATGAAGCATGGTTCTCTGATACGCCGGTTGCATCCGTCGCAGTTATACATGACCCACTACACGTTTGGAAGACACTCAAAGATTCTCCCAACGACGACGACAGGGCTTGGTTCCTCATAGCGTCGTTCCTCAGGGCGTTTGCTCACGATATAATCCACAGACGGCATACGACAGCGCAGACGATATGCGACTTCCAGTCCTCCATAACTTGCTTCTCTCTGATTCTTCCTCAAAGGTTTCATCTTTCCACGAACTGTCTGAGCTATGATGAGTCCAGTTTTGCCGCAAACAATTGGATTGTGTGCACTCATTTAATCCTGCAGTCGTAAGTCCTTCATGCGAAAGTCTAACATATCAAGATCCCACACGCTGATCTGAGGCAATAGGAGTCGCTCGTCACTTCGACTGCTTTGTAATCGGAAGTTCCCAGAGCATTTGGATGTCTCACTGGAAACATCAGCCTTGGAAGATGAGAAGTTGGTGTGTCGCGTTATTAGGGAATGGGACCCTAACTATATCGCTCGAACATGTCCTCTGGTTACCACGACCCTTCTTGGACCCGCGGCCATCAACGCCAAAACAGCGTGCGAGTTGGCTGCCCACCCGGACGAGAGCCGGCCGATATACCTCGAGATGTTGAAGCTAGTTCTCGGGGCGATAGGCTCGTTCTGGCAGATCGGTGCTTCTGTGCTAGGTGAGAGCATCTACTATCTGTCCGCGGTCTCTTGTCCCTCTAACCATTTTCTAGAACTTGTACAGCTGCTCGAGGCTCGTCGGTCTATCACCGAGCTGGTCAATGCCCGCAAGAATGATCTGGATCGACTTCCTCTCCTTTTGCCCAAAAATGATGAAGATTCCAGCAGCTGAAGCGGCATACAAAAGGTCAAGAAATGATTGTTGCCACAGATATAGACGCACAACAGCAGTTCAAAATAGCCGCTTCCTGCTTTCTCCCCTTATACCGGACTGACTCGAGCCTGAGATTCGTCATGTGGGACAGGTGGAGAATATTGCATCTACTGCGCATGATCCAAAACTCCCAGCTTCTCGCTAACCAAGATCTGCGACATGCGAGGGTTCAATGATCTCGTCGTCAATGCTTCAAGATTCCTACCACCTCTGGCCCAAGTCTTCAATGTGGGGTTACGATGCTCTCTGGCTTGGCCACAACACGAGGCCAAGGCTAGCTCCCCGGGGCCCCATGGGAAAGTTCACGTCCCACCCAACCTACTGGACTCTCAGTGTTCTCAAGGCATAAATAGTCAGGTGTGTCGTGGAGAGAATTTTCGTGGAACTCAGCTGGCTCTTGAATAGACAATCTTCCTCAACCGGCTTGACTAGTCTTCACTGAGACGTGGCCTTGTCTTTTACACAGACAAGTGGTTCTCAACACAGCCATGGCGTCGATTTCTTTGCTTGACTCGCATGGTGATGTCGATCTGATAACCCCACCAGATGTTTCTGCGAGCACCTTGAGACAAGCATTGAAAGAAATCAGTCTGATAGTCGGGCCGGAGAATGTCGACATTTGTACCAAGGAGGCGATGAAACCTGACGAGGATGGGCACTACTACAACCTCCCGAAAGAACATGACCTGTTCTACGTTTTGGAAAAAGATATCTTCCTCGCGAGTGCGGTTGTCCGGCCAAGTTCAACAGAAGACGTGTCCGCCATTGTAAAACTGGCTAACAAGTACTTGACACCATTGTGGCCTGTCTCTATGGGTCGAAACCTTGGTGCGCACGAGATCTGTCACAGGGTTGCTAACGACAGCTGAACAACTACAGGGTATGGAGGTTCCGCACCCCGTCTTCGAGGGAGCATTGTTCTTGACATGGGTGCCCGGATGAACAAAGTGCTTCAAGTCAGCGACCGAGACTGCACCTGTCTGCTCGAGCCTGGTGTTTCGTACTTTGCCCTCTACGACTATCTTCAGAAGAACGGATTCAAGCACCTATGGATTGACAACCCTGACCTGGGAGGCGGCTCCGTCATCGGCAACGCCCTGGATCGAGGTGCTGGCTACACTCCTTACGGAGAGCACTTTTCAATGCATTCCGGCATGGAAGTCGTCCTGCCAACCGGCGAAGTGATGCGGACAGGGATGGGAGCCCTGCCGAACAACAACACCTGGCAGACATTCCAGTACGGATTCGGCCCGTATCCTGACGGCATCTTCACCCAGTCGAACTATGGCATTGTCACGAAAATGGGCTTTTGGCTCATGCCGGACCCTGGTGTAAGACGTCTCCCACTATGTGAGGGAGTTATTCGTCAATGTACTCGGGCGAGCTAACACATTCGTTCAGGGCTACCAAGCCTACCTGTTCTCTTTCCAGAACGACACCGATCTCCCGGCTATAGTTGAAGCTATCCGTGTTCTACGGATTGGCATGGTCATTCAGAACGCGCCAACAATCCGATCAACGCTCCTCGATGCTGCCGTTTATGCCCCAAAGTCTCACTACACAGATTCCAAAGACGTCCTCACAGATGGCGAGATCGGCGGGATCGCTCAAAAGATAGGGGTTGGCCGATGGAACATTTACGGTGCCATGTACGGACCGAAACCAATGCGCGACCTTCAGTGGGAAGTTCTGAAGAATACTTTTATGCAGATTCCGGGAGTGAGTCTACCTAATGGTTATCCTATCGCGGGCCTGAGAATTAGTGGCTTTTCCCCCTTTTCTGAGTTTCTGACTCCATTTTACAGGCGAGATACGAATTCCCCGAACCTCTCAAAGAAGGATCCCAAAAGACCGTCCTACACATGCGCGAGGAGACCCTCAAGGGGATCCCGAACACGTACGAGCTGGGCTGGCTAGACTGGACCTGCAAGCGCGGCTCGCTACTGGGATTCTCTCCCATTTCGCCCGCCACGGGTGTCGACGCCGACAAACAGTACGCGATGGTGAAGCGGAGACTGGGCGAGTTTGGGTTCGACTACCTGGGCACTTTTGTCGTGGGATGGCGTGAACTTCACCACATTGGTTCGTCCGATATTTCTTCATTTGAGAGAAAACTTTGGGGGAGAAAATTGATCACTGATTTGTATTATAGTGTGCCTCACATTTGACAAGTCGGACCCTGATTCACGCAGACGGGCACACCGATGCATTGAACTGTTGATCGACGACGCCGCAGCCGAGGTACGTACATCCCTGTTCCCCTCCCTTTTGTTGAAGGTCCTTCTCCCATCCACCAGTCTGTCCGGACTTTGTCCCCTCAAAGAAGATACATACCAGTCTATCTATCTCCTTCAAGATCATTCCTCTAACTAACCCTCCTCGCCCTCGTCCACGTACAGGGCTACGGCGAATACCGCACTCACCTGTGCTACATGGACCAGATCGCCAGCGTGTACAACTGGAACGGCGGGGCGTCGATGAAATTCAACCAACAGCTAAAAGACAGTCTCGACCCGAACGGCATCCTCGCTCCGGGCAAGAGTGGCGTGTGGCCGGCGCGGCTGCGCGGGCGGGGGTTCGAGATTCAACGGACACAGCCGTACGTGCGTGAGAATGGGAACGGGGATAAAAGGAGATGAGCGAGAGCGTAGCCACCTGTGACGAGAATTGAACAGTTTCGGGTTGTGGCGAGATACTTACCTTCCTATGTGCCTACATATGTACCAACCTATGTATGTGCGTATGTAGGTAACTATACAGATGTTGGAAAAAGGCCCCACATGCGAACCCTACCAATTACCCACCGCCCGACCCAAAGAGGCTAGTCATGACATCCGCCGTGCCATGTGGAGACACTTCGAGAGACGATACCCAGACACCTTGTTTGCCGTCCAAGGTTTCAAGGTTGATGGTAGGTTACCTACTACCCATGAGGGCTACCTACTCTCGACTCCTCAGGTATTGGGTATCAAGTACTAGGTATCCCAGGGACAATGTAGTACGTAGTGTGTAGCGGAAAATATAGCTTCCTAATTGGCCGTTGTACGAACCGGCTTCTGGTACGGTATATGACTACTTCGTTCTGGGCTGGTTGTTGGCCAGTGATAAGTTGTAAGACTGTACCTTGTACTGATATCCTGCTCTTCCCATCCACGAGTATTCGTATTCGTATTCATGTTCTGTCTTGATGCGCATGCCTCGTGTAATGTACACGCATGCATTGACCCGTCGTCCAGTATCCATGTCCATATACATCCCCCAAATTCTCCTCATCCCATTCCTTGGCTCACTCACTCACTCGCCCACTCGTCAATATCCACACCAGCAAAAGCCTTGAGCCAGCCACGGGGCGCGTCCGGCGCGAAGAACAGCTCTCCACTCCGATTACTTCGGGTAATGAGATCGATCGCGCGCGGGGCCATCAGTTTCTCGTACTCTGCCACGGCGCGGTCCAGGTCGTTTATCCCGTACTTGATGATCTGCTGGGCGAGTTCGAGACTGTCTGTCAGGGCGCAGTTGACGCCTTCACCTACGAAAGGGGGGCTGTATGTGCCAGTAAGTTAGTTAGTTAGGTACTTCGAGCTCAGTGTGTAGCGGTGTCAACATGCGAACAGGAAGGGGAGGGGGAGAGGGGACAAGGGGATTGTATGTAGTGCTGTGATCTTGCTTACCCCAAATGCGCAGCGTCTCCTACCAGGGTGATACCAGACACGGTCGTCCATGGCAGCGACGCAGTCGGCATAGCGTATAGCGGCCAGGCATAGACCTTCCCGTCACTGTATGTGATCAGATCCGTGTGCACCTGCGGCCAGTCTGCCAAGTGTTCGTCGCACAACCACTGACGCAGCGCCGACGGGTTCTCCAAGATCGTTGCATTCTCCGTGCTCCAGTGCTCAGGGAGGGGCAAGCCTACGCCGACGTAGTAAGTGCCGTCGCCGAGTTTGAAAACAACGATCTGCTTCCCCGCGCCAAAGGCAATGTAGCTGCCCTGTCCGGCCAGCGCGGCGGCAGATTCGTGGAACGGATTCCCCAGGCTGATCGTGGTGGTCAAGTAGTGTATTCCAGAGTACTCAGGTTTGGCCGATGTGACCTATTAACCGCCGTCAGGCACTGAAGAACCGGGCTGGGAAATGGACAGAGACAAGACGGGGGAGACTGACGAGATTCCTAGCTTTCGACCATGCTCCATCCGCGCCGACGACGAGGCGAAAGCCCGACTCGACTCTCCCGTCCGCAAACTGCACAGACATTGACCCGTCGGGGTCTTGCTGCACCTGTTGGGCCTTGCAACCCCAGCGGACCTTGCTCTCTGGAACGGAGCTCAGGAGCAGCGCTCGTAAGTCCTTGCGGTCAATCTCAGGTCTGTCCTCGTTGGCATCGTCGCAATCACCCGTCCTGACGTAGACTCTGCCTTGCCCGTCTGCCAGCACTGTATGTGCGTCGGTACGGGCGAGCTCCTTGAACCGGTCTAGTAAGCCAGCCTCCTGAAGAGCAACCTGGCCAGAGTCGGCGTGGATATCGAGGGTACCGGCTCGTGAAGAGGTCTCATTTCCTGATACGTCTCGTTCGAAGATGATGTAGTCGATATTGGCGAGTTCGAGCATGCGGCCGAGCATCAAGCCGCTGGGGCCGGCGCCGAGGATAGCGATAGACGGTGCCATGACGGAACTCTTTGGAGAAAACTAAAGTGAAAGAGAAATCAATTTCCAGCTTGTGAGTATCAAAGGCCATCTTTTATATTATGATCAAGATTGTACTGCTCTTGGTGAGGTGTAGTGGAGGTAAATTGGGTACCTATTGTTGCCAGAATATTAAGCTCCGTAAGTTCCGACGGAGGATATTCGGCACTTAATTTGGTCTTGGCGAGCCAAATACATGACGAGTGCCTCTCACCGACATCCACCCCTACCCATCTTACAACCATCAGCAAATCTGACTATGACAGAGACACTCGCCCGTTATGCTGTAAGTCCTTGTCAATGACTTCATCGGAACCTCTAAACTGATCACATTGGCGGCTGAAGTGCGACAAATGCCGATCCCGCAAGGTGTGTCAACCCTACCAACTCGCAGACATGGAAGACGGCTGTGACTGATCCATTCGCAGGTTGCATGCTCGAGAAGCCAGCCTAGTTGTCAACGCTGTGAAGAAGAAGCTACTTCTTGCTCGTATTCACGGTCGGGCCTCATTCGCCGAAATAGACAAAAGCGGAAACAAGCCAACAGTGTCTCTGATCAGTCGACTTCTAGTGCGGTCATTGGCAGCCACGCTGGCGAAGTAGCTCCCAACAACCTGCAGTCTAGCCTGGCAACTGATATAGATGCGACTCGGGAGCGCTTGCACGGTCTCGGCACGTCGCGACAAACCTCTCTGGGAGCGCTCTCGTCGCTGGCTCAAACCTCTGCGGCTGTTTGGCAAGATTCTCTGGAGCTCGGCAAGGCTGCTAGGACGTTTTATTTGTTCAAAGATCGGGCAGTCTCCTGGGTCAATAGTGAGCGCTGTAGTCTGTACAACAGAGAATACCTGCTGACACAACTTGCGATAGCCTTTGAGGCCGAGTTGAAACGTGATCGTCCTTGCTGTCTCACCCCGCCTCCCGAAGTCCTGGGCCACTTGCGAGCATCTTGTCCCGGGAAGGTGAGAGATCGAGCTTGGTTGGTCATGTACTATGGTATCATCCTCAATCTCGTCTGCGAAACCGACCCCGTGGACGAATCCACAAAATCAAAGCTTCGATCAAACCTCTTGCTCGCCCTCAACGATGCCAGACTCCACCTCGAACCCAGCGAAGTGAACATCCAGGCATTGCTTCTGCTCGCTCTTGATGTCGAAGAGTTCACCACTCCAACACTTTGTTGGATGATGGTCACAAACGCATGCAGGATGCTGCAGGCGTTGGGTGTGAACCACCGCCGATTCGACTCTCCAACCCGAGACCGGCGCGTCATGATGTTTTGGCATCTGTATCTGGTGGATATTGGACTGGCTCTCATCTTTGGCAGATCGCCTGCCTTCCACCGCGGAATGCCTATGGGGATACCCGTCCCAGCGGTAAAGCGGATCTTGTCGTCTCAGCAAAATACTGACCCGTCTGGCACACCAGCGTTGTTCGGAGTGCGTGAGTGAAATGGTTGTGATGACCCCAAACCACGGACAAGAACTGATATGAGCTTCAGATTACATCCACTCAATGTTCCTCCTATCACTCATAATGGGTGATATCTGGTATCATCTTCATGAAGATCTGATGCCTGATTGCAAGGACATCGAATCAACCAGCGAGAGTCTTGAGTCCTGGTATCTCAGTACAATTCAGGTGTGTAGTAATCTCGACGGAGCTGGGTCTTCAAAGACACTGACATGCCACGCAGACTCTCGAAGCTGCTTCCCTCACAGAGAAAGCATTTCTCGACGCCGAAGATGCTGCTGCCATTGACCTAGCTCTGAGAAACGTCAGTTTCCAGTACGAGTATCTCTATATCCTCCTCGCTCGATCTTCACCCCGGATGAGAGTCCAATGTATTGAGTCGTCGAAACGGATGCTTTGTCTGCTCGAGAAGATGGGGTTGGACGAGTCCCATGGTTCAGCTACCGGCATGGTATGGCACCTTTTGTGTGCACCCTTTACGCCGTTCTTGGACCTTTTCGGCGAACTTATTTCGAATGGTGCGGGCGGATCAGACAACAATCAGGCAGCACTGGCAGCCATGGAGCACCTCCCTGTCTTCTTGGGGAAGATGAGCTCGAGGAACTCGCTTGCCGCCAAGCTCAAGAGTGTCGCTGAGGTTTTGGTGCAGCATGCCCGATCGGTGGTTAACCCTCAAGGTATGCAATTGGCCTAGCACAAAAAAAGTGGTGTATCTGACCAGCCATTTCCTGTCCACCAGACCGCAATGGTGCCAATCCAGTGGCCCCTCCTTTTCTCGCAGAACCAGCGCCCGATCACTGGCCAAATGCTCTGAGTTGGGATTCATTCTTCAACCACAACATGTATTCCCCTGATCTTAACTACAATCCGCAGGCAGAGAACGTTGGTGCTGAGCCGACCGATTTGACAGCATGGACGAATGACTTCTTCGACAACGCTTTTGTAGACTGGGCGGGGTGGAAACCTCGAGTTTGAGGTTTCTAGGGCGTCAATTGTCAGGGTTGACCTGACGTAGAGGATTGTTCGATACTGTACAGACAAGGCCAGATTGGATGATATCCCTGGCAGTTGACGATACATTGCCGTAACTGTCGTCTTCGGCCCATAGAGGACAAAAACATTGTTCCTCTCCGTCAGAGGGGCTTTGTCAAGGGACATCAACGTCAAGATCCCGACCATTCAAAAGCAGTGGTGCTGGCTGGAACTTGCGTTGACGTCCTTGGTGTACTTGCATTTGGGATCCCTCAACTCGAAGTTTCTACCTCATAGAAACATCGCCGAGACCCTCTTGGCCGCTTCCTCGATTCCGCCGTCCGCGTCCACAATACCCAACGCGAAGTCTTCCAGCCTGGAACTGCGAGGTGACTTGCCCCTCGGTACCGTGAATTGGTGGTGGTGCATGACATCCTTACTCTGCAGTGGTACCCTAGGCAGAGTTTTCGGCCGAATCTGCACGTAGTGGCGGACACTCGGGACTGTTGGCTCGTCTCCCACTGGGTATATTTGGTCCTGCTCAGTTCTCGGATGACTCTCTGGATTGTTGTTTATATACGAATCACGGCCTAAATTCTGGGTCGAGTTCTCGATTCGCAGCGGGTTCGCGTATGGGAGACTCCTATCGCTGGTGTTGTATGTCGAGAACGAGTCTTCTGACGGACACGACGAGTTGGCGCCCGAGACGGACAAAGATGTGCCCGGCGCCACAGGGTCGGCTGGGAGCAGGAAAGAGTCGTCTGTAATGAGGAATGCAGCTGCGTCAGCGAACAGATCCGATTCGTTGGGAGTCATCATGGACAAGTCGGTGGTGAGATAGTCGGTCCCTTCCTCCAAGCTGATATCCTCACTGTTGAAAGTCGATGTTGTCGGGTTCTCTGCCACGATATTATCAGGTACATCCATACCCATGCCTCGATCACGAATCTTCATCACGTTCTTGACCACCATCTCCGCAAGGCGGGAATCCCAGAGACCATCACGCGAGTCCTTGAGGAGAGGATTGGAGAACAGTCGGTAAGCCGTGGCTAATATTTCCGGGTGGGTGGTCTTTAGGCACACAAAGTATAATGTCCCGATGAGGAACGTGGATAATGTATAGGTGCGTTGCGAAGGCGAGGCTAACGGGAAGAAAGTGCTGGCGGAACGTGATGCTGAGTGAGTTGCCAGGGAGAGAAGCTCCACTACTTTCGACAGTACTGTCCCGAGTGTGTCTTCGTCGTTAAGAGGATCGCTCACAGCATCACCGGCAATTGGAACATTTTCATCGATGAGACTGTAGAAGGTGTGGAAGCTTATCTGCAAGAGCAAGAGCTGTTGGTGCTGGAGCTGTTGTCTGCCGTCCTTGGTGGCACTCTGCGAGACATTGGAGGCAGAACTCCCCGTGTTGTTAACTAGGCCGCTCAGTGACTGCCGGTACTTTTCATACTGCTGGCGCAGTACAACTCTTTCGCGCCACAAACCCTGAGGAATTTCACTTGATAACTTGCCTTTGTGTTGGACCTGGCTAATCAATTGGCGGAGGGTCCAGTTCTGAAGTTTCACCAGAACGCCTTCAGCATGGTCGAGATTCTGGAACGAATCAGGAACAACCGACAACACTCCTTGAGTGTCTTCGGGAGAAACCAGTTCCAGCACCGGAAGTCTGAGGTCATCATAGGAACTCGCTTGGATGTCCAGACACTCCAAGAGATGTGTCAGATGTACGATCAACTGTTCGTCGGCCCATTTCCCTTCGTGTTGGGTTCGCTTCAGCAGTTTTAAGCCGCTGTCGAGGTGTGATATCGCCTGCTGAGTATCGCCAAGGAGTGACTCCAAAGAATAGAATATGACGCTGCAGACCAATGCTACATCTGGCTGTGCATCAGACCTCGCGAGGTAATTCTTCAGTTGTACGTAGCATTTGCTGACCATAGTCATGGTCTCAACGTGTAGACTCGGCTTGTTCGTGAACGACCCACAAACAAAGTCCTTGTGTAGGGAGCTCAGAACCACAAGGCCATTTCGGATGACGGGTTGGTCTTGACTTCGCTGGAGGATCAGCTCGGTCCACAAGATTGGGTCGGCGTAGCTGGAGAGGTTCCATGCTGCTTGACAGCAGTAATAATGTAAGAGCTGCCGATCGGCTTGGCTTCCTGGCACCTTGAAGGGAATGCTGTACGATGCGATAGAACTGAGATTCTGAGCTGGGTTCTGTACGCCTGGAGCATTTTGTGCCGGAGGGGTCAGATAGCCCTGACATTTCCTGTGTGATGAGGTGCAATTCTCGCATTCCGGCCTTGCCTGATCGCATCGGATATGGCGAGCTCTGTATGACTGACGTTAACATTGGCCGGCTACCCAGCATAACATACGTACTTGCACGTTAAACACCCTGAACGAGTCTTGGGTGCGCTCTTCCGCGGCCTCCTAGCCGCCAGTTTGTCCATGTAGACGATTGAAGAATACGCAAGCAGGGAGGACGGAGAGCGACATTGCGGTGGCAAAGTCTAGGTCTTGAGGCTTGAGGTCGGTCTGTGGATTGATCTAGAGCCAAATGTACGATATCGACTAGTTTGAGGAGGTCAAAGGACCGAGCTGAAGTGCAAAGGTGCCAGACACGTTCATGGGGCGGTTTGCAGATTGCGCTCAGCCTTATGGGGCTTGGCACAGCCTTGCCAGCCAATCCTGTACACGATTTTCCCCCGAGGTTGAAGCGTACGGACAAGCGAGAATCCGCCATCTCTGTCCGTCCGGCACCATACCTTTTTGACACGACGATTCTATTATCACTGCTCGATGGTCATGGTCTGTATATCAAGAAATGGTATCGGCTCATGTAAGGCCACCAATATGCTGAAAGCCATCGCTTTCTCAGGGTTTCACCTGAAGATAGCTCATGAATTTACGGATCTTGTCACCCTGTCAGTGAGTAACCCTTGGAAAGCGCGTGGTCAAGCAAAGGTATGGATTAATGGCTGTGCTATACCAACACTCGAGGTATAAAAGCCCTACGGTAGGTGCTCGAATCTTTCAACTGGAAGACATCTCTTGTTTCAGTCCTTTGAAAGCCTTTGCTATCTCCGTCAATTCCTCACAATGGGAAACCTGTACGCCATTTTTTTTACTCTAGGCATGTTACAAACCGTTGCTCTCGCTCTATCTTCCAGCTCTGCCCAGCATCTTGTTCTCAATCGTCGAGGCACATCAACCCCCAGCAATGCCACTTCGGGTCTTTTGTCTACAACCTTTGGAACAATCTTCGATGTCAACGTTACGATCGGCGGGCAAACTTTTCCTCTCCTTGTCGACACCGGAAGCAGCGACACGTATGTCATGAAGAAAGGCTATCAGTGTTTTGACAAGAGTAATGGGACTGAGCTCCCACAATCTGCCTGTTTGTACGGCAGTGCGACATATACTCCGTCTGCTACATATTCGGAAATCCCGAATGAGATCTTCGGTGTTCAATATGGCGCTGGCATTGCCTCCGGTGTCTTGGCCCACGAAGACATCACTCTCGCTGGCATCACAGTCAAGAAGTCAATCATCGGAGTGGCTAATAGCTCGACTCCCATGGGCGACGGCGTCAATTCCGGCCTTCTGGGTCTAGCATATCCTGCATTGACATCGGGCCATCCGGCCAATGTCACAGACAACACGACCTACTTCTACAACCGCGTCACATATAACCCATTGCTGTTCGCCATGCATCAACAAGGTCTCATAGACCCATACTTCAGCCTTGCACTGGCACGAACATCACAGAATACCACCTCTGGGTTTGGGGGCTACTTGACTCTCGGCGGCCTTCCACCAGTTCCGCACAGCGATGACTTTACCAAGGTCCCAGTGGAGATTGACAATTCCGTCCCCATTCAAGTCACGTCCAATGAGCGCGTCCGTGCCTACTGGGCGATAACCGTATCTTCTATTGTGTACGGCCCCGGCAATAAGACCACGGTGCTCTCTGCTCCTCACCCAAACAACATGACGACCTCTTCCACAACCAAAAACGGCACTTCATTCCAAGCATTCATCGACAGCGGCAATTTCTTCTCTTACCTTCCTGAGAAGACAGTGGCCTCTGTAAACTCCCTGTTCTCACCGCCCGCTGTCTTCGATGCCACGACAGGATACTGGCTCGTCGACTGTGCCGCCACCCCACCCCAATTCGGCCTTGAGATTGGTAATCAGACGTTCTTTCTCGACGGTCGTGATCTTATCTATCAAACCGCTGACCCAAGCAGCGGTAAGGCGCAATGCGTCTCGAATATCTTGAGCTCGAACTTCAATGGGGGCACGGCTGGGGATCTCACATTGAACATCATCGGCGCACCCTTTCTCAAGAACGTGCTTACGGTGTTTGACTTTGGGGCCAATGAAATCCGTTTGGCAAAGTTGGAGGGGGAAGTCACAGAGCGAGAGGGCCAGGGTCAAAGTGGGGATAGAAATGGTGGTTCTGGAAACGGAATTGAGGATGGTGCTGCCCAAGCCGGCAATGCTGGCCCAACTGTGAAGATCCCGAATAGGCTCTTGTCCTTCGCCCTGTTGGCCTCCGTTGCTGGTGTCGGGGCCTGCTTATTCTAAGTGGGCAAGAAGTAGAGTAGGAACTAGAATGGACAATGTCGGATCTTTGGAGGATTAGGTCGGCTAGCTCAAGCTGCATAGCCCGAGAATTGATTCTTTGATGTAATCTCATCTTCCTGTGGGCAACATTGGGTCCCACAAGGCTGAGGCTTTTGTCACAAGGCTGAATGTCTTGGATATGACGTAGACGTGGAGCTGAGACTCCAATGCATTATTCAAGGTTGTCCTCCTCGCGTTGAATTCCCCAGCCGCCTCAATCATTGACTCTCTCCGCACGGAGTCGGTCATGAATGATTGCTGCAGCGTGGATATCGCTTTATCCTTGGCTGTGTAGTCGTTGTCTGTTATGTTCCGCTGTCTATGGCACTTCTCCCCGTTTTCTATACTGTAACAACATGATTCCTGCCTGACGCGTTAGTTGCGCAACTCCAGGATGCCCATCAACACGCTTACCGCTGGTGCTGCCGTCACTCCCACTGTCATAAAGACATGCATATCCCATGTACGGATGCCACCTACTACAAGATTCTATCCTAACAGAGCATAGTATGCCAACCGGAAGCCCCGACGCCAGAGACCAACTGCCCACATCTCCTACGATGAAGGCCTCCATCTCATGCGAGCCTTTCTCCACTATGCCTCACACCATACAGTGGAAGATTTACAGTCCTTTACCGCGCAATGGGTCCCCAGTCCATCTTGGGTAAGGACTGAGGGTGTCACAATCACTGGCGACCATGTCTCCAAGGCTGCGAAGACGCTCAGGGATCAACTGGGCGAGACCGGGATTGCAGAAGTCGGCGGGACACAGTGGTGGCAATGGAGACCCAAGGGAGCTGATCTGAAAGCTGAGTGGGTGGAGATGCGCGCACATTATAACGAACACAAAAGACAAGGTACGAAGAGCAGGAGGATCATGCTCTACATCCATGGAGGGGCGTACTTCTTCGGCAGCGTGGACGTCCACCGGTACCAGCTCCAAAGACATGCTCGAAAACTCCAGGCTCGCGTGTTTGCCCCGAGGTATAGGTTAGCACCACAGTTTCCCTTTCCATGCGGACTACAAGACTGTCTTGCCGCGTACTTTTATCTGCTTAGCATTCACGACCCTTCCGAGATCATCCTGGCAGGGGACTCGGCCGGTGGAGGCATGGTGGTCTCGATACTCTGCATTCTACGTGATCAAGGACTCCCCTTACCTGCGGGTGCGATTCTCATCTCTCCATGGGTGGACCTCACGCATTCGTTCCCCAGTCTGAGCGGCAGTGCAGAATTTGACTATATACCACCCTACGGCTTCATGCAGAAACCTTCAACCTCATGGCCCCCTCCCAATGACGAAGAGATAGCGACTATCAGTAAATTGGCAAAAGGCAAAAATATGTCTCTCAAAAATATCGAAGACGAGCCAAGCACGTCCGCGTCAATACCTACCAAAGACGATGGGGATGTTGAGCCTGGGCATCAATTGCCGCTGTCCATGGAGCTGGATGGAAAGCGAGTTGTCTTGAGAGATCAGATCCAGATGTACACAACCAACCAGCTCATTGCCCATCCCCTAGTGTCTCCTGTTTTGCAACCCTCTCTAGGTGGTCTGCCTCCGATCCTCATCCTTACTGGTGGCGAGGAAATTTTGCGCGATGAACAGATTTATCTTGCTCACAAGATGGCAAATCCCTCCAAGTTCCCCTTAGGATCTATTTACAAGGCAAGATATGATCCAGATGGTACCATCCTCGCAAAATATAAACCCACACCAGTCCAATTACAAGTATGGGAAGATCTGTGTCACGTCGCTCCAACCTTGTCATTTACTCGCCCAGCCAAATTCATGTATCGTTCGGTGGCACAGTTTGGGGCGTGGGTGCTAGCCAAGGCTCAGAAGAGGGCGATCGAGATCATGGATGACGACAATATCTCGGTCATTTCCTCACTGTCAGACGATAGTTCTCGGACGAATACCGACGTCAAATCATCGGATAGCAGCGCGGCAAAGGCAAATTTGGACCCGAACAAGGCAACAGGCAGTGTTGGTCGAGCAGGGGACCCAATCCCACCTTTCGAGAACAACATGATTCGTCAACGGATTGACCGCCACGGAAGGATCTATCCCCTCGCCGAACCGCAAGAACTACCAGCCTTGCAAATGCATCCAGACCAGGTGGGGGTAGTAAAACCCGGTCCTGTACGGGAATGGCTCGCGGCCAAAAAGATTTGGGACACAAAATATGCCTCAACGAGGAGCAGAGTGCAGAAAGAACGAGTTCGGGCATTATCGAGTGGAAAGATCAAGGCCTTTGAGCCCGGCGAACACCCTCCACCGTGCGCTCTCGCGAGCCGGCGGACGGACAAGGACCTGATTGTCAAGAAACAGAAACGGAGCTACGGGCTCGCAATGTGGAGTATGTGGGGAAGCAAACATGACGAGTCGGTGCTGAAGAGGGAAGAAGAGGCCGTGGAGGCGGAGAAATCGGAGGATAAACTCCTGGGACGAGAGGGCGAGGGAGGGACCTCACCTGCTGATGTCGATGGCGAGCGATCTTCGACACGTTGGCGAAGTCATAGCATGAAGCGGAGCCTAAGTGCAAAACGGACGGCCAGCGAATCAAAAACACGAGGCAGGAAACGCACCATCTCGGTCACGGACAGAGGCCAAGCTGAAGGTCGTTATGTTCCCCCAGTGGTGATTCCGTCAGGTCCCCCAAGTTCCGCAGAGCTACTCAACACGGCAGGAGACCAACGATCGGCTCCATCTGGGCACATAGCTTCGCCTGAATCATCCCTGCTCTCTGCAGGCTTCATTCCAAAGTTCAAAACAGCAACACACCTTCGTGATGACAGCGGTGGACAACACGGGTCTGTGATGTCCGATGCTGCAAGCACAATGACTGGCCGTAGCGGGATCGCGGCCGATGATGCCAGCACTCGTGCGGTATTTGCCGTGTCAGGTATTTCGAAGAGCCTCGACTCACAGGAAATGGAGAGGGCAAAGTCATCAAGTCCAGGTCCGAACACAAGACCAGGAAGTCCTTTAGCAAACGAAACAAGAAGTTTCATTTCTGGGAGTGAAGACTTCGATGAAGGTGCAGCAAGTATAAATGTCGGCGTTGATCGGGGCACCATTATTCCAGGGAGAGCTCGCATCGGGCCTTTTGGAAACGATACACCTCGAAGCCACCGCAGTCTGGAGCGGTTACAAAGCCACCAACGCGACGAAGGAATGGATCGTCTGGCTCCGCTCAGAAGCCCAAGCTCCACTGCTATTGTGAAGGCAGAAGGCGTGGTTGGTATGGTTGACAATGCAGAGCATCCGGGAACAGGGGCAGTGGAAGACCGTGAGAGCGAAGAAGATCAGGCAGACAAAAAGAAGGAGGTAAATGGAATAGGCAAAGAGGAGGCAGTCAGCGTTCAGGAAGGATCAGTCGGAAGACATGTTGATGGGGTTATAACTGAGCGGCCCAAGATGTATGAGAGGACGGAGACAAAGTTCCAAACGGCGATGGAGAGTCCTTCTTGAGGTCATCTCAAGATTGGATAACAACAACACCATCTTATACGGTTTTCTATCAAGTCTTGGACCGATGTCCATGTGCAGAGCTATTCGTGTTTCGAGATTTGTGGCGCATTTTTCCTCATAATTGCTATCTGGAAATATCGGACCAAAGATAGGAAAAATTGAAGAGAAGATCATCCAATTGAACAGCCAAACCCACCCACGTTCTTCGAGAGCTATATACCCACGAGGTATGTATCCCATGGAATGGAATGGGCAGTAGTCGAACTCCTAATATCTTGGCGCTTAGTCATTCAGCGCAACCAACAATGCACCTCAGTCACCGACAGACACACACACCTCACTGACCTCTCATGCCTAGCAGTATGTACCTAACTGTTAGCCTCACAACACCGACAACTCCCTAACAAGCCTCCCAGTGCAGGCACGCATAGCAAGCAACCGGGCATGCATAGCCACCCACCCACCCACCGCAACTGTCCTCCCCTTCTGCGGCCCAATACAATAACACCTTCGCCTGCAATGAAACAGCTCCAAGCCTAATCAGTTCTCTTTCAACGAAGCCCGATGTCCAGAGTATCCCGAGATGATGCAATTCAATGTCGTTACCACCCTCGTCAAAGCAGCCCAAAGTGCAGCCAGCTACCGCAGCATCTCAAAGCCACCAATTGGAAGTTGCACATCAAAGTGCGACGCCTGGGGCTGAGACGCTCAAGGCACCTCACTAGCGAGGCAGACACCGGAAATCATGCAATCCAAGCCTATCCGACCTGGAACATGCTCACGTGTATTATTGGCTCTCAGCCTCATCCAGATTCATGTGCACTGGACGACTTCAATAATATCAGAGGTGTAGAGCTCGAAAAGCCTTTCAGGGATTAAGATGGCGGCGGAGGTCGTGCTAGGCGCTGTCGGTGTCCTCCCGGTGATACTCGAGGTTCTCAGGTCCTATCGAGACATACACAATAAAGTCCGCACTTTTCGAAACTGTTGTCAAGAACTCGCCTGGATCCAAACGCGGCTGAAGACGCAGAAGCTCAAATTCTTCTACAACTGTGAACGCTTGATTCGGATCAAATTGGAGCAAAATGAGGAACTGGAGGACCTGATTGACCTTTCGTCACAGAAATTCTGGCTTGATGAATCTGCGAACAAACGAGTGCGCGATTCGCTCGGTCGCATAACAGTCGATCTGCTGCAGGACATCGTGGCAGAGATCCAAACCATCCTCAATGATTTCGACAATGACCTTCAGTGCTTCGACGTCATAAAATCGGAGAGAGTCGTGGTACTGTCCTCATCTATCATTCCCCTGCGGGACTATCACTAACACAGGACATCTCAAGGGTGAATCTCTACAAAAGGCATTCCGTCGTCTTCGTCAAGGCTTCACCATTGTCTTTGAAAAGTCCCGATTCTCTAGGAATTTAGACCGGTTGCGAAGTCGCAACGAGGAACTCAAAAGTCTCATTGAAGACTCGGTCGATTGGTCCTTTTACCAGCACCGCCGAAGATCTACCAAATCAAACGATCCCATCAGATCATCAGTAACCGAATACAACATCGTGCAGCGCGCCGCAGGGAAACTGCACGAGGCGCTGAACGAAGCATGGTGTTGCAATGGCCTTGGCCACACTCACCATTACGCAAAGTTGTGCGTTGGGGTACAGGTCAATAGAGGAGTGCGACTGGATCTGGCGATATCGTATGGCAAGAATGGCGCACAAGAATCTGGAAAGTGCGGCGCTTCATGGCTCCTATTATGTTTGTCCTAGCTAACATGACCTTTAACAGCTACCCTGCCCAAGAACATCCCACTTGGCTGTACATCCAATCGTCCACCACCGAAGCTGGATCAGCCATAGCAAGCCAAAAAAGAGCGCGTTCTTCAGAAGATAGTGAGACCGAGAGTGATTCTACTCATGCTCGAGCCCGCTATCAGGCAACGAAAGTGTCCGCAGGTGACCACCACCCAGTTCGACACGATGCAAGTGGTCCGTCGAACCTCCTCGGCCCCTGCGCACCCTCATCCATCCCCGACCCTGCCCTAGCGGCAGATACCATCTTCGGTGACCTTTGCCAGTCGGACAATGTGTGCCGCCATCTTACCGACAGCCCCGGCCTTGGGCCCGACGACAAGTCAAGTCAGTGTTTAGGCTATCTCGAGAGCTCAGATCAATTTAGACACCTATTCTACTCCCCGAAACCGGAGGAAGCGCTGATATCTCAAAATATGGCAGCTCCGTCTCGACGATTCTTGACCTTGAACGAGGTTTTTCGTCTGACTGATAATGCGACCTTAGATCCCCGCTACAAAGTTCAACTTGCCCTCAACTTGACAAAGGCTGTGTTGTGTTTTCATCAGACTCCTTGGCTTCGAGAAGGCTGGCAGATTCACGACTTTGCATTCTTTGATCACCGGACTACGCTCTCAGACATTCAATTCAACACTCTCCACTTGACGTCGCAGTTGACAGAGTGCAGAGCTCAGCCACCATCGCTTTCATCAGCAATGGAAGATGTTCAGACACAGTTTCAGCTGTCTTTTCCTCCAACGCCGCACCTTGTCTTCGATCGCGGCGTAGATAACCTCACACTCTTTAATCTAGGGGTAGCCCTACTTCAGATTGTTTGCTGGAAGTCTCTTGGGGAGCTTGGCCAAGGGCAAAATCTCGATGACATACACTTGGCTCGGAAGATATCCCTGTCTGACCAGGCCTCGGTTTTGGGCCCCAAGTTCAAGGATATTGTTCGGAAATGCCTTCGATGCGAGTTTGGTTCCGGCACCAATCTGGAAGATGAAAATCTGAAAGGAGCTGTTGCAGCACATGTGATCCCGACGCTGGAGTCAATGATGAAAGCAATGAGCATCTAACAGGTGAATATCTGGGCTTGATAGTGTGCGACTTCATAGCAAGGTGTATGAAAGGTTAGCCTCAGGACGACGGGTCCAGTATCTGGTGTAAGGGAGCCCCGAAAGTCACACGCCGCACAATGAGCATTTGCATATGTACACTCAAAACTCGATACAGCGTCGAAAGCCCAGAATGGCGTTCAACCTTTGCGGCAAGGCAAGGCGATCCACTAGGGCCGAGGCTGAACGGGGCTGACACGCAGAGAGAAATTCAGCCTTACCGAATACGAGGATATGCACAACAAAGCAAGTTCTTGGCTTCCTGCCTGATTAACAACTACACGGTACATGCTTTGGAGCCAACTTACATGCTTGTTGAGTGTTTAGTAGTCTTCTAGACTCTCGATACTCCTCTTTGGTGCTGCAATCTTTCCGTGGCCATCGCTCAGTCGCTATATCACGGAAGGGCCTCACCCATCTCTTCATGGTCGATCTTTCCAAGCCTCGCCGCATCATCGGTGAGGCTGCCAGGAGCTTTGAATCACTATTGCCTCCCAGCGATGCACGCTTGTTCGAGAAGACTACGCTCGACGATGTGCAGGAAGCTGCCCTGGCCATCCAGCGTGCGCAGGCAGACAGAAGATCTCTTCGAAACATCGCACGACTAGCTGGATTGTTTAAGGCGTTGCCAGCATTCGCTGCGGTTCTCCAGCCTCTTTGCCCAGAACCTGCATGCCTCAACTTTTTATGGGTATTTCATGCCTTTATTTGATATCATATGGAGAAACTTCTAACATCCTCAAGGCACCAATTGAACAATCCCTGCGGGCAAGTCTCGTCCTAGATCAAACCACGAACTGTGAGGTGGGTTATGAAGACTGACACAAGCACCTTCCGGCAATCTAGATTGCAGACGGCTATGCCTCTGCCTTGGATCAACTCATCTATGCCTACCAACAAATCGCAGAACGCCTTCCCCTCTTCGACCATCTGACTCCTCTGTTTCTCCAGAATGAAGATATACAGTCAATCATCGCCCATGTCTATGGTGATATACTGGAGTTTCATTCTTGCACTTATCGACTGCTGTGTCAAAACAGTGAGTTGGCTAGAGGTTTTTTCACTTGGTCCTTCTGACAGTATATCAGCTTGGAAAGTCCTATTCGGTGCCACCTGGAAGAATTTCGCCCTTCGTTTCAATGGGATCCTTGAGAGGCTTGGCAAGAGCAGAGGCGTCCTTGCTGCAGGAGCAGACAGCATTGACGTCCTGGCACACGAAACTTTCCGTCGGGAGGTTCTTGATCGGATGACCCGGTTGGAAACTGAAAGGGACACTTTGCAACTACAAAATATTCTCACTTGGCTGAATGGAACACGGCAGGATGAGGATCAAGAATCAATACTGAAAAACCGTTCAATTGCCCGCCAGCAAGGGACGTGTGAATGGATTTTGGAAAATCCTAATTTGCGATCATGGCTGGATCCCGAAGACAATCGACCCCTTCTTTGGCTGCACGGAAAACCCGGCTCAGGTATGTCAAATTGCTTTAGGCCCTCATCTGGCTAATTTCATGTCACTAGGGAAGACAACCATTGCCGCATTTCTGATAGAGAACGGTCCCTGGCCAGCCAATAGCACCCTCCTCTACTTTCTCTGCCCTGATGAATCCCCGAGTCCTAGGTTCAGTGCATACAGTCAGATATGGCAATGTTTGATTGCACAACTCCTCACCAAGAATCGGGCCCTCGTTCCATATCTTCACGATAGACTTACTTCATCATCTCAGAGCGTGATGCCTCTGCTCTCGGAGCTGCTACGGGCTACTGGGTCTGCGTTCCTGATCATCGACGGGCTTGATCGATTTGAACCGGAGAGTCAAACCTTTATACTGGCAGAACTGGCTAGTCTCTGGTCATTGAAGGAAAGCAGCAGTCCAGATCGTGCTCTGGTCAAAGTTCTCATTTGTTCAAGATCGACGGTGGAAATCCACTCAAAGTTGAGGAAATTCCCCGGAATCTCTTTATCCGACGAGACGAAGTCGATATCGGAAGATATCTCCATGTTTGTAAAGGAAAACCTTGCTCCCTTGCATTATTTGGACTGTGCAGAGGTGGTAGAGGAGTTGGAGCCGATGGTGGTAGCGCAAGCTGACGGTGAGTACGTTCCCTGGTGGCATTCAGACCAGAGGGCTGATTTTTATCAAGGAATGTTTCTGTGGGCGAAGCTTGCTGTTGGCCAATTGCTCAGTCAGCGTACCGTAAAGGGTTTGCACGCTGCCTGGGCCAACCTGCCGCCTGGGCTTTCGGAAATGTAGGTTGTTCGTGCATCTTGGTCCTAGGGTGACTGACTGTTACAATCCAGATATACCGTTATCCTCCATCGACTTCAGGCCTGCGATGAGCAACAAAAGGGACATATCAATCATGTTCTTGGATTACTGGTTGTTGCATATCGACCTCTAAAAGTCTGGGAGGTTTGTGATGTGATGCTATCGCAGGATAGCCAGTTGCCACTCAACAGCGAGAGAAACGTCCTACACGACGCTATCGACATGTGCAAACCCCTTGTCGAGAGGGGCAAGCATCAGACTATCCGACTGGTGCATTGGTCTGCCAAAGAGTATGGGGATATCTGTAGAGAATGATCGAAGCTGACATGATCACAGCTACCTGTTGACCGAGTTGAGCGGTCCCTGTATACAGCTCCAGCAAGCACACATCAATATTACACAAGCTTGCATACGATGTTTGACAACTTGTCATCCATTCACCAAAAGCGAGATATCACCAGAATCTGAGAAGCAGATCGTGAAAGGAGATTACGATTTTGTTTTCTACGCGTATCAGTACTGGATTTATCACCTAAGAGAGTCGTTCCGGGGTCACACGTCGGCGGCTTCGACGGATCTCGTTGATGGTAGGAAGACAATATGTCACTTGGTGTTTGATATGCTTAAGGCCATGAACCAATCTCGGCTGGATAAGGAATTCCTTGACAACATCGAGGCCCTAAAGGAGAGACTCAATACCCGGGGATCAAATCTCGAGGATATTATTAGACAGATTCTACGTCCACTTGCTCATCAAACGTTATTCCTTTCACATGGAGCGGATCCGTCCCCACGCCCTGGTAGTCAGCGGAGCTCAAGCATCCTCGACATCGCGTTCACCAACTTCCAGAACGCCTTCGAGGAACTATACGAAGCTGGTCCCTCTTTTGACCCCTCCAGATTAGGTATCGCAGTCACGGATCTGTACAGTTTCAAGATACGTCACAGCCCTACTCCGTATCTATGTCGCTACAGTGAGTGCGGTGCGGACGTTGTTGGTTTTACGAGCGCTCCGGAGCGTGAAGAGCACGAGCTATGCCACCGAGGATTTTTCGGCTGTACTGAGCCTGCATGCGATTTCCGTGTCCTTAAATTTGTTTCTTGCATTGATTTACGAAAGCATATGGAGAACTACCACGGCCGCAAAGAAGCACCATCACAAACATCTCACGCGAAAGGCAAACGACCGAGACACGGAAGTTTGCTGCCTCTATCCACCACTAAAGGCAAGGCTGACGAGCTCAGAGCGAGAGATCCTACACACGAGTTGCTACATGAATCTGAGGTCGGCACACTGGCTCGGATCTTTCGAAGCTGTGTCAGATTGCTCAAGTTGATGGTAAGCAACCTACAGGAATCGCAAGCTCCTCCTCACCTGCTGGAAGGAAAATTGATGCGGTCTTTGAACACACTTCAGCTCTGGGGAGATGCTTATCATGTCGACGAGGGATATCTGGATAAACTATTATGCAAGTCAACGGAGCTGCGAACCACTACTGCAACGCTGCTGGCCGGAATTGGAAGCATCTTATCCTCCCGTGAGTGACTAGTGACTATTAACTATTGCGACGTTGGCTATGCAGTTTGGATGACAGGAGCTGACTTTGTGGTAGGATTATTGGGGTCTCTGTTCCAGACTGAGAAGAATCGATTAGCCGCTATTGAAAGCAGCAGAATCCAGAGTGCGTTAGACGATGCAAGCCACATCGCAGATGATTATCAGTGGTTACATGACGACGATGAATCAGCGGACAAAGGTGCGAATGCCGGTAGCGATTCTAACAGTCCACGAGCAGAGGAGGTTCAAGCTGTCGCCGATGGCCTTTGTGACTACTCTCTAGAGTTGATGCAGATGGCTGATCTTTTCGACTCGCCATTTCTTCACGAGAAAGTCTCCAACAAGACCTCTGCTTTGCCAGTTGCAGAAAGTACCAAGTCCTTGCTGCGTCACTCTGATGCTGCCACAGACACCGGATTAAAAGCCTCACCAGTCCTCAAGGCCAGTCCTCCATTGAACTCTAGTGTTGAAGTCAAAAAGTCCTCAGAGCCTCTCAATATAGGCCGTGTACAGAAAGAAGGACGATCAGCACTGCATGGCTTAAAAGGATCGCAAAAGATTCTTTTATTCACCAGCTACTGCTATGGCATGGTGGGTGTCCTCCTTCTCTCCTAGCGTATGTACTGGTGCTAACACTCGTGTCAATAGATTTCTGGAAAGCTTCTGGTTCAATCTGGTTCACCGCTCTCAGTATCAGATTTGGTTTTCGTCCCGCCGGACAGACTTTACCAGACTCCAGAGGGGGATCAATGGGCAAGCTTCGAAAAGCAAGTCGCCAATGTTTGCGCTTCTCTGGTGGAGTATCACGGAGTCAGTCTCCAGATCTCTGTCAGGAATGATAATGGAAATGATAGTTCATCCGAGAAGACATCCACTCCAAAGAAAACCCTAAGGCACCGAAAGAATATCATCGCCAACATCATCATCTATGGGCCTCCAGCACTCTGCGAATCAGTTGGAGACTACCTGTCCGCTGCCGGATTCTTCCTCCAACATCCAACGCATTGTAATCAAGATGTGCCGTATTTGAACCCTCACGTCCTTGGATTCGGCGAGGACAACCTTCAGTTCACGTCAGAGCCCTTCCCGGGCGAACCACAAGACGAAACAGAACTTGACCAAAACCCCCTTTCGAACTTCTATAGCAGTTCGGAGTTCGAGGAAACCGCGCAGCCAGACGGAATTGCGACTGCAATGTTCCCACATCAGAAAAAAGCATTGACCTTCATGATCGAGCGTGAAAGAGGGTGGAATGCCTCGAAAACCAGGAACGACTTCTGGACAACCCACGTCGATGCATTTGGAACCACGAGATACAAAAACACTGTATCTGGCGTAACTCAGGCAACGAGGCCAGTATCGCTTCATGGAGGCATACTCGCGGATGGAATGGGTATGGGAAAAACCCTCAGCATGCTCTCGCTAATTGTTGCAAACCCGTCCCGGAACGATGAGTACAACCAGCACGGGAAAAATGTCGTCAAGAGCACATTGATTGTCGTCCCCTCTAGTCTGTTTTTGCAAGCGTGGCAAGATCAGATAAGGATGCATTGCCGTCCAGAACATGTTCGCTATCAGATTTTACATGGCCCTGAACGACACAAGGTTGTCAATATCGGAGACTATGATATTGTTTTGACCACCTACAACACCGTCAGCGTGGACTGGAAGAGGAACAGCAGTAAAGAGGGCGTTGCTTCCCGCCCCAACGTTCTGTTCGAAACGTCCTGGTACCGCGTGGTCTTGGATGAAGCACACTTCATTCGCGACCGGAACACAAAAAATGCACACAGCGTCTATTCGTTGACGTCGCAGCGCCGGTGGTGCATTACAGGGACGCCCATACAGAACAGATTGACCGACCTATTCAGCCTTTTCCGGTTCCTGAGACTTGACCCCTTTGGCGATTATAAGGTCTTTGAAGAAGAGATCCTACGCCCGTGGAAGTCGAAATTGGACGACATAGCTAAGGCTCGTCTTCGGTACATTGTGAAGGCAATCATGCTGCGCCGTTCATGGACGCGCGTACACCTACGGGAACCAAAGGAATACGTAATTGAGGTTTCGTTCAACGCTCAGGAACGTGAGGAATATCAGAAAGCTGCGACACAGGGTATCAGCGACTTGGACAGTGTCCTTGCCGCAGACCAACAACCCTCCAATTCGGTGTATTTGAACTCCCTCCAAAACCTCAACGCCCTGAGATTCATCTGCAACCATGGTATTCGTCCAAGTCGTCAAGACGCTGAGTGGGATTCAAGCGGCGTATTCGAGACAGGTTCGCCAACAATCCCCAAAGAGGAGGCGGAATCCGGAGAGACGACACTTCTGCGCGATCTTCTCTCGGAGAAAAATGTTGGTGAATCTTCGTCTTTCAGGGCATCTTTCAGGGTCACAGATCTTGATGATTCTGACAACGAGTCCGTTCCGTCATTGATCAGCGGCGGCAGAAGTACGAGAGCTTCATCGGTAGATCCTACAGAAGAGGCTCCAGTACCGTGGGCTTTGAGCCTGGATCTGGTCTGTATACAATGCGGAAGCCAAAACTTGAACCCGGGGCAGGACAGTTATGACTTGGGCAGTGGCACGGACGCCTACACCGAACACATTCCGCCTCAGCTCTGCAAAAATTGTCTTGAACACGAAAAGCCCGTATCCTCAGACTTGTCAATCCACACTGAGCATGTAACGTCAGCCGAGCCGGCAAGCCAGGCCGGACAGTCGGTCATGAAGCGGTCGACCAAGATCATGGCTCTGTTGAGTCAGATCACCCACGTACCAACAAGCGAGAAATCCGTCGTTTTCTCTTGCTGGACGCAAAGCCTGTGCGCCGTAGAGGACGTACTGTCGCAAAACGGAATTTCATGTGTTCGTTATGAAAGCACATCGAACTTGGCACGGCAACTACGGGTGCTAGATATGTTTGCGCACGACCCTTCCATCCGAGTGATCTTGATGCCCATAGCCTGCGCAGGTGTGGGTGCGGGTCTCACAGCAGCGAGCCACGTCTTCGTTCTGGAGCCTCAGTGGAATCCGACGGTCGAGGCGCAAGCGATAGCCAGAGTCGTCAGATTAGGCCAGACACAGCAGGTATCGGTGTACCGCTTCGTGGTCAAGGACACGTGCGAGCAGAGCATCATGAAGATACAGACGCAGAAACTCAGCCTGGCCAACCTGGTTGTGGATAGGTCGACTCTGCAACGGGGTCAAGTTGGAAAGAAACAGCTTCATCAACTGCGTGGATTGGTGTCGTTAGTGTCGTAGAATTTATTATATCCGCGGAACAAAGATAATCCGAGATGCTGCTCAAGCTGCCCGAATTGGAAATTTCTCCGCATCTTCAAAACTTCTCCAAGTGCCCGAGAGGTTACGTCGCATCTCACAATCACCTTCCTCATCATCTTTGATGGGCGTTATCTTCCATGATCTGGGAGAGCACACCTGCCAAAGACTATGCGCAAGTGCTTCAGCACATGTGCGAGAGTTTTCAGCCATGAGAACCCCTTAGTATGTCGCTCACACTAAGTCCTTTCCCCACCAAATGGCATTGAGCAACATCACCCGCTCTCTCTCTCTCTCTCCGCGCGACAGCATGCTGAAGCCATACTGATCTTCTGCCCATCTTCTTCTCTAGGGTATTCCCCGCTCCCCTGCCCCGGGCAGCAAAGGACCACCGCCAACCATCCCACGCGCCCAACGGGGTCTCCCTCAAAAACGCCCGCTCCGCAATGTCAAGCACGCCATCGCCGTGTCCTCTGCCAAAGGCGGCGTCGGCAAGTCCACGCTGGCCGTGAACCTCGCCCTCTCATTCTCCCGACATGGTCTGCGGACGGGGATTTTGGACACGGACATCTTCGGGCCCTCGGTGCCGACGCTACTCGGCCTGTCCGACGCCGGTGAACCCAAACTCACCGGGCAAAACATGCTGGTGCCTCTGACGAGCCACGGGCTCCAGAGCATGTCCATGGGATACCTGCTGCCGAGCGAGTCGGCGCCCGTGGCGTGGCGCGGGCTGATGGTGATGAAGGCGCTGCAACAGCTCCTGCACGAAGTTGACTGGTCGTCTCCCGCGCCCCTCGACGTGCTGGTCCTCGACCTCCCGCCGGGCACGGGCGACGTGCAGTTGACAATCGGACAGCAAGTGGAGCTGTCGGGCGCGGTGATCGTGTCGACGCCGCAGGACATTGCGCTCAAGGACGCCGTCAAGGGCGTCGAGATGTTCCGCAAGATGAACATTGACGTGCTGGGCATGGTGCAGAACATGAGCGTCTTTGTCTGCCCGCACTGTCACCAGGAGACCAGGATCTTTGCCCACAGTCACGGTCCGAACGCGCAGCACAGTGGCGGTGGCAGCGGCCCAGGCGGCGCAGAGGCCAAGGCGGCGGACCTCGGCGTCGATTTTCTCGGCGATGTCCCCCTCGACGCGCGCATCTGCGCCGACGCCGACCGCGGCATGCCTACCATCGTCGCCGAAGAGGCCAGTGGCGTCAAGGTCAATTCTGGGTACTATGAGCGCATTGCCGAGAAGGTTGCCCGGAAGATTGGGGTGGCGTGGCAATGATGACGATCATGCCACGGGACTAGCTCGCGAAGGGGTTGTGGGATGCACATTTATTTGACCGATCCGTCAGGACAGAAGGTTGATTAACGCGTATCTCTCTGCTGGTGCAAAGCCAGACATGAGAACCAGCAAGAGCTCACCATGTAGTCACACAGCATCACATCTTACCACTCACTCCTGCGGCCGGTTGAGAGAGGAGTGCATACATGTTCTTGTATACCAACCACCACGCGAGCCAGGTAGGGCTCAGCTGAATGTGATGTTATGTGATGTTCTATGGTGGATTTGCTGTATTTGCGTTTGTACTTGGAACCAGCACTTGTCCTTGGCCTTGTACCCCATCTGCGTCCTTGTGGTTTTGATATGGTATAGCGTATCTAGCTGTCTTGTATTATACTCTATCTTCCCACCTACCTACCTACCTACCTACCTACCTGTTATGTAGGACATTCATGGTCCTCGATCCCTCTCCCTCTGACTCTGTGACGCTGTGACGCTCTGACAACCTAGCGCTCTGACGCTGTGAAGATCCCTAGTATGTATGTATGTATGTATGTATGATATCCATCGTGCATCCCTTTTATAGTACATACATACATACATGCCTACCTACTCTAGGCCCTTAAGGCTACGCATGCTGCAATCACATGCTCTTCTGGCTGGATTGAATTGCATTGCGATTGGTATGTATCTAACCGGTCAACTTTGTCCTTGTACATGACATGACATGACATGCATGAACCAGCTCGGAAAAAAAGGCTTCGTTATCCTTGTGTGCGTAGCACGAACGCTGTCATCAAGACTCCTCATACTCTGCCACGTGGTCCGGACTGTGTGATGGCTTCCTCCCCAAGATTGCCTTGCGCAACCCAGGCAATGAACAGAGCACTGGCTGACTGGCAACATGCAACCCTCGACCGTGAGACTTGCACGATTGTCACTCCGCATTTTGGCTTCGTCGGTTTCACTTGTCTTCTTGGAGGCTGGGATTCGATCGAAGGGGATATTCTCGTACAATGACCAGCAGAGGTTACACAATGGCTCTCTTTTACCCATTACTCCTGTCAACGATTAAGCTTGACAGACGCTGTTGACGTGCAAGAAAGCGCCCGCTTCTGTGATAAGGGGAACTATGCGTGGTTGACATTCCTGGTCATTCGTCTGGCGGCAGCCTTTAAAGAAGGAGTCGACATTATATGCAAATCCGGTCCTCGGAGCGGATGGCTCAATCAAAGGTTATCCGCTTGCCCTGGAAGGTTGCCTGGCTTTGGTCCTGCATCTTTCGCCTCTTCGCCGCTTCCCAAGAGGGATGAAGAGAGCCTTGATCATCACGCGAGTTTGCCTTGGGCTTTGGTGGGTGACCTGGGCGGGCCGCCGCATGACCCCCTGTGGGCTTCTCGCTGGGTTTTCTGTCGTGAAATCTGCCTCGAGGGCGGTCGCTGCGATCCACAGCACCTCTCTTCGGATCCCATCCTGCGTTTTTCCCCTCCTGATCCCTCTGCTTCTCGAGGTGTTTGGCCTTTTTACCGAACTTGAGCTCCGCGATTTGTTGTCGGGCACGCTGCCCACGTCGATTTTTCCGAGGTTTGGGCTGCGCAGGGCCTCGATAACCGTTCGCGTCATCTTCAGATTCTGATCCAGAATAGTAGCCTGCCATGCTGAGGGATGGTAAAAATGCAGTTTTGGTGGTCGGCCCAGTTGAGGGTGGCATTCGAGAGGTTCCACCTTCACCCTCGGATGAATCGCTGGGGGATGGGGATATAGAGATATCGTCGTCTCCAACATCTCGTCTGGTATCAGACATTTGCTTGACGCCTTTTTGCGGCAGATCTGAGTCTACAGCGACTCCTGTATCGGACTCGAACTCATCCTCGTCTTCAGAAGACGCCAAGCGACCCTTTGCGAGTTCAAATATGTGATCATCCTCGAGTTCGTCCGGGCTTTCAGACCTGTCGGTGGAAAAGCCGTTGAACTCGTCCTCCTCCAATGACTTCTCCCTCGTACCCGTCGCTTTTCGGTGCACTTCTTTGGTCCCTTTTGAAGCGACTTTCGGATCCTGGGGAATCTCAAGTGCGGTATACACCGTTTCCATAATCCCAGGTAACACCTGTTTGACAGGATTCGAATTGAACAATCTCCCAATTACATTCGCCTCGGCGCTTGACTTGACGTGTTCCAGTGGAGGATCTTCGCCATAGGCCTTGATAAATATCGGATGCTCCCTGATTCGTTTCGTCTTAACCAAGTGCTTCAAAAGTTGATTCTTGGCCGTTTGCTCGAGCTCCAGCTGTTTGAGGACGACGACCTCTTCTCGCAGTCGCAGTAACGTCTGGGGGTCGTCGCTTGCATTTTTCTGGCGGCGGCCTAGTTTCTGTCTTTCAAAGCCTCGTGCCAGCTTTAGAGCATCCTGAAGGATCTTGACGCTCCGAGTGACCCTGGCCCTCAGGCCCGACACCTTTAACCCGAGGTATTGTGGCTCTTTTCCTGGCTCTCCAGAATCGTCACTGTCGCGTTTTCGCTTCGACATTGTCATAAGCGTGGTAGAAGTGCGTCAAGGAGCTCATACGTTAGTAGTACCCATAGCAAACATGACTGATGTCTACGATATTTGAGCTGTGATTGAGTATCTAGCAGAGGAAGGAATTTGATCAAATTATTTTCAAATGACCAAAACTTGCTTGGTGATGGTTTGCTTAAGTAATGACATTCAACTAAGTCTAATATGAGCTAGCGCGCCTCTAGCTTCGGCAGCTCCCTGCAACTCTACGTGTACTTGTATTGTACCTGTTTCGTACTATCACGTGACTAGATACATAGACTTTGTACGAGGACGCCCTGCAGCGAGGCAAACGATAGACAAGGCAGGGAAAAGACCCTCGTGGGACTCGTAAACACCAAAAGGCAACTTCAACACCGGTCAGCTTGATTTCGGCAGTGCAAGTCATGCATCACGTCAGGAGAAGGCAGCAGCACCAGCAGGGCATCATCTTACCACAAGGTGCCCAGGCGCGCCAGGATTGCCTACCAATTGGAAGCTGATTCTTAGTTAAGGGGCCTTGAGGCTGAGACGCGACGAGCTGAAATCCCCCGAGTTCTGCCAAACCACCTCCTCAGTCATACTCTCATACTCTCATATTACCCAGGCTGCCATCACTTCTTCTTATTGTCACCGTCATCAGCCAACTTCCATCTCTTCTCTCTCGTCTTTCATCGCCCTTATTGCTCGAGTAGCCGTTGCTCTCCCACCATTCTTCACACAACCCAGCTAGTCTCCACACGGAACATTCCTGACTACGAATATGGCGCTTACAGTCTCAAAAGCCCTGCTGATTCTGTTGTCCCTGGCCGGTTTCTGGACGCTCTGGGGGTTTCCATATCAGAATGGCCTCCTCAAGATCTTAAGCCAGCAATCAGAGCCGGGCGCCGTTATTCCCGGCCCAACCTCAGCTCCCATGAAGCAGACCTACACCGGCATTGGCCCGATCGATAAACAACTGACGGTCTTGGTCAGCTTCTTCTACACTGCCATTGACGGTAACCGCGCAGATGTGTCGCTGTCTTTCCTCTACCTGGGCGGTCAAGTTCTTGCCGCATGGGTCTTAATCATGGTGGAGGGACTCCGAAACGGCAATCGAGGCAGTTTCCTGCTCACCGCGTAAGTGTGAAGCTAGATCGTGGAATGGGTTTCGTGACTCCATCTGACCATTGACAGAACAACACTGCTTGGCCTGGGGGTTGCCATTGTAGGCTATGCTTGCGTCGCACCGTTGTGGTTTGCTCTGCACCTATGGACGTCGCCCACCGTGTCCAAACCCAAGGACTATCAACTTTACGTTGACGTACCAATCAAAATCGCCATTGCACCCATCAGCATCCTCGTGGGGTTCGGGCTTCCGTCCCTGCTAATGTGCCTTCCAGCTCCAACGATAGTGTCATTTGAGACGAAGCAAACGTGGACGGGGATCCAGCAGGGTTGGTCGATTTGGATTGGTTTGACACAATTGATCCTGACCACTCTGGCCCTGAACGTTGACCAACGGGCCTCCATTCTGACCGAGAATGATAAGCGATCAAAGAGTGCCAGGTACCTCCGACTTGCATATGCATTCGCAATCATGTCATCGGCGGGTTCTCATCTGGCGGCGCTGAGCTTGTCTAGCTTGGCTTACCTCTTTCCCGTTCTCTTCAGTTCCACCTATCTGCCGCAGCTTCAACCTGCTAGGATCTTTGTTCCTGTTGTGCCCTTTGGACAGCCACAGGTCAAGGTGCTCGCAGACGGTGCGCTGTGGTTCCTTCAGTGGGACATCGTTGTCGGGGTCTCAGCCTCGCTTCTGTGGGGTTTGACCCTACGAGATGCAGGTAGAAACGGGAAGGCTACCGTTGGGCAGGCATTTTTCAGTCTCATCAAGACCATTGTAACTGCGGGCTTGCTTGGTCCGTGTGGCGCTGCTGCTGTTGCCGTCTGGACTCGTGATGAATTAATTTTGGGGAGATCTAATGCTGGGGAAAAGAAAGACAAGGGGATCTGAAGGAGAAGACGAATGCACAAGAAACACAATGGCACCGTGGTACCGTGGACGGTTCTTGACTTTCACGGAGATTCTTGGTCCTTTTCTGCGGGCGTTGGCTTTTTCGGAAGGTATTCCATGCTTTTTAGAGAACAGTGGTCGGATACGTGAATTTGTGGAAAGTGCCGAGTACAAGAGAAGGAGAAGGATTTGAGAAAGTCTGATGATGGTCCATGGTGGCAATAGGAGCGGGCCAAAAGCCACCAGTGGACAGAAGACTTTGGCGCAGTCGCACCTATTTTTGGGGGCGGAAAGAGCGGCCGTCTTTTAAGCATTGGATGTTCCTTCGCAGTCAAGCTTAGGCGAGCCTGAAGCCTTTTACTAACCAACCAAGCCTACTACCAAGCTTGCTTGGCCTCTGCTAGGCTTGACTTAATACCTGCCCATCTGCTCTCTGTTAGGCCTGCTTGGGGCTGAAATGAATCTCAGAGTTTAGGGGGACTTAGTGCTATCGGGAGCCATTCTTCAGCTGACCCGGGCGGGGCACAAGCGAGCCTTGGGAAGATCGATCTTCAATCATCTTCTGTTTCCTCGCTGGCCAGGCCGACCGGACGGCATCCTGCAATCACAAAGTCACTCAGCTGGGAAGCTACGACGATGACGTGGTGCGTTTGGGGCTGCCACTTGTGCAGTCCAGCCGCTCCCAGACTGCGGCTCACTCCTGGCCTTATAGGGGACGAGGAGAAAAGTGATCAAGCCAAATCAACAACGAGCCACTCGCACTCCTTCCAACCCTCGTTTGCCTCCCAGAAGATTTTCTCTTGTTGAACTGGCCCTCTCACCCAGTGTTGCACCATCCACCAGTTCCTGCCACTCCTTCGGGGCTGTGTAACAGAGTCTACCAACGGAATCTGCCCTTCATCTCCCTCGTTCATGTGTACATAACACGGTCACCGTTCGTTTTGATTCTTCCTGTCCACCTCACCTCGACCTACGACCAACTGCCTTAGCCTTGGCTGTAACATCGACCAAACGTCAGACTATCCACCATGTATCTTCTTGCCGGCACGGCCATTGCGGCTCTCGCAACTTCGTGTGCCGCCTCACCAGGCTATCTCAAGCTCGGTCTGCAAAGAAGGGCCCCCCCGGAGGGCAGATTAATACGCAGACAAAACTCGGGTGGAAGTGTCGATGCACTCGTGACACAGAACACCAATAAAGCCGAATACCTGGTGAACATCACCGTTGGCACGCCTCCACAGGATTTAAGTGTTACCCTTGACACCGGCTCTTCAGATCTTTGGATTCCCGCATCGTCAGCAAAACTATGCCAGCAGGGCAAGTGCGACTTGGGCGCATTTGATCCAAGTAAATCAAGCACTTACAATGTTATTGAGGAAGGCGGATTTAACATAGTAAGCTCCCATTCCCAGTGTGACGGAAGATTTGCGAGTGGAAGGGCTCTCAAACTGACGCATACACTCCACACAGACATATGTGCAAGTTGGAGACACCGACGCTGGCGACTGGAGTTCAGACACGATCACAGTCGGTGGATCTCCGTCCATTAAAGACCAACAGCTCGGAGTGGCAACTGCGTTGTTCGACCAACATGGAGTAATGGGGATTGGATTCGACACCATTGAGGCATCCAACGACAGCCCGAACGGCGTCTATCCCTCAGTCTTGGACAACCTCAAGTCGACCGGGATCATTGACCGCAAAGCCTTTAGCTTGTACTTGAATGACCTGGAAGCAACCAAAGGCGCAGTTATCTTCGGGGGCATCGACACAACAAAATATTCGGGAGACCTTGTTGCCCTTCCACTCCAACCCGGTCCAGATGGAAGTGTTTCAGAATATTTCGTCACCCTGACAAGCGTCTCTTTTTCAGATTCGGCGGGTCAAACCACTCAATTATCGCCTGAAGGGTATGCGCAGGCTGCCTTGCTTGATTCGGGTACCACCAACACCCTTTTGACCAACGATGTCCTTGGCCCCTTGGCTCTCGGATTGGGGGCGGTTGTCGATCCTTCTGGAGAGGCCTACCTAGTCCCATGCAGTCTTTCGTCGGCCAATGGTACCATCGATTACTCGTTTGGCGGCGAAGACGGCATCACAATACAAGTCCCTGTTTCGCAGGTGGTGGGCGGTCAAGTATACACATCGTCAGAATTTGACGATCCGTCAGGAGGCTGTGTGCTAGCTTTTGGGTCTACAGCCGAAGGTGGTGGGGCCAGTATCTTTGGGGACAGTTTCTTGAGGAGTGCGTATGCGGTTTTTGATATCGACAACCAGATCGCAGCGCTTGCGCAGGCCGTTGAAAACGAAGAAAGCACGAGTAGCATTGTGGTTTTCCCCACAGGAACAACCATCCCGAGTGCGACAGTCACCGCAACTGCAACAGGAACTCAACTGACCGAACTGGTCTCGGAAACAGATATCCCGACTGCCAGTGTCCAAAGCTCCACCCTCGTTCCAGGAACGCCGACATTCAGCTTGGAGGCGGCATCGTCGACAGCTACGACAACAGGAGGGTCGTCGTCGTCGTCTTCATCGTCATCGGCGGCAGCAAATAATGCGGTCAATGCGGCCATTCCGACCGCGGCTCTGTTGGGACTGGGACTGGCGGCGGCGGGAATGGTGGGACTTTAAAATTTGCCGTTGTGTAATGCAAACGGGATTGACTCTGGATTCGGTGAATGGCTCACACACGAATACATATAGCAAGCATCGGCGCATTGATCGAGCACTGTTTCACCCCGCATATACAAAGGAGTTGTTGGCTCAGGGAAAGGTACGAGGTACTCCATATATACATGTGAACTAGGTACACCGCTCTTTCAGATGCCCACTGTGCCGCCAGATCGCGGTCCTGTTGTGATTCGCGTCAGTCAAAACAGACAGATTACCCCTCCTCCAGTAAGTCTCGTAGAAACCCATGCTATGCAAAAAGCGTATCCTCCCTCAATTTCAACTTTCGTGCGGATCAAAGACATCTACATTTCCACCAGAGCTGTCACTAGGACAAGATGAGTTTTCCACCACACGCGCTTCGTATCGGCACGAGGGCATGTGATTGGTCGCAAGGCCATCCCCGGCATCATCACAAGCATCTTCGTCGCTCCGCACAGTTATCGCAACCGCGAACCACCCCAGCTACGACATGACTTCTGACCTTGATACCCCTCCATAAAGACAACCCCTTCTCCTCGTCCAGCTCATCTGCCTCCGGTCGCAACGTCCCATCGAATCGCCCTCCTAACTCCGTGCAATCGATCTGCGACACCGAGCACACTCAAGTTACCCCTCACACGATGGTTTCGATTTGAGTCACTCTCTAATCCCCGTCTCTCCGTCTCCGATCGACCTTCTGCGCCTTTAAACACGCCGTGATCCGTTGAGATTACAGCGAGGCGCGCCCAGGGTCACCGGAGACATCACTGATCCAGTATAACACATGAGCTACAATCTCTGGCGCTCTTTCTTCGAAGATGATGTCGATACATTTCGACAGTACCTGGCCAACGCCACTTTCTCCTCCGCGGCACCGAGAACCCCGGGCGCCGGACAAGTTGGTAGCGCGGCGTTGAAGATAGGCAGCCCTGGGAATCTCGCTGTCTCGCCAAAGACGCCTTTCAAGTTTCGAAAGAGCTCGGGAACTACACCTCTCAGCGCGACTCCTGGGAAAAATGTCGCGCTGGTACTCACGAGGGCGGAAGTGAACACCAAGGACAGTTTTGGTCGGACAATTCTTCATCATGCCGCGTCCTCACAGTCTGATGATGCCCTGGCCTTCGTCAAGGCCTTGTTGGAAATGCCTTTCCTGGACCTCTACGCCCAAGATTTGGAGAGTGGGTGGACACCCCTCCACCGTGCATTATACTTTGGCAATATTTCAGTGGCCCATGCTCTGATGGCTCGGGATATACAAAACGCCACGGATTACACAACCAATGCGCAGCACTCCCTTGCTGGTGGACTGGTCAAAATCAAAGATCATGAAGGCAACAGCCCTTTTGAGGTGTTTGGATTGACTATTGCTCCCCGTTCTCTTCAGCAAGATTCCTCCACTCTCCCGCCTGGGATGCGAGACGACGATAGCATCAACGGAGTGGACGACAGTGGTGACCACCAAGATCATGACCGAGCCAGGCGTCATGTGACTCCCCTGATAGATCTTGCTGGTGATGAAGTCTACGCCTTTGGTAGTAACAAAAACCTGTCACTGGGCTTGGGCGATGGGGATGATAGGCATTTCCCCGAGCGCCTTCACTTCGAGCGTCCCGACCACTTGTTACGTCGTCTTCTCGATGATCACCTTGCGGAACGACGCAAGTCGTGGGTCCACGAAGACCTAGCGGACAGTGTTGGGGATCTCCAGTCACATTCCGATCTGCCAGCAATCATCCGTTATCGTCCCATCACGATTCAGAACGTGATCATGTCAAAGCTACACACGGCCGTGTTGACCAGCGATCCAATATCCAATCTGTACATCTGCGGGTATGGACCTGGTGGCCGTCTGGGGAGTGGTGACGAAAACACCAGTTTTACGTATCGCTGCATTCAAGCTGGTGGTCTGGCTAAACGACGTATCTCGTCGATAGCCCTTGGCCAAGATCATTCCGTGGCTGTGTGCTCCCAGGGCGAGGTCTATACATGGGGAAGCAATCGCTTCGGACAGCTGGGATATGCACTTCCCGAGGTATCCAAGAATGAAGTCCCAACCCAATTGATTCCGCGCCAGCTTTTCGGTTATATCAAAAAGGAAGTTATCATCGGGGCCGCAGCATCCGCTATTCATTCCGCAATATATACGGCTTCTGCAATGTACACGTTCGGCAAGAATGAGGGCCAACTGGGCTTGACCGATGCTGAGGCGCGCTCTCTGGAAGTGCAAGTCTTACCGCGTCGTGTTGGTGTTTCGGTCTTGCAATCTCCAATTAAATCAGTGAGCGCAATCGACCGAGCTACAATTGTTCTGCTCGAAAATCACGATGTATTTGTCTTCACGCATT